GCAATGTCTGGCCATCTAGCTGGTTACATGTTGTGCAGATCAGTTTGGAAAGAAAGTGCGGTTAGAAGGCCGTTGCGACTGCGCAGTTGTTGACAACTGAGTCGCAACCAAAACTGACACAGAACGAAGTTTAAAATTTGTAACCTGAATATAGGCGCCAGGATTTCTTGAAGCAGGGTATCAGCGAAAGAATGTACTTATAAACTCATGATAAAACCGTTTAAGGGTATTGTTACCGATCGCCCTACAGCTATGGGTCTGTACATTGAAACGTAGGTGACGCCACATTTTAAATGATTTTGATTGTTGGAATTAATATCTGACATTTTCCTTTTTTGCAATGTCGATTTTTTTTAAATATCCATGGGTCGCGGGGTTTAGTTGCTTATCTTGTACTCGCACCCCGTCGGTGTCCGTGGATATGTGTTTGCAGATTCATGACAGACACTCCCCAGTTTCAACTTTTCCGCACAAACTTTCCAGAACTGATCATAAATGATAAAAAGAATGCAGTGTTTACAAATTGTGTGAGAGTTACGCATACAAGACTATGCAGTAGCATGATATAGCTCCCAACCAGACCAGCTGGTATGTCACAGGAGCACAAACACTACACTAGCAACTAGCAGTTCGTTGCGAACCGTGACTGAAGGGGCCACATCTGTGTGTCTACTCAACAATGTTCAAAACATACGGTGACATAGCCGTTGGTTTCTGAACTAAGCCACTAATTAGATACATTTTAACACTTTCCATGCCGTGAACTCCATTTATATTTCTAAACCGGCCTTTATTTCAATGAGTATCTTCTCTTATGTTTCTTCAACGGAACTAAACTTATCCCGCCATCTCGTAATATAACAGATTTTCAAATTAACCTTTTGAAGTTACCTTTCACTAGATTATTGCGCTGTCGTGGAAATATGAAACAGAAGAATGTCCTAATGAAAGCATCGTGGTATATGCTGATTATACAGGTTACACTGTTTTTATGTTCAGGCACGTTGATATGGGGTGAATGAGGTTAGTAAAGAAATAAAAGCGAGAATTGCTGCAAGAAATCAACCGTATTAAGTTATTTTTAGAAACTAATATATATGAAACGATGTTAAGACCAGTTGTAATGTACAGGTGTGATCCATGACTGAAAAGTATAAAAATATGTTAAATATGTGGAAGAAACAAATTCTGATGAAGGATATGGGCCAGGACCTGAAAAATATAGTGTCGGAACTAGCCAAAAACTCAGAGAATTTTGTAACACCCCTTGTCTGGTATCGGATATTGAAAGGAAAATGTTGAACTGGTTAGAACGGATGAAGAAATGATGGATAAAAAATCTTGTGTAAAGCAAATAAAAAGAGGAAGGCCCGAATTGAGATGGTTGGAAAATGCAGAGAATGATTTGCGGAACTGACAGTGAACATGTGGAAGCAAAAGGGAAAACACAGAAGAATGAGCATCTTCCGTAAAGAAGACCGAGATACTCGGAGGGCCTCAAACACGAGGTGTGAGCAGGTTGTCTTGAAGCGCAGGCTGGAAAGAACATACCGTATTATACGTCTTCTAGAGAAGGATACATACTCTTACTTAATGCGAACTTTTTAACAGAAACTAAACGCGTGTTTCCCAATCCCTTAGCCTGGGCCAGTGTGTGTACGCTCAACATACAGTGACCGATCCCTTCGTCAATAAATATACTACCACAGTCAATAAGTTCGTGGAATGGCCGCAAAGCGCCGTACGGGAATTTACTGTCCATAATAGTGTATATCTAGGTGTTTGCTGCTGGCACCTATGTATATTCGACTGAGAGCTAAGAGAGGTATGTTCTCAGACGCTGCAGCGAGGTCTGAATGCGATTGAGACGCAGTGTGAGCGCTGGGACAAAAGAAATGAAATTTTATATCAAGAGAGTTAGATCGGTTGGGTGTCGTCTCATATTGAACGGACGAAGTCATGAGTCATGTACAGCATCCGTACATTTTTCGGTAAGAGGATTAGATACAGAAATGATCGAAGTCAATGCCTTCACAACATTTATTAGAGCACGTCCGTTGAAAAGTGAGCGATTAAGCTCTAAGATGAAATGTACCGTCCACAGAGCATTGTCTATGTCTGCAATGCCGTATGCTTGCCTTGGGATTTGCGGCAAATACCCACGTTTCGAAAGTGCAGCCCTTAGAAATCAAGGTTCTCCGCAACAGCACCAATATCCCAAGTCGTAGAGCGGTCAGCAACCAGAAGCCAAAGAAGATCGTGAAAATGCTAATGTTCGGATTACTGGATAAGGCAAAGCCCGACAGAACACGAGGCTTAAATTTTGCGGCGGTGAAGCTTATGATCGTTGAGGTGACTAAATTGCCGGCCTAGCGTGAGCTAATGAAAATGAGGCAGAATTTGTTGTGAACTGACAGGGTCTTATATATATTGCCAGAAAAGCCATGTGCAGTATATACGTATAGGTGTAAGGGTCGTGACATGCAATTTAGATGAGGAAGGATGAAATATAGAAAGTAACTGACTGTGACAAGTGAGAAGGGATAGACCCGTCTTGTCATCAGAAAGGATTCCTATTAAAGGCCAAACAGTGACGCTTACTTTAAGACTAAGATCTGGTCATGAGCCTCTGAATGGGCTCTAAATTAAGAGAAAGTGACTGGCCAACCGTCAGTCGTAAAATTGCTTTGAAACGAAGCAAGAAGTAAAGAGGAATTTTGTAAAGGTAGAAACGGAGCGGTAGGATATGTGGAAGACGAAGGCGAATAGTTATCATAACCATGGCGGGCCTTTGGTAAGGCACTGGGGCATGGTTTAGAAGATACGTGGTTCGAAGACATGACTATTTTCGTGAGAAAAAAAAATTAAGAAATTTGTGCATGTAGGAAGCAAGTCGTACTATATGAGGAAGGCGAAGGTAACAAATTTGTATAGATCTGGTGGTACATGAGTAAGACATTGCCGTAGTATTGGGAAGGTACCGGGTTCGAGACCACAGTGTCTTTTGACAATAGAAATTGAAAAGTGAATAAATAAATAAATACGATTTTTCTGCAGCTATAAACCAAGTCGTAGAATATGAGAAGGATCGCAGAAGGCTGTAGCATAGATGTTCTGGTGGTCTAGAGGTAAGGCACCGGTGTTGTATGTAAAAGGTCCGTGGTTCGAGACCACACGAATTTTAGTAATGAGATTTTAATGGAATTATATAGCGAGATGTAGCACAAGAGGAAGATTAAATGTGTAAAAATTCCGTGGCATTGGTGGCCTGTTGGTAAAATACCGGCGTAGTGTGTAGACGTTCCGAGGTTCGGAACCAGCGAAAGTTTTATAAAATACAAATAGAGTTAATAAGATTTTTCTGTAATTACAACAACAGATGTAACAAAAGAGGAAGATTAAAGATAAATCTTCGTGGCACGGTNTTTGCGGCCGCTCATTAAAACACTCGCCTAAGCTTTTATTAAAATCCACCTTTTATTAAAAAAATCGGCCCACCTCCGCCCTCCAACCACCCGCCCTTAGGGGTGACTTTAAGTTATTCACTTGAGACCAAGCTAATTCAGCGAGAGTTAACAAGAAAGTATTTAAAACTGTAGCGCCATCTGTGGCGTAAGCCCTCATGGAGAGCCACGAATGTAGTTATTGGGCTGTGCAAACGGCTCCTCTGAAGAATTCATTTTATGCTGTAGGGCAGGAGGTACTGGGAATGAAGATTATGGAAGCGTGGGACCCCACCCACATCCACACATCCACCCTTGGGATCATGCAGAAAGTTGATCACTTGACCCCCAGCCAATTCAGCCAGAGTTGTGAAGATAATGTGACAAGAAACTGTAGCGCCATCTGTTGAACATTAATCCACAGATGGCGAAGCGTGGGACACCACCCACATCCACCGTTGGGATCACGCAGAAAGTTAAACACTTGAGACCAAGCTAATTCAGCGAGAGTTAAAAAATATAAATAAAAAGTTAGCGCCATCTGTTGAACAGATGTTGTAATGTTCAACCTTTAATCTTCCTCTTGTGCTACATCTCGCTATATAATTCCATTAAAATCTCATTACAAAAATTCGTGTGGTCTCGAACCACGGACCTTTTACATACAACACCGGTGCCTTACCTCTAGACCACCAGAACATCTATACTACAGCCTTCTGCGATCCTCATATTCTACGACTTGGTTTATAGCTGCAGAAAAATCGTATTTATTTATTTATTCACTTTTCAATTTCTATTGACAAAAGACACTGTTTTCTCGAACCCGGTACCTTCCCAGTACTACGGCAATGTCTTACTCATGTACCACCAGATCTATACAAATTTGTTACCTTCGCCTTCCTCATATAGTACGACTTGCTCCCTACATGCACAAATTTCTTATTTTTTTCTCACGAAAATAGTCATGTCTTCGAACCACGTATCTTCTAAACCATGCGCCAGTGCCTTACCAAAGGCCCGCCATGGTTATGATAACTATTCGCCTTCGCCTTACACATATCCTACCGCTCCGTTTCTACCTTTACAAAATTCCTCTTTACTTCTTGCTTCGTTTCAAAGCAATTTTACGACTGACGGTTGGCCAGTCACTTTCTCTTAATTTAGAGCCCATTCAGAGGCTCATGACCAGATCTTAGTCTTGAAGTAAGCGTCACTGTTTGGCCTTTAATAGGAATTCTTTCTAATGACAAGACGGGTCTATCCCTCCTCACTTGTCACAGTCAATTACTTTCTATATTTCGTCCTTCCTCATCTAAATTGCATGTCACGAAATCTACAACTATACATATATATTGCACATGGCTTTATTGGCAATATATATATAAAATAGAATTTCGATTTCCACGAATTAAATATAGTGACTAGCCCCACCACATAAGAAAGCTACGAGCCGCCACTGGCCTATATGTTTCAGCAGTGTTTTCGACAACTCTATCAAAGTTGGCAGACTTGCATAGTGGCCAACGGCAATTATTTTGAGGGCCGATGTGGGTCTGTGTAAGTGTATGTGAATATCTTGTAATATGATGCGATAAAACCACAGTCCACACACTTAACGACTCTACCATGTATAACGCACATGGGTACTGCAGACAGTTCCTTCTAACCGCGATATCCTGTCACACTCCTCGTGTCCTTCCGGAGGAAAATAGACTACCACTTACTCTTTGAAGCCTGAAGTTCACCTAAATACTATTTAAAATCCAGTTCTGCCTCACAGAGAAAATACTGCATATCTGTTACAAAGACCAATATAATAATCAGCCCACATAGTGTGCGTTCGTGTTATTCTCACAATAAACAGCTAATATTTCTCTAAATGACATTCACCGATTGGCCTTCGTGTGCTCTGCGAATGATGTAAATACTGGTTATAAGCTCTCAAGATTTCAACTCATCAAAATTAAACCCCGTACTCTGAAAAATCCCAAAAAGACCCTTCCAAAGGATGTAGTTTTTAATTCAGAGAATACAAAATTCCGCAGCCTTGCTGGGAGCCATTATTGCTTGCTATTTTCAGGTAGTGTTCTTCGCTTTTCCCACGACTTTCACTCTACACCTACTTCTTTACTACCTTCCCTTCTTTTTTCTCCGATGTTTCGCAAAACTTATCATCTAACGTGAATAGACTTTTTCACTGAACGCCCAGGATAGTGAGCAGTGCTCAGGCCCTAGGTTACGTCCGCACACGAAGTTAATCGTCGGTTTGACCTTCCCCCTTATCTCTTTCTCTCTCTTTCTCCGTTTATCTTCAGGCTTCAAAGTGTCAGAATCAGAAATCGTTTTGTTTAAAACATATTTGAACTTTGCGATCTTGCAGTACCGACAGATTATCCTTAAAAATGAATGTAAATTTATATTAATCACACGAGAGAGTGCCGTGCTCAGTAAAACAGACTGCCTACCAAATTGCACCGCGTCACGACCCAGACGGCTGTAGCCGGAACAGCCACAGTCACCATACGTACGCTCGGCCGAGATGGATGGAGCCAAAAAAAAATATTACAGCAGCGTGTCAACTCGGGCGTCTGACGGTGTCGAACCAACTGCTGCGGTTAGGCAGTGCTAATATGGACGGAGTACAGGACGGACCGACTAGCACGTGGACAGCAGAGCGTCGCGGCGCAGACGGTATTCTGTAGGCGTCAGCATTCCCCTGCGGAAGAGACAAGGATGTGACGTCAGACACTTCCAGTTTTAAATGTAGGGAACAAGTCAAAAGCGAGCATTAAGTGGACTTACAAGAAAACCGCATGAAACAATTACTGTAACCTTTATTGTGTTCAACAAGAGCCCGGATAGCGCAGTCGGTATACTGTCTGGGATATATGCCTTGGACAACTAGAAATATATGTTCGATTCCCGAAAGGGCAAGACATTCCTATCTCCTCCACAACGTCGAGACCGGCTCTGGGGGCTACGCAGCTTCCTATCCAACTGGTAGAAGCGGATTTTCCCAGATCCAAAGCGGCCATGGCGTGAAACTGACTATTTACATATGTCTCGTGCCGAGGTTACGAAACCTCACCACCATGTTCATCAATTCCCTAGCTCGAGTGTATTTATTAAGTGCAGTCTTCATTTGTTTTCGTTTAGTTGAAACCGATATGGCATGGAATGTCTGAGCAAGCTGTAGTTGCACGCGAGGCAACATTTAGGATTTAGGATAATATCCAGAAATAGTTTAAGGCGGAAAAGCTGATGTAGGGGGTGGAGTGTAGAAATATCCAACGAACAACAATAAAACAAACTCCGTGGCTTTAGTCTGCAAGCGAACTATACCGGCCGAGCGACCGCCGCTTGTCGGCGAAGTTAGTGCCAACTTTTGTGGATAGAAGGTGCCACATGTTTAGCGCAACGGGTCCCCACAGCCGTTAATCTCGGTTTTCTAGACCGGAGCCGCTACATTTCCATTCAAGTAGCTCCTCAGTTATCCTCATGAGGCTGAACGAACCCTGTTAAAGACCCACTACTTCTGAGGAAATCTGGTAGCGTCGGGAATCGAACTCGGGACCTCTGGATATGTAAGCAGGAACTCTGACCACTAGACCACAGAGGCGGTCAAATATTTGCAAAAAAAAAAAAATAAAAACTCTTGAACAAAGTGGTAACATTAAAGAAAGAGTAAAATTCCGTGCTGTACTTCATCAGAATCCTGAAGACACAATCTTTGGTGATGACGTCGCGTGTAAGCGTCAGGTGGGACGGAAAGGGTCTGGGAAGCTGCCCTGAGGGAATCGGTGTAGTGAGGGGACCAGCCCCCTAAATCTTGTACTGGCTTGAGGAAGGTGAACACAGTCGCCTGCGCCCCTAACAGCGCCGTGGGGAGGGGGGGCAACACTGACCTCAGGACGGTGTCGTACGAGACGCTGACGCCCTTCTCAAGCATCCGGCGGTAGAGCTGCCAACACTCTCTTTCCTTGGGCGTCTGGAACTCTGGCTCTGCCGCGTCTTCTGGAGGAACGGGCTCTGGGATGGGCTGCGGCTCTGGTGTCAAAATGTGGGCCACTATTACGCCCAGACCTGGAGACAACAAAGGCGAAGCTTTCTAAAATTGTCTAATGTTCCCAAAATTGCATCCCTGCCTTCCGAAAGGAGATTGCATACAGAGCATAAACTGGTGCTGCTCTTACCCTCAAGAAGTAAATTGAGGCTATGGATACTGTCACGAAGTAAACTGAGACTGTCGTTACTGTGACGAAGTAAATTGAGGCTGTGGGTACTGTCATGAAGTAAATTGAGGCTGTGGATACTGTCAAGAAGTAAATTGAGGCTGTGGTTACTGTCACGAAGTAAATTGAGGCTGTGGGTACTGTCATGAAGTAAATTGAGGCTGTGGATACTGTCAAGAAGTAAATTGAGGCTGTGGTTACTGTCACGAAGTAAACTGAGGCTGTGAGTACTGTCATGAAGTAATTGATGCTGTGGATACTGTCACGAAGTAAACTGAGGCTGTGGTTACTGTCACGAAGTAAATTGAGGCTGTTGATACTGTCACGAAGTAAATCGAGGATGTGGGTACTGCCGTGAAGTAAATTGAGGCTGTGGGTACTGCCATGAAGTAAATTGAGGCTGTGGGTACTACCATGAAGTAAATTAAGGCTGTGGGTACTGTCACATAGCACTAAACAAACGACGTTAATTTTCGAATCAATAATCATTGTATTGATAAAATTACCTCAGTTTTACTGTAACTACTTCATCTTGCCCCAAATGGTTCTCTTGCAGATTGTTCCTCAACAACTCGTACGCTCAAAGCGAGTGGCTTCTCGCGCTTTTGTGTAAACATCTTGAGGACCGTAAGACTTAAGAAAATAATGCGTCGGGAGTGAAATACTTTGTTTCAATTAAATGCTATTCGAAATAAACATATAGCGAGTCAGGCTGGAGGTATCGCAGAAACGTCTGCATATCTCCATGTAAAGTGTTCAGTACTTTCGTCAAATTTGAACCCAATTGGAATGCTTCGACAGCGAAACTTTCTTTTTTCAAATTTTGTTTATGTCCTTAGGTGGGGTTCGTGAATTGCTGCAAGGTGACAGGAGCGTTGTTTCATGACGAAAGTACAAAAATGGCTAGCATTTTTAAACTTTCCCATTCTGTTGTCATTGCACAGGCATTCCTTTGTTGTTATTGCCATGACAACGTAAGAATCAAATGGAAGGGAACGTCACATGTTTAGAATTCGTATAATCAAGCAATGGCAGCATTAGTTTCTTTGTGCTGATGCACGCAGAAGGAATGCATAACGCGAGAGCCGGTGCTGAAACAATAACTCACGTTCACAGCATGGGAAGTGTAACCTAATTATCTCCTGTTATGACGTTCGAGTCTGACTGAAACACTGCGGTTTACCTGCGCTGGGAGGCTCAGTCGTGACGTCAGGCGGGCTGGAGGATGAAGCCTCATTCTGGCACGGAGTGGCTCGTTCCTCTGGTGGCCCTGCTCCTAGACAGGCCTGCACCGGAAGCTCACTGAGGCACTCTGCTTCCGCTTTTACAGGAGCCGTCGGTAGCTTCTCACTCTCCCTGCAGGAACACGCGCAGAACGTTTAATGCTGCGTCAACGTATCTTGTTTCCATGCACCGTGATCGCCAGCCCTGTGCTTGCAGGCGCCTCGGTGACCACGGTGCCCTCAAAAACTTCTTACAAATGTTGTAATATATTTCTTACTTGGACGAAAAGGGCCCCGAAAAATATTTTTCATCAATTTCATTTAGTTAATTTGTTTACCCCTGCCTTCAGGAGCTTCCTGTGGTACACTGACGGTATTCATTCACTCACTTACGGAGCTGAGCTCTTCTTGAGAAGCTGCCAGTTGTGCAGCTACTCAAGAACTTCCCAGCATTTTATTTCGGCAGCGAATGAGAGGCACAGTTTTATCTCTTCTGTGTTGAGGGAAGGAGCCGGAATGGCTCAGTCGGTACAGCGACCGGCTGAGGGTTCCGAGTTACGGTTAGGGCAACATTTTCCCTTCTACACGCAGGCCACACCGGTTCTGGGGCGCACCCAGCCTTCTGGCTCTTTCGCCTGGTAAAGCGGCTAGGGCGTGAAACTGACCACACACCTTCAACCAGTACCGAGGACAATACCTGGATCTATACATTCACTCCCCCATACGTCTTCATGGCGTAGTGCTTAATTAGTTACAACTTTACCTTACCTTTACCTGTGTTAAGGGAAATTCTGTGGGCCTGTTGTTCCTTGTTACAGTTTCAGCAGCAACAACAACAACGAGAAGTCTGTGACGTGTGTAATGCAACTATGGACATTATTCTACACATAGCCTTAACGTCTAGTTTCGTTTAAATAAACGTATATGTTGGATACAAAACGTGCGTTTCATCATTGTCTGCAAGTTCTGTACGTTGTTCTTTCTTTCCGATATATGTTTAGTGGCGTACGCCCAGAACCGCCTTTAGATCACAATGCAAAACTTTCCTCTAATTTTAATCACAAAAAAAAAATAGTTCCACTCCCTTATATCAAATTTAATGATAATGCTTTCAATGTTTCTCGGGTTGTTATGTGCTGACAGACAGACATGACTAAGCTAATAAAAGTATCGTTGAAACATTTCGTTGCGAACCCACCACGAAACGATATTATATGACAAAGAAATGCAATTACATTAAACAAGCTACAGTTCGTCATGTCACAGATGACTCGTGGCATTGCGCCTCTGTGCACAGAGAAAAGGGATCATGAAAGAGACAGATTCAGAAAGCCTCGAGGAAGTTCAATTTCCAAGCTATTTCAATTCCCCCTCTCCCTCCAATGTAAAGAGCATGTGTAGCTGTAGTTTGTATGTGTTTCCCATACAGGAGCTTAAATGAGGTCGCACTTTTCAGCCGTCCTTTCTAAGAAATGAATGAAGCTGTAAACTGGTGTAACAGCCCATGAGAATTCAGCGGGAAGTCTCGCCGCTTGTTACGTAAGGTTTCGTGCTACTAACCTCCTCTGCTTTCTCCCGTATTCCTCCCCAATCCTGCACCTTATCGAATGATACGTCAACTTATAACGCCATTTGCCACTAAAATCATTCATAAATAGTCAATTGTAAACCGTCTCTTTACATAGTATATTTCGCATATCCACATCAAAATATTATCAGTACTCACATAATATACACGATACACCGAAACAAAAGACTACAAGCTAATTCGTGGCCTGCTGCATAACTTACATTTATACAACGTGTTAATGCTCTACCGTTTGTTGCTGCAGTAACCTCAAATTGCCTAATGGCCCTTAGCAAGCTAATGTACGTGTATATACATATAAACAAAACAAATTCCGTGGTTTCAGTCCGCACGAGAATTATACTGACACAGCGACCGCTGCTTGTCGTCGAAGCTAGTGTCAACTTTAGTGGATCAAGGGTGTCGCGTTGTCAGCTCAACGAATCCCCACGGGCGTTAATTTCGGTTTTCTAGACCGGAGTCACTACTTTTCCATTCAGGTAGCTCCTCAATTATCCTCACGAGGCTGAGTGGGCCCCGTTCCAGACCCACTACTTCTCACAAAATCTGGTAGCGCCGGGAATCGAACCCGGATCTCTGGATCTGTAGGCAGGAATTCTGACCACTAGAACACAGAGGCGGTATGTCTATACATATAAGGATATGAAACGAAGTGCATTGTATTTGACATTTTTCCAGTTTCGCAAATGTTTTGGTTGGCGTGTACTTACGTAACACAGACAGGAATGTCCCATCTGCATCCCACATAGCTGTGAAATCAGGTGACCGAGGGGGCCGAGTCCATACACTCGCGCTGCGCAGACGCACGTGGCGTTCGGTTTGTTCGGCTTGCCGCTGATGTCAAACGTGACGTCATTGGTAGCTGCTAGCGACCCGATTTAGAAAGAGCTATACATCTCATTTGCACAAGCTGACAAGATTCAGCTGAATGGAAGGTGCAGCTGTATACATGAGTAATTCGCTTTTCTTTCAGGACCCCACCCAACCGCGCAGTCCGGCTTCAGGACGTCAAAGAGAGCTCTTCGAACATAATGACAGCTATTGACGCTGAACTGAACAGACGCAGGACATGTGCGCGTCTTGTCCCTCATTAGTAAGGGAGTGTTAGGCTCACCGCAGGGGGCTACTGTGTCCATTGTTGGGGCACTCAGGGGTGCCCCGCAGCGGGTGCGAAACTGCACCCAAACAGAAAACACTCTTTCACACAGGCGTTTCTTACGGCTTTATTTTAGTTATAACATGAAGAGTGCTATTTATAGGAATGTGACGCCTTGTAGTCTAGTTGAAGTTTGCCGACGTTTCGGAGGAACATGCTGCTTCCATTTCAGGTCGAAGAGTAAGCAAGGGTAACCAGCAAGATGCAAGCTGCATAAGGCCATGTGTGGCCGACCGCAAACTAGGTTTTATTATGTGGTCAGTGGGGCTTACACTCGGAATTGCCTACCAACTTCTGGTTTCAGTCCCCAATACCGAATTTTAAGAAAATATGAGACAAATTTTATAATATTGTCATGCGTTTGAGTGATAATATGCGGGGTTTAGAATAGTAATCGGATTTATTGGACTCTTAAACAACTCGTGACTAAACTTTAAAAATCTCTATCACACACACTATTTTTCTCAACCGCGGTCTTCACTGCTCTGCTTGGTAACGGCTTCCAACAGTGGACGTTCCTCTGCTCCCGGGCTCACGTCCTCGCAGGCTGACTGCCATCTCACACCAACCTCCTCCTCTTCTATCTACCTTCTGAAGACTATCTCGTAATCAAGTCAAAGTCACATTGCGACTGACGGCCAGTCAGTCAGTAAGTCTTGGTGTCGAGCACCCTCCTGGGGCTCATGACCAGATATTTATTACTGTTTGACAGTTACAGTCTTGTTTCTGTGGGCGCCCTCTCTGACGAGAGGACGGGTCTGTCTTTTGTATATGCTCCTGGTCCGTGCCAGCGCAGTATTTCTCGGGTCCGAGTCCCTTGGTACTCGAGACCATATATTACTGTCTCAAATTTGAGACTTCCCTATTCGTCGCCTCCTACGACTCGCAGGGTCACGGTGGAGGTATTCGACCCCCGCCTCCACACGGGTTGGAATTTTGAAAGCCATTTGTAAATCCCTTATATAGTCGCGGTACGGGCCACGCAGCACAGAAAACATAGATTCCCTATTGTTGTAGAGGCGTGTTATCACGCAGTTGCCTAGCAAACAGTCTCGGCGCAGACCACATGGGAAACACTGTCTTTGAGAATGCGTGTTTATTAGTTCGTTACCCAGCAACGGATGTCCTATTGTTGAGAGCATAACCCAGGGAATGCGTTTACCGAGCCGTTGCCTAGCAATGATCATATGCGTCACTTGTTTTCTGAACCATGCGTAAAAGTTGAATGTCATTTACATCCTATGATGGATTGATGTACTTTGAATTGCATACTGTGTCCTTCCTTCCATCAATCTGTGTACATTGTGTTTTCTTCTGTTACTGATGATGTAAGCAATGCCTTGAGCAGGATTGCCAAATATCTTCATAAAGGTCAGTTTATTGCTTTGGTTTGTCCAGGACCTGTGAGCCATGACAGGACATTATGTGAATCGTCCAACAGCAATTAACATAATGAAGGTTACCTTTAATTTCAGATATCGAAACTTTCTGCAGACAGCGCTGTCACAGTCAGCAAAACTGTGCGAGACATCTGTCGGCCTTCTCTTTAAACTGTTTGACAGCGGTTAAGGACACGTGATATCTCGTAATGGCAGGCGGTCCTCGTTATATAGCCTCGACACGGACCGCACAGAAAACGTCTTCCACCATTGCGTGTTCGCTCGTTGCCGGGGAAACGTGTTCAAAGAGCTGTTCCCTTGCAACGGCTGTAATACGGTCTCCTGTTTATACAGCTGTCACTTGACAATGAGTCCATATATCACGGTATGTATAACAATATCTTGTTATGGCATTATGCAGACTGAGGTTTATTTTGTTAAATTTGAATGAAGATCAGCATTCTCAGACACGGTTTAGCGCATGTTTTCCATGTTGAATATAAACAGGATGTCTGACATGGTTTATAGGGTACGTGGAAATACGCAGTTGTAAAACTAAACTAAACTCCATGGCTTTAGTTCGCAAACGAACTATACCGCTTGTCGGCGAAGTTAGTGCCAACTTTAGCGGATCGAGGGTGTCTGTTAGCACCTGTTCACGCTGGTTCTTCACTCTTGGATTTTCTTCTTTTTTCTTCTACCCTGAAAATGGAGGCGATACCTTCCTCCGAAACGTCGGGTTTACACGATATCTACACGGCGCCACATCCCAGAAGACTGCTATCTTCAGGAGACAGACCTGACGAATAAATACGCACAAAAACTTCTTCACCTGTCTCAGATGAGTGGAACTGAGCCCTGACTACAATTTCCTATACAAATTACTTAACGCGATTCTGGTTTCTCGGTTTTGATAATACAGTAAGCCCTCGCTAACCCAGATTAACTGGAGGAGGTCATCCGTATTAAGTGCTAATCCGGATTAATGAAGCAAAAGATATCCTTACTCGTAAAAGACAACAAAAAAATTTAGAAAACAAAGAAATGGAAAATTTAATAATAGAGATAGTGTCGATGAAAATAAATTAAAAAAATATAATTTCAGTAATTTCTTGCTCTGTCAGAAGCTGAAATCCAGAGTCTCCTTAATCCAGCTGAAGCCAATCTTGGATATTTCCTTGCGCGGTTTCAGTCTCTCCAGCTGCCCTCAGCACAGTCTGAAAGTCCTCTCGCTGTCAGAAGCTGAAATCCAGAGTCTCCTTAATCCAGCTGAAGCCAATCTTGAATATTTTCTTGTGCGGTTTCAGTCTCTCCAGCTGCCCTCAACACAGTCTGAAAGTTCTCTCGCTCCTAAATCCCAAGTGTCTTTTAAAGTGTGTACTCAAATATGAACAGAATTGTTCATATTTCACATTTCGATCCGGATTAACTGTAACCGGACTGACGAGGATTTGCTGTATCTTGGACCAGTCATGTAGTTCAATATCCCTCGAAGGATCGACGTGGAATTTCGGCAGAGTGGGGTAGTGGGCTGGAATTGCTCCCTCGTTTTGATATCCCTCGGTCTGTCCCGGCGTGCCACACCATCACAACATCCCAAATCAATATCTGCCCCGGCATGCATGCCACGTTCTTTACACAGAAACCTACAAAACCAGATGGATGGGCCCCGAAGCCAGCGATGCAAGATTCCGAAGAAGAACTGAGTAAAGCCGTGTGGGGTGCGCGGCCTTCACGACGGGGACTTGACGCTGCGTAGCCTGGTACAAGTTAATCAACCTTTCGAAGGAACTGCCACTATCTTCAGGATGGAAGATTAAGTCAAACAGCCAGCAAGCGTCTTCTTCTGTTTGCTTGTCCTGAGAACTTGCACCAGACTACACTACGTCACATGACAAGTATGAACATCTTGCCGCATGTACAAGTATTTCATTCTGAATGGGTTATGTCGTTATTTTCCTCAGTCCTTCTATGCAGGTCCCAGAATATTTCCTTAAAATATTAATTCTGAGGTTATCGTGACGGTAAATATTGATATTATTGTGTCCTGGGATACCGGTTGCTGTACCGAACAATGTTTCTGACGGATTTTGTTTTTGTTATGATGAAAATTATATTATATCATCTTCGATTTATCAGACTGGATTTTATAGACTGGAAAAAATGTTCTCAAGATTTATATCCCTACAACAGCACCTAGGGAGCTTGGATAGCGACTGGCTACTAGCTGAACGACCTAGGGGTCAGAGTTTGAGTCCCAGTAGCGTCAGGAATTCTCTCTGGGGCCCACCCAATCTCCTATCCAATAGATACCGGCAGCTGTTTCCCCGGGGGTAAAGTGGCTGGGGCGTGAAACTGACCGCTGACATCCAACTAGTACCGACGCTATGAATGTGTGGAGTTATACTTCCACAACTCTTACGTCTTCGTGGCGTGGCTGTCAATGTAAGGAAAGTTTTATGTTTGTTCTAGCTCGGACTGTATAGCATCGAATGGCAGAATAATTCATGAATGAACTGAAAGTGATCTGGTAGGAACCGGTCAGAGTCTGTTCTGCTGAAGTACCTTAGCATTCGCTCGGAGGGCCGGAAGAGAATCACGGAAGAGTTCAGTCAGGACATTCGGTGTCACTGCCGAGGTTCGAAGGAATGTAAGCCAGAACAGTCACCATCTCAGCCATCTTATTCTGTGGTATTAAAAAAAAGGAAATATTACATAATTTACAAATTACATTAAACGGACACCAGAGGGCTACTGTGACGCAGAATTTCAAATTCCAGGCTCAGGTCGATGCCTTCGTGGAATCATCATCTCTCTCTTTCTTGACTACGACGCCCCCTCCCCTCACCTAGAGCAGGTGCCGAACCTGGTCCTCTCGGGCAATACACAGCCACAACCAGTATGTGCCGGTTTCACTAAGTTCTGCTTTCGTTTCCGTTGGCTTCTTTTCGGATCGATTTGTTTCGAACGTCCATCACACACACACACACACACACACAGCTACTTGCACTGCGCTTGTCACAGACAAATCTGTGCAATTCGAACCCTCGAATCATTTCACTAGCTCATGGCGCAGCGACTTGTCCCTGTGCTTAACTGGTTCAGCACTACGCCATGAATATGTATGGGGGAGTGGATGTATAGATCCACTTATTCTTGACCTCTGCACTTCACTCCAAGGAAAGAGCCCCCAGTACCCTGCGGACAGGAAGCTGGGTGTGCCCTAGAACCGGTCTGGACGAAGTAGAGAGGAGAAAAATCTTGCCTCTACCGAGACTCGAACTCTGACCCCTCGACAGTCCGGCCTGTAGTGAATCTCTATAACGACTGCACTATTCTGGCTCCCTGTAGTATATTCGTAAGCGGGGAAATGGAAGTCGATGTACAACTGTATTTCCGAAACGCCGGTATGTGAGTCGAGAATGAATCCATTCACAGGTAGAGGCCGACAGCGGGTGGGCACGAATCTGTCCAGCCTTTAGAGCACAGTGGTATACACACATGGGGTGGGACAAAATCAGGAATCTCTACCTCCACCTGGATTTTTAGCAACAATCAAACTTACATTTAATTTTAGAGACAAACGTATGTTCTTGTGCACCAAATAATGTAGGCGCGCTGTGGAAGAGTTTCGGTGTAATTTTGCGCCAGATTCTCTGACTGCTTCTCCTTGAGTAAATCGCTGACCCCCTAACTTAGGAAAACGTCCTTTGGCGCACCTTGTTTATAAAAAACTGTGCATTCTGCCCACACAGTGTTTTTTTTATGTTTCATATGATTCTCACAATAAAGAGCAACTGTTTCCTTAAACAGCGTTAAGTGGGTTTTCCTTTATAAAATTCTTGTGTTCGATATTATCCATTCTCTTAACTATACTTATATTGTACGATGTTTCAGTAGCTGGATTCTCCTCTGTCATCAAGTGCATATACAGTTTCCGAAACGTCGTACAGGTTAAATATATCTCAGATGATGTGCGATGTCTACCAAAATGACTTCATGATGAAAAACGGGCTATTGTCACAAACATTTACATTATCGTGAAAAGATTGGTCTTTATGATGGAGATGCAATATGTTTCCTGTGAGGTAGGAGCTTGTCTTATATAGGGGCTATTACTTAGAAGGCATCAGAAAGAAGAATAAGTTGTATTAGCTCGGAAATGCTTGAACGCGAAACTTGGTTAATGAACGCTGTGAGGACGCGAGAGGGTAGAGGAGGGTTGTGACGTGTCAGTTTCCAGTAGGTCAGCGTGAGTGATTGGAAATCGAAAACTCCATCGTCGAAAGTAATTTGCAGGTGGGCCAGGAACCGCATTACACGCCAGCGAGGCGTCGGGCAGAAGAAGAACAGCTGCAGGGTAAAATAGGACGCTGTTCTTTTCATTGCGGCCCGTGCCTAGACTGGACGCTCTGCTGGCAAGAAGATGTTTCCAGACATGGGGACGAGAGGCGCCATGCTACAAGCCGGAAGGCCGCGGGTTCGATTCCCGATGAGGTTATTGGATTTCTTAGCTTACCTAATCCTTCCAGCCGCACTATGGCCCTGGGGTGGACTCAGCATCTAACAGAAATGAGTACCAGGAATCTTCTTGGGGGCTAAAGGGCGGCCGGCGCGTAAGGCTGACAACCTCACCGCCATCTGTGAGCCGATTTTCTAGAAAATATGTGAGCCTCGACGTCTCACAACCCTATGGGCCTCCATGGCCTCTTCTTTATACTGTAAGTGGTTCACAATGATACCACACATTGCTCGTTTACATGTAATTTGTGACCAAAATCAATTGCATGATGGAGTATCGGAAGTCTGTTCTTTCTGCGTCAAATAAACACAGCCCCCTGGGTTTGAGGCTCTCATGGCCGTGACGTGTAGTAAATCTTTTGGGATGTGAACCCGTGTAGTCCGGTAGAAGTGCACGAGACCGTGAGGAAAACGACAATTAGGAAGACCGACCATAATATGGACTGACGTAAGGAGCTTTTAATGGGGCCGTAATAGGCCACTGGGCCTAATCCGTGAAATTTATTATGAATATAATTGTAACTTCTTCTTGAGGATCTGATAGTTGCTACGCCAGCCAACAACTTAACCGAGTCTCGTAGAAACTGAAGACTCATTATGGTAACACAAGGGCCCCAATAGTCTCTGTCCTCAGCCAGATAAATGCAGCCTACACCCTTCAATCTTATTTCTGTAATATCCATCTTAATATTATCCTCCTAAGCCTAGTTCTTCCTTCACGTTTTCCTACAAACAATTTTCGTATATGTCTATGTCAGTTTTGAGGGTTTGACGGCGGTGAGTATGAAGATTGCCGTCTTCTGGGATGTGGTGCAGTGTAGATATTGTGNGAGCTACATGCCTTGACCATCTCCTTTATGATCTGTTCATATAAAATATATAAATGTGTATCCTGCGAGGAGCACACGTCACGGAACCCCTCCTTATGCGGTCCTTAGCTCTGCGCCCTTTCCTTCGCGCTGATTGTCAAGTGTCACGAAACATGACAAAAGCATATAGATAGGGTCTGCACGTACGTGTCGTGGGCGCAGGTGGCCTTGTGCCTGCTGACTCCCTCACTCTCTGCCTTGCTCGGTGCTTTCCCTGAAATGTTTCCCGCCGGGACTCCTTGGCTGTCTCGTCCTGCGGCTGTTGCAATGATAACTCGACGATTGACGTGAAGGGCCGACGAAGCCCTCAGAGGGACCGGTGGCTGCTGCTGGAACGAAACTGTGAACACAGAACGTAACGGATATCACCCAACGAACACATTTCACAATCCCAGTGGAGGCCCATAAAGTTGTGAGACGTCGAGGCTCCAACATTATCTAGACAATCGGGTCACAGATGGGAGTGAGGTTGTCAGTCTTACGCGCCGGTCGCCTTTTACCTCTAGGAAGTTTCCTGATACTCATTTCTGTTAGAGGTTGGAGTCGACCCCAAGTCCATAGTTCGGCTGGAAGGATTACGTCAATAGAAAAATCTGATAACATCATCGGGACCGAACCCGCAACGTTGCTACTTGTAGCATAGTGCCTCAGCCAACTGAGCTACCACATGCCCCGTTTACAGCCTCTTACCGCTGTGTAAGGTGACTCACGAACTTGGGTAGGTTTGCTCTGACAAGAGTGAGCCTTGTGGACGTAGCGGAGTTACGGTACATCTGAGAGAACTTTCCGTGGTTTCTTCTGACTGCCGTGACTTATACCGGAAACTGTCTTTGAAATATGTCACGACCTCCTCCTTCCAGACCCTTTCCAGTTCACGATGGAATCACAGTCTACTCTAAGTAACCTCTGCAGTTGTAGCAGCATACGTAAATGGTCACCAGTGGCTACAGTTTCTAACTACCAAATTTCTCGAACTCTTGTCAATCCTTATTGAAACGTAGAACGTATTTCAAGATATATTTGTGATTCCATGTAAAATATAGCATTTAGAAATACGGAAGAAATATGGGTAGGCTACAGTTTAGTTAAGACCCTACATAACTAACTAACAAACCAATAATCCACTGAGTAGAGACGTTTCAGAAAAGCTACCAGTCACTCTGCTAGTCAAGAGATTCACTGCCTTACGTACTGTGTATGGAAACCCAAGTGTCATTAGCGAGTTCACAAAAACTCGGCCTTGATCCATATCCTCAGGCAGATAAATCCAGTCCACACCCTTCCACCACATCTATGTGTCCCATCTACAGCTAGGTTTTCCAAGTGGTTTCTTTGCTTCGATGTTTCATACTAAGATTTTGCAATTTGTATTGCTGGATTTATTGAGCGTTTCAGTTTTCTAGTATTCCGAACAAAATGCAACGTGTCGTAAACTGGATCTGCTTCTGTCCTCAAGTAAAAGTCGTCGGGAGGCACATGCTGACTTCAGTCCCACAAAACCACTGAAGACGGAAACAGAACCACTTTCCGAAACATTGTATTCTCTTCAGAATACTGTAAAAAGGCCGAAACCCTGAAATTCAGTGATGTCCCACCGTCAGAACATTTTAGAATTGATATGTTGCTCGTGATAAATGCTAGATTAAATGTATTTATCGCGAGTTCTTTTATGGCTCTTTTAGTAGTCAGGCTACATAGCGTCGAATGGTAGACGAAAGATGAATGGGAAAGGATTTGAAAGGAATCCATCACTGCCTAAATAGATGTACCATCCCAGCATTTGCCCTGGCCGAGGATCGAACCGAGTACCTCCCGAAAACGAGCCTGGAACGTTATGACTTGAGCGGACCCAAGTCAAGATCTGTTCGTCAAGCAGACTTGCATATAGGCCGTTGTTGCTGGACGCGAGGTGAAGTCGCAGGTGTCGGCAGTTCAGACTGATGTGGCGTCGCGACGCGGGGGCAGCGACGCGTCGCGTGCGGGGCTCAGCTTCATTAAGTGGGGCTAATTAGGCCGCTCACGCAAGTCTCGCCCCACCGACTCACATCTCATCTCGGAACGACGAATCTTTTAGGGCAAACTTTGTCGACACGTGGGCCGCGAGTCACTACCGACACGCTGCTTAATTTGTGCCAGTTCAGTCTTCTAATTAGCTCTACATGATATTTTACCACAGCTGACAGCAGCAGTCATTCTCCTTCGTGTAACCCTGCATTCCTTTCTCAAGGAAAAAGCGCATGAGATGATCATTCTAGCTGTGTGAATCCCCTTTTCACCTTTTGACGGGACATACACATTTAATAATCTTGTGGAATGTGACGCCGTGTAGCCTGGTAGGTATAGAACCTGCAATCTCCATGTTCAAATTAGATTAATTGAACATATATGTATTTAAATTTTCATAATAATTTCAAACAAGACAAGATTTGAGGGTTTCAGGACTGTGAATATTAGGATTGTGGTCTTCTGAGCTTGACACCGTACGGTGTGGTAGGTGACAAACCTTTATGGTGATTACGTGTGCCAGCCGCGTTTGTGTCAACAGCCTGCATTTCAGATGCTTGTGTGTACCGTTTAGACAGTAATGCAGAATCACTTGCTGCAAATAAAGCAAGATTCAAAATGGAAAGTTTTGACTTCTCTGTCGTGACGTTGACACGGAAAGCGGGGGCCATGTCCCGGGCGAAGAACGGATATTTCTGCCTGCTAACATGTGAAGTTAGTTCGCCAGGTTTTAAATGTTTAGTTACACGGTTGGATGAAGGGACAAGAGAGAAGTAATATTCCTTCTCGTCTCTACGGCTGCGGCGCACACCGAAAACACCCTGTCGGCCCCGAACCGTGCAACGGCGCCCGGTACTTTCAATCTTCCGTCACATGAAAATCTGTGTTTACTAAGTCCCCACCTCTTCCTAATTTTACTTAATTCGCTCCTAATCTTCGCCTGTCAAAGTTTATGAAACTTCTGGCTCTAGTGGAACTTTAATAAACAGTTTTCAAACCAATAAAGGAAAGTGCTCTGTTCTGAGTTGTAAAGTCATGCAGTTCGGACAGAGCTTAACTTGATTTTGTGGGTTTCTTGGTTTTGTTACTCTCCAGCGCTGGAACTTGAGTTCTTCCGAAACGTCAGTCTGCATCCGAACTACACGGTGTTACGATCCATAAGTCCGTATTCTACGTGTACACAGTCGCCGTTGTAGCGATGTCAGATCGGAATAGAGTAAATAAATAAATAAATAATCCGGTCACGGTTAATTCGGATCGAAATATGAAACACGAAAAATGCTAAGAGAGACTTGAAAGGATTCTGACGATGGTGTATACTGTACTTCTTTTGGCTTATTTTGGACTTCACCCATCGTCGGGTATATAAAAGACAGTGATTGAGACTAGCTCTTTCTAAGGGGCCCAACTGAGTAGGTTTATCCTTCCCTATCCACCTGAAGACGGAGACAGATCCAGTCTCCGAAACGTCGTGGTTTTTTTTGTCTTCTGTATACCAGACGATGGGTGAAGTCCAAAATAAGCCAAAAGAAGTACGAAAAATGCTGTCCACGGTTCAGTACATACTTCAAAAGACACATGGCATTTAGGAAGGCAGACGAGTCACTTGTCTGTTCAGACAAAACTTGACAGTTTCTTGAAACTTGCATTATTACGTGGTTGCGTCCTGACCTCGTCCTCGGTCTCCAAGTATCTGTGCCATCTTCACGCTCGCCTTGCTCTCCTGCACCGAAGATGGAAAGAAGAAATTCCTCCGAGACGTTGATAGCTTTCGACCAGACTAATATCGTCACATCACAGAAGACAGAAATCTTAACAGAGTTTAGTAACCAATGCTCATTATATCGGCAGTGTGCGGAAGGACTCGAACATCGCAAAGAAGAAGGGTGTCAGTCTTCGAGTTTTGAAGACAGAAATGGAAAGGTTAATTTCACGTGCAACTTCCCCACTCTTTCCCCAGCCCAGCGTAAGGTCGGAGGTAAAGCCCCTAACTTAAAAGTCGAGGATATGATAATGTTCTGCCTGGTCAGGGTTTTTGCATACATCAAGGAGCGGTGATGTATGGGAACAGAGCAATGGTGGAATGGGGGTGGTGTGAGAAAGAGGAGCGAAACCTACTCCAGAGCCACTTAGTCCACCATGAAGGTGACTTAGTTATCTGGGATAATACTGGGACTCCGCTGTTATAAGCCAGTGTCTGACCACGTGCGAACATCCACAACCGCGCTGATACCTGATTATACAAATGCGAAACCATTTACTCCGCAAGGTTTTAGTGCGATTTTTTTATGGAAGAGGTGTCAATAGCGTCTGAAGAGGTACCTTGGTACGAAACAACGTGAACTTAGAAACCCTTACAAGGTCGCAATTGTTTGTGGGTATAAATGCAGCACTTACCAGACTTGGGCGACTTTTTGAGACAGATGACTTGCTCCCTCTGATTCTGCCCAGCGGGACTGTTTCTTTCTTCCAGCCAGGGTGCGGGCTGGAGGAATGGTCCGGTCGCGTCGCCTTCTGCGTCGCTTCCGTCACTCACTAGGGACACCATGGTCACGATCTCTGCCCCGCGAGATAGGCCGCGTCGTCCTGCTGAGATCTTCTGCTTCTGTCTGGGGCCAGCCTCCGCTTCGTCCCCTGAAGATTCTTCACCGCGACTTCCGGCCTTGCGGCGAGGACCTGCCGTCCGTAAACGTCGCCTGGCGGGGGCTGACATGATGTTCCTGTCTCCTCGTGTCTGGACCAGAGCTTCCTCATCCCCGTCGGTCACATCTGAAGATATGTCGACACTCGTGCTGTTCTTGTTCCTGTGCACCAGAATGCCTTTGCCAGGTTTCTGGGGAGGTGCAGATAGGGCTCTACTCAGGGGCGGAGTTGGTGTCGATCTGCTGACGCTAGAAACTGCTGAGGTAGGTGGCGCGTCGGATGAAAAACTTCCCGTGATCGCCTTGTTAACGCTGTTGCGGAAGTTGACGCGCCGCGCGGCTGCAGACATGGTTTGAGCGGTACTGAGTGCGTGAGTCTGTGACGGCTGAACCACTTTGCAACTTTCTTTGTTTCTAACACTAACGAAATTCTTCGTGCTGTAGGCATTGATATTATTCTCCTTTGTTTCCTCGATGTTATTTAATGTTTCTTGTCCGTTTTCCATACATGAGAGAGGAGACTGCTCAACGGAAACATCGGAAGGAGAAGGCTCCATGGAATCTCCGGACAGTGTTTCTTCCTTCCGGGGAACAACGTCAACCACTATTTTGCTGTTCGAGTAACGGCCCTCGGAATCGCTTTCTCGGTCACATTCCTTTGTTATTTCACTAAGCCGTGGACTCTTATCAAAATCAATTGAGCCAGTAATGACTGCTGATTCGGTTCGCGCTAGAATCTTGTCCTCAGTCACATTCAGCATATCAGGACATGTCTCCATGATTTGGTGTGGCGTCCCAATAGACTTGTTACTGGAAGTGGTCTCCGATGTACTGCTTTCTGAGTCGCTATGGCTCTGCATTTTGCTGTTTTCTAAGTTAAAGCATGGGAAAGATGGTTTCAAAGAAACTCTGATATCTGACTTCGGAAAAACATTGAAATTAATCTTCGCTGTGGACCCTCCGACATTGATGTGGCTGCGGAAATATGTGTATGGGCTGTTTTCTGTACTTTCATGTCCGCTAATGCTGCAAGTGGGGGCGGGTTTGTCACGGCGTTCTGTTTGTTGAGATATTTGTTTAGGATATTCGTTGACTTTTCTACTGAGAAGCGACTCGACAACGCTGATGTCAGTTTGTTTTGTAGGGTGGTTAATTTTAAGTGGCAGTGCCTTATTGTTTTTCTGGATGGACAGATTTTTAGAAATTCCAACAGCTGATGAATAAGGTAAGAAGTTGCTTATATTTTGAGGGGCCGGCTGATTGTTCATTTCACTGTTAGGATCTCGGTGGACGTTCCTGGATGTGTAGAATGACGCATCCCCGCCAGGAGAGACGTCTTCACGAACGTGTAACAGTGACTGGCCTGTGTCTGTTGTAGGATCTGAGATGTGTGAGTCGTCCTCTTCTGTCGACACCATGTTGCTGTGGGCGAGGAAGATGTCCAGGTTTGGCCTGTTCTCCTCTCGCTCTCGCCAGGCCCGCCTGAGCCTCTCCGCGAGTTGCTGGCGCGTATACAGGATGGTGTCCTTCTCACCGCCGATAGATGGCAGGTTGCCGGTAGCGGGCCGCTGAGGCTTGCAGCTGACTGGCCTGGGCTGTCCTGTGCAGCGCTTAGCTACCACCACGACATTGCTATTACTGCTGTCTTGTTGCCGACGGTCGGTCCACGCCACCTTGACCGGATGAGGCCTCGTCACTGCTCCGACACCTGTGGCAGCAGAATTGTATAGCACGTGACTTTCTGAATGTTTTGCCACGATTTGCTGCGATTTGAAGGGTCGGCCACAATAAAGAAGCGAATAATGATACCTGAAGGAGGGTATGTACCTGCCCCGTTGTGACCTAGGCCTCTTGCGCGATGACACTCCCGTACAGCTTGTAGTCACGTCACGCGTCTAGCTGCTGTTAGCTTCCTGTGGGAAGTGAGCAGATATGCGTACCTGTGGGTGAATTGGTGGTGGAGGATTCCTGTGGGAAGTGCCCCCCGGCCCCCACAGAGCTCGCAGTGACCCGCAGGCCGGCATCGCCACTGCTGTTGATGGACGACCAGAGGCGGCGGTCAGCATCTACGGACTGCTGTTTCCTCAGTGGGCGTCGAGACGACGTGGCGGCTGACTGTTGCAGCGACAGCTGTCTGACCGGGCCGCCGGGACGCCGCCTTGCAGACATATCTGCTCCTGGAAGGGAACAGACCAGTCAGTTTCCACACGCTCGTGACATTGCTCGGTCAAGTTGGAAATTGTTCATTGTCTTGGGTGAATTATTAATAACCAACGTTTCGGCAACGAAGCCTGTTGCGGTATCCATGTGATTTTCTCTGCATTGACAATTTTTTTTAATATTATGCTGGCAGTGGAAAGTGACACCGTTTAAACTGGTATATTGTTACCAACTTTTCGAAGCAGCCTGCTGCTTTTATATTGAGAGTAGAAACGTCTGTAAACCTGTAGACCCACAAACTCTTCCACCCTGAAGAAGGAGACAGCCAACTATCTACCAGACTATATGACGTCACACCGAACAGGCCGGTCTAGCCGTAGCTCTAGATTTGTATTCGGGAGGCGTTTGCTTCGAATCTGGGCCAGGATAATAACTATCCAGACAGAAGTTTCTCGTGGTTTTCTTCAGCCCCTCTAGAAAAATGCTGGAATAGTACCTCGATTGGACCAAGACCGCTCCTACCAAACCTTTCCGAATCACAGTTTATGTATTATTGTTACCATTCGACGGTATAGAGTCCCGGTACTTCTGACCCCACAAGACAGTAAACGTGACTGACAAGTCACCGTGCAACTTCGGCACGTCAATTCGAGTTATCCATGAGATATGACCTTCTGGGTACGTGACGCTGTATATAGTCCGGCAGAAGTTTACCGACGTTTAGAAGGAATGTCTCGCCTCCATCCTCAGAGTGAGATAATCGGCTAAGCAAAGCATGAGCGAGAAGGTTGATCTGCTCGCTGCTGGCTTACTTGGCTTACTCGTCGACTGCGAAGTTTGAGGCAGCGTATTCTTCCGAAACGTCTGTAAACTTCTACAGGCTACATGGTGTCGTATCCCAGAAAATAGAGTTCTTCAACTTAGTCTTATCTGCATTAACTGCTATAGAAGGTACCCCCTTAAATAGGTCACAGTGGGTCNGGGGGGGGGGGGGGGGACAGACAAGTCCTTTAGGCGCCGTTCAATTAATCCTACCCCCTCGATGAATGCGATGAAACAGCTTTTGTTTTCGTGTCAGCGAACAAAAGCCTGTGAGTCTATTGGTGTGAGAAGCGCGCCAAATGTTACGTCATCACGTCCGAAGGTCGATGTTTCGAACCGAGTTTTTTGATTAGTGACGTTTATGAGGCTGGAATTAAGACAAGCTTTACAGACGTTTCGTGCCTTTTGCAGTAACGAAGTTGCGAGAGAACGACTACTGGAGAGTTTGTGTGACGGGAGGAAATACCTCATTTCCGTGAAGTTTCCGGTCGCGCGGGGCTCAGCCACTCGGCACGAGAGCTGTTAATGACACGAACATTCGGCGGGTTATCCCAGCCGTACATGTATCAGTTGCCCGCTCCTATACGGTTCTCAGCCTAAAGTATCGAAAATTGAATACTGAAAACTCTGTAATATATTTTGTGTTCACAATTCTGTCTTGATGATGGAGGCCGCAGGTTTCTCCGAAACGTTGCTAACTATATATATCAAACTATACGGTGTCACAGCCCGCAATATTTTTACCTTCTTGAGAACCCTCAAATCTCACATACCAAGTCTTCCGGGGAGCAGAATTACCCGTGCCCAAACTTGAAGAAGGGGTCTGCTACAGACTCGAATCTTAGAATCTCAAATGACATAACTTCGCTTTGCAGCGGGTAGCAGTCTGTTTCGTATTGAAGGTCTCGGGTTCAACACTGTATTGGACATAAAATGCAAGTTTTATCTTTTTTCTGTCACTCTCGTTCGAAACGTTTTTATCTGCGGTAAAGATTTATGGAGTCGCGCAGAAACGCAATATTGTCACGTGGCCGTTGTATTTTTCTGGCTCACTTTAAGAGGAAACTGGGAATCGTAAAAAGGTAAAGCTATTCCTGTAACAGGCCGTGGAGGTCCACAGGGTTGTGAGACGTCGAGGCCTCCACATTTTGTAGTCGGCTCATAGATGGCGGTGAGATTGTCAGCCTTACGCGCCGGCCGTCCTTTATTCCCCAGGGAGATCCCTGAATCCCTGATACTCATTTCTGTTAGAGGCTGAGCCGACCCCAGGGCCATAATGCGGCTGGAAGAATTAGGTAAATTGAAAAATCCAATGACCTCATCGGGAATTGAATCCGTATCCTTCCGTCGTGTAGAATAGTGCCTCAACCAAGTACGCTACCAACACTTTTTTTTTTTAATTTCTCAGTATAAAATTTCAATAAATGTCGCAATGATTTTCATGCGCTCAGACGGACGGACAGTTACTTCATGGGCACGAGATCGGAACAGAACCATTCTGGATAGGTTACAAATGATTTTCCCACTCGTTGCAGGGGGCGGGGAGTGGGGTTTTGAGCCCTGCTTATAAAAACCGAAGATAGATCGCGCCTGTGACGTTGATTTGCGAACCGAGCGATCACCATGATATGCCCCGCTTCCTTGCAGTGCTTGGTGCAGTCACGACTTCCATTTACGGCGATCCCATCAGGCCTGGTGATTGGGGCTGCAGACCAATCAGTTAAGCTGCAATTAAACTCGAAATTGCATCTCCTGGAATAATTGCTGGACGATCAGAAACATAACCCCTCCTACCGCATTCGTCCTCTGTTTAAGTCACATGACGCCTCCTGCGTATATCCGGTTCATCACACGGCACTCGAACGGCTGGACTTGGCGGTAACCCACAGACGTTTATTCTGCAGGTGCTGGGTTCGAATCCGGTATCTTTCATGAAGTTCTTCATGCTTTTCCTCCGTGCCTCCAGGTAGATGCGGGACAGCAGAGTCCCTATTATCCGAATTGCCAATTAACCGAATCATCGCATCGAGAACTGCGCCCGCTAAACAAATATCCCTGTTAGACTTCTTCAAGTACATTTGTCCCTGCGCTCAAGTAATTAAGTACTACGCCATGAAGGGGTAGGGGGGAGTGGATGTATACATCCACATTTTCTTGATCTCGGCACTGCTGGAGGCGAGTGGTCAGCTTCACGCCCCGGCCGCTTTACGCCCGGGGAATAAGCCCCCGATATCCATTGGGTAGGAGGTTGGGTGGACCCCAAAGCCAGTCTGGACGACTTGGGGAAAAGAAAATTCTTGACCCTACCGGGACTCGAAATCCAACCCTTTGGTAGTCCAGCGCGTAGCCAGTCGCTATACCGACTGAGCTATCGCGGCTCCTCTTCTCGAAATGAAGTGTTCGAAAATGTTCATTTACAATTACATGTATTAGTTTTTCGTGTGTCGCCTGTTTAGAAAAAATGTAGTTATCGTTGTAACACAGTACATTACAACAGCGCTTTTCGTTGATAATTTTCGATAATCCTAACCGCCTGTTTCACTAATTAATTCGGATAATTAGTGTTATACTGTACTTCAATTATACCACGATCGCTTCCTTTCATATCCCTTTCTATTCATCAGTCATCCTACCATTAGATGCTAATAGGGCCTCATCTGGATAAGACAGCTTCGCAAAATAAACCTCGTTAAGAGAATTTGTATCTTCTGCGATGTGACGCCGTGTGCTCTGGTACATCATCACAGACGTTTCGCAGTAGCGTGCTGTGTAGGCAGCACGTTCCTCTCAAACTGCGGGAAATCAGTCTGTGACCGCCTTTAGAAGCCCACGTCTCGCAGGAAGGCAGATCAGTGTATTCTGCACGCACTGGACGGGGTTCACGGTTTCCTGCCAAGCTACTGCGAGCGATGTATAAGCAGATGACATGTGCCACGCCGGGCTCGCAACAGTAACCGAGCCATGACGTCCATCATGGGAGCAGAGGGCACATGCCCCCGTGATCTCCGCCCCCTCTTCGCCCCGAACTGGTATCGGTCCGCGAGCTTCCACACAGCTTCCCCCTAAGCCCGAAGGCCGTTTGCGAATTTACAGCCCATCCAGGGGTGTAGCCCTGGATATAAAAGTGCCGGACCGTCTGGCACGCAGAAATTTGAAACAATTGTGACATGAAGTCTTCTTGTGTCTGCTTAACGGCGACTTTGCACCTTTACACGTGAAACTGAAGGACAGATCTCACGTACGTGAAGAGAATGCAACAGAGAGACAAAAACTTGCGGTGACGCCGTGTAATATGGTAGCTGCTAATCAACTTTTTGCAGAAAACTTTGACTTCCATCTCCATCATAGGAGAATAACCCGTGATATAAGGTGAAAGTGAGTGGTCGGTTTCACGCCCCGGCCGTTTTATCCCCGGTACCCATTGAACAGGAGACTGGGTGGGGGCCTCAGAGCCGGTCTAGACGACGCGAAAAATAGAAAAATGTTGCCCCTACGGGACTCTAACTCCGTCCCCTCGCTAACCAATGGGAGTGGCGTAAACTGAATGGGACACTGTGGCACAAGTAGAGAGGGGTAAGGCGCACTTCCTTTGTAGCTTATTTAACGACACTGGAAGGATCCCGAACTCTTGCACACTTTTACAGTTCACTATCATTCAGCCATTCAGCGTTGTGTGAGCTGAATTACTGACGGCGTCGGAAAACCATTTCGGAGGCATTGGCGGTAGGTGGGAGAGTAATATTAAAACGAATCTAAGGGAAACTGAAACACGGTTGGCAGTGCAGCCTCACTTCAGTGTCTCTCAACCCTCGACACCAGATGTCTCTGACTGGTTAGCGTTTTACTCGCGGGGTAAGGGCCCTCTGCGCCTGCTGAATAGACGAGCCGGAGAATTAGACGCGATGGAAAACAGAAAGATCTCTTCCCCCCCCCCAGGTCTCTAGTCACCTAGTCAGCGTTTCTCAGCCTTCTCTTTATAAGGCATTCCTTTAAAAAGTGTCTTTTTGAAGTAACCCAAACACCTAAGATTCTCTAAAAACCATCTGTATAAACGACTGAATTGTAACTGCTTGTTTGGAAAAAATTACGTACACGAAGTTCACTTGCCACCGTACTTAAAAAACGATACAAAAACTTAAAATGCAGACATTTCAGTTGCGTTCGCGTAAACCCCCCTCAAGAACATTCTCGCTTGCCCTAAAGGGTACGCGTATCACAGGTTGGGAAACACTGATGCAGCCCATAATGTAGTCACTAATCTGACTAAGCTATGTGGCTCATTGTTGCAGAAGCAGGGGATCTGAATTGTTCTTCTAAAATATTTTTGTTGCCACGTCACTCTCGTGCCTTGAGCAGGCAACCGTACGGATGAAACGTCACGTGTCTGGGGATGTCAGTTCCCGTCGCTTGTTGAAAGCAGAACCCGGTGACTCTGTAACAATGCGTTCAAGATCTACGTCACGGCGAGATGTTGATGCGACCGCAGTGTGTAATATGAACTAGATTCCGGTTGGTCAGGGCGCGCACTGGACAACCTCTGAACTCGCGGAACCGTATGTTCGTGCGGAGCGCTCTTCTGTCCGTCACACACAGGGATCGAGGATTCATCAACTCCGATTTTAGTTTTTCCGTTTGTGTTTTCGTGCGTAAGCTGAGGCCTTGCGCCGGGCCGATCGCCCATTCAAGGAGCCTACGGAAACGTCTAAAAGATTAATAGTTCCAGAAGTTATTTTGAATTGAATACGTTAGGGAAGAAGGGGCGGAGGGGAGAGGAGGATGAAATCCATAGACTCGCACAGGAAGGCTCTGTGTACATGGAGTCGGTCAGTGTATCACAGAAACCGCTGACTGTAAATCACGGTCGAGAATTTTCTTCCTTAAAGAAAGCAGTTCGTAGGAGTACGCAAGTAAACGCTTACCTTACGCAGTTACGACGCAGGCGCTGGAGAACTGTGACGGCTGCAGAGTTGGGCAGGCCGCGCGAACAGCGCCATGCTCCCCGAATAGAGGCTCAGCAGTGGGCCGATGGCCCACTTCCAAAAGACTGAGAAAACTTTAGACTTGTTTACCCATAACCCTGTTTTATTGATCAAAAACTTTCCTGTCTTCACTGACAGTTTGTTGTCATGCGGTTGCCATGGCGACGTTCTCTCTCCACTTTGTTTCGTGTCCATGGATACGAGAGCCACGTGGGGAGCTGACTGCGAGAAGAGTCACGAGATACTGGTGCTGATGTATCACATGAACTGGAGTGAACTGTTCTTGGTGACATGATCTGAAGCCTGAATTCGTACTAAACAATATTTAGAAATTTTGTTCTTATATTACCGTGATTCAAATACAAAGACAAATATTTTCATGCTGTTTACTGTGTCATACGAAACACATAAGTACTTTATGTGAATAAAATGCAGAGATTCCTGCACTGTTAAAGCGGGTGGCACACCTAATAATCATTTGAATCGTTACTGGAATCTGCAGTCAAATTCGTCATAATACAGTGAACAACATATCTCATGTATTACGAGTACATTGAATAAGAATTCCGTTTCCGCCGGATGCCAGTCATCAGATATTGACCGATCTAGAAAGTCAGCTCCACAATAAAACGACTGTCTTCAATTTGGGATGTCCCAACATGTAACATTCCGAAACCAGTCCGAGATATATCGACTTCTAATTCCGATAGCTCTATTCAGTTTACTCCCTTTATTTTCCTCACTCCCCCAAGGCGAAACAGGAGCCCTTGACAGCCCATCGTCTGAGAGTACGTTACCTCACATGCTAAAGTCCAGGAAGTGATCGGTTCAAATATGGGGCACGCGGTAGCGTAGCTGGTTGAGGCACTATGCTACAAGCCATAAGGTCGCGGTTTCGATTCCCGATGAGGCCATTGAATTTTTCAGTTGACCTAATCCCTCCAGCCCTGGGGTCGACTCAGCCTCTGATAGAATGAGTACCGGGAATCTTCTTAGGGAGAAAAGGCGGCCTGCGCGTAAGGCTGACAACCTCACCGTCATCTGTGAGCCGATTGTCTAGAAAATGTGGGTGCCTTTGCGTGGAAATATACAAATGACCATTTAGAGGCCTACGTTACCGTTGGATAAATGAAGAAATGGACAGAGCCACTGGTACCAGCTGTTCAGGCGATACTCCCGTTTCCTCCAGGGTTGATGTAGAATTATTTTCTGGGGCTACCCTGTTTGAATATTAGCCAAGTTACCAGATGTCCTGACTGCACTGCTAAACGATTTCATTTTCTGGGCCTGCCCTGAAGGAGCACCTTCTTATAGTGTTCGAATGCTGCTGGGGTGCTCCTTTGTCATTTACTATAAATGTTACTTCTCCGACATGTTTCTACCTTATAAGGTTATCACCAGGTACATACTCTTACGTAATTGCTGCGCTCTGCCCGTTTTAGGAGCGCTACAAGAAAGTGCACCTTCCAGGCTGGCCCTGTGAATCCTGTGTCAGACAAGGGTATATTGTGGTCTTGTAATTTGTTTATTGTGAGCTGGTCTTAGAAAATTAAAAAATAGATTGAGATCTTTAAAACTAGTGAGTATACTAAACTGATTTTGATTAGATCCCTATAACAGTTTTCAACAGTATCCGTTGACGATCAGACATGGNTCTGAACCTAGTTTTGTAGTATATAATTCAGTTTGAAAACGTTATACATATATTTTATAACCCATTTTCCAAAGAAAATTCATCAAGTATATTTGATGACCAGTAACAAGAAACATGAATCGGAACTTTTGTAATGTCATCTGCTGGAAGAAAATACTTTCAAGAAATCATAGCACAATTCATATCATATATTCATAAAAGTCGAAGTTTGTTGAGTCGTTAGTCTTGAAAAAGAGAAGACATATTTAATGTCTACCGAATGTTTCCATGTAATTAGCAAGCACAAAGAGCATAATACAAGAATACTTATTTGTGTTTGATGGCATGTTTCAACTCCAAAACTACACAACATATTTTGATGAAATTTGGCATTGGTAGCCAGCATTAAAAGTTGTCGGCAGATGTAATTCTACCTCAAATGAGTGCATTACTATTGCTACCCAAGGTGAAATCAAAAGTTCTTAGTTTATATTTTAGGGTTCTTACAGCAATGAATATAAAAATTATGCTTTTCTTGGATTTGAATCTGCTGCCTCCATCTTCAGAGTAGACTAAAGATGACTCATGATACAAAAAGGTCAATTTTCAACATGATTGTGTTTTGGTCTGTTCATTTTATAACCTAAAACTAATCAAGGATGGCAGGGTGTTAGAAAATCAGTATATTTCAGTTTGCCCCTTCTTAACCTATTGTTCACCATGGAAGTTCAAGATGTACTAGAGAGGGCTTCTCTCTAGTCTGAGCTTTGGAATGTTGACAGCTGGTGTTTTATTGTCAGTCCATCAGGCTGGGTCATAATATTTTCCATCTAAGTTTAGAAAACAGATTATTATACCAACCCCATATCAACTTGTTGGTTCAAATCATGGCCGCAATACCGGATGTCCTGGCTGAGGTTACACAGGTGGGAAGAATATTGCCCATGGAAAAATTCAAACATATCCCTGAGAAAATCGCAAAGGCAAAGAATACAGATAGACATTTCAACAGAACTGCAAATTGTGGTGTCAATAAAACCCAGAGACTAGATACAAAACCATAGCCTGTACACTGCAAACACCAGTCAAATTCTGAGGTACTGTGTCCAAAATTTGCTAGATTTGAGTCTGTCATGGTGGTGTGAAGGTTACTGTCTTTTGGGATGACACCATGCTAGATGGTTACCAGCATTTCGGAGGAATCTGCTGCCTTCATCTTCAGGGCGGAATACATATAGAATTTTGTATGAGAACGTTTGAAAACCTGAAAAGCACATGGAAGAATAATGGAGATTAATCTTAAGGAAGTAGGCTGTGAGGATTGAAGAGAACTGGCATTTGGCTCATGTTCATGTCCAGCGGTGGGTTTTGTCATTGGCGGTGTCAGACCTTAATGTTCCGCTATCTGAGAGGTCGTAGACAAACTTAGTTTTCTTTTTCTGTTTGGAAGTTCATAGGACATTACGGTGCTTATGCATGGGAAAGGAACATGTGGACTATTGGAGTTGTTACATTTTACACTGAATTCAGATATAAATTATTTAAATTAGGTGCTGGTATATTTTATGAGACTTATGATGCTTTTTCAGGTTATAACCTTGACTTGTATTAGAAGCAGAACACTGTAAGACTGTGGTAGCTTCTCTCCTATCTGATCAGATCAGCCATTAGCATTGGCAGGTAAAAACCTGGACGTCTGTGGTGAGATTCCTTTTATTTTACCAGATATTTCTGGTCTTTACAGAGATAGCAACAATTGAAACTTAGGTTTAATGATAGAGATACTTTCACAAAGAATGATTAAATTTCTGGGTGTGGAGGAACATCGTGGAGCAAAGGAATTGCTCGAGTTCAACCTCGACATGCTTCGTATTTTGGGAATCTGGAAATGGGATGTACCTCACTGGAGATTTCATCGAGCATTTGCATTCTTGACTATTATATCACTTATTGTGTTCAACTTGACACAAATTTGTGATGCATACATCTACATTTCAAGCCTAGACCATTTAACAAAATTACTTCTATCTACTGTAGTCACAGTCCTTCTTGCAGTTAAGAATATTTACTTAATTATTAGATCTAATGAAGCATGTGAACTTATCAATCAGCTACAAAACAAATTTTTCATAAACAAACGACAGCCCACACCAGAGCAGACTCTCATCTTGAACAGATATGCAGCAAGGGCAAAACTTTATACCATCATAAGAAGCAACATAGCACTCAGCATAATTACATTTTGGGTTTTATATCCAGTTAAAGAAATGCTTGAGGAATATGTAGACAAGTTTGATACCCCAGAGTATGGGATTGACATTAAATCTAAGAGCAACAAAACCACCATTCTGCACTTACCATTTGTTGCATACTACCCATATGATGTTCCAAACAATTTTCTTCTTTTTATTCTAACCTATTTATATCAGGCATTTTGTGGATATTCTGTCTTTATTGGAATGTCTGCTTGGGATATGCTGTTCGTTTCCATATTTATTCACACATCTGGACATTTCAAAGCACTGCAGCACGCTTTGATCCACCTGTCTGATGAGGCTCTTGGAGCGCTACAACGTGATGAGAATCAGCTTAAGCTGCACCGATTAGCAGAACAAACTGACACTGATGCCAGAAGTGTGTGGACAGTGGGACTTAACCCACAAAATCATATTGAAGGTAGTGTAAAAATGAAGCTCCTTCTCAAGTAGATGAATGATATTTTCCGGTGACATTCACCTCATGGGCATAAGACAGGGACTGTACATCCAGAATTTCTGTAGAACAGTTAGTAAATTTGAAGAGTAGAGTCTACAGGGCCGTGACATGCTGTGGTTCAGAAAAGGTCTGACATTTCAGAGGATCATATTACCATCTGCAGGCTCTGTTTGCTGTGTGCTTCTTTCTGCTTTTGTGCTTGGTTTTTTCTTTTGGCCCAGAAGTTTTGGACGATATGTTCCTCCAAAACATTGACCTCTCTCGAAACTACATGGCACTGCAACCCAAACCATGCTTTTCATAGTCACTGCTGTGAGAATCTCAAATGTAAAAGAGTTTGTAAATATATAAGTTATAAGGGATATTACTTTGATGCTTTAACATTGTGTATGTCTCTTATTCAGTGGATATGGAATGTTCTTTACAAATTAAGTTTGTTATCTGTGATAATTTTGCAGGTGAAGGAACTGAAAATGACAGAGGAGGAATGCAGGCAGAGATGATAAAACAGAAGCTAGAAGAGAAGATGCAGCACATTCTCAATAACTGCATCGAACATCACCAAGCCATTTTGAGGTGAGGCAGATGACAGATCTATAACCTATCAGATGTTAAGATCAGATTCTTCCCTGTGTGGAAACTGCAGAATACTGTAGGCTGCCATGGTATAGCACACTACAAGTTGCAAGCATGATCAATATACAACCACATTTTGATATGGGCTACTTCATTCTTATTGTCAACCTGAGTAAATGAATTTCAAGTTCAGGGACAAAGAAGTATATACTTATTCTACATTAAAGAAGGAGGCAACAGAGTTTTACCTAATTTCTATGTTCCAGCTGACAGTAGTCATATTTTAATTTCCCATTTCCAAAGGCACGGAAACTTTAGGTTTCATAAAAGCAGGAATTTTTTTTTACCTGCTGAGCAACAACCAACATTTCCAAGAAGATTCTGCACTATGGAGCTAGTTTCTGAGTTTTAAATCTCCAGATAAAGCAAATGAATGCATTACACTAAAAACTTCATCACATGTAGTATGCTACATCATTGTAATTGTCTTAGGTAAATTACATTGCATGTATTAGGGCCATATTTGCATGGTATTCTAACATGTATGCAAGGAGTTGAGCATGACATTGTGACATAGTCTACTAATATATTGCAGCTTTGTTATGAAACTGGAAGCTTTTCTGAAACCAGTGATGCTACTGCAACTTTTTGTCAGCATGGTCGCCTTTTGTGTGATTTGCTTCCAGATGTCAATGGTGAGTCTGATAATTGCACAACAAAATAAGTTTTCCATTTTATTTGATAGCTTGTATGAAATAAGCTGTTTTTTTACTGAACTGGATATTCAGATATTCATAACCAAAAACTGTGGCAGTTTCCTTTTCCAGGTCATTATTTTTCTGTGCAAGATGTGCTCATACTGACCATTTGTCTGATGATGTCATCTAAACAAGAAAAAACTTTCTTCACTAGTGGAAAATCATATTCTCACATTATGTTGACACTCAAAGTAAAAATACAAACATAAAATGTGATGAACTGTCTTGGCTCAAAATTCAGTTTACAAAACTGCGACACGATGCAAAAATATTGTGTTCAGATCTGGGATCTGTATACCAGAATTAACTGAAGGTCTATTTTTCCGTTGTGTTATCATACTCTTGTTGACTAGAATTATCACCAAGTAAGTCAGAATGCTGAATTCAAAATTCATTATTAAAATTTCACATCCATCATTTTTCTTGATGTTTATTTCCTCTAGATATAAATCTAATGTTGTCAGAATGTGATTAGTTTAATTTATCGAAGGCTTAAACTGCCTACAGTGTTGCTCTGTGTTTCAGATTCAGATCCATACTGATGCCACAAAATTCGTGAAGTTGTCTGTCTCGCTCGTCTCTGCCCTTATCGAGCAGGGGATGTTCTATTGGTTTGGAGGGAAAATGCTAGAAGAGGTAAGGGGACTTTGTGTATTACTGATTCTCAGGTTCATTCAGCTGATATTTTCATGACTGCATAATGGAACTTTCTTCAGAAGTTGTCTGATTATAATATAACAACTATAATGGACATGTACACTATTCTGGAGGCCCTGTCTCTGTCTTCAGGTGGAAGGAAACAAATTTCTCACCTGTTTTAGAGTCCATCAGCAAGTTGCAGTTTTATCTAAACCCTTCCATGCTATAAACACTGGATATGTATGTCTATTGACATGATAGGTTAGCTATGGTTATTGACTCTAGATGGCATTTGGTTGGGTGAATTGATTTATTGAACACTCACATGTCATAACTACAAATAATTATAACACTCTAAAGATGACTGTAACTATAACACATAAAATAAAGTCTTAAATGTCTGCTTCCTTAGTCACTGTTTGGTAACAAATTTTAGATGCTTATGTTATCATCAGACTACAAAACTGTTGAAACTGGTCCCTTCATTGCTTCAATGCAGCTCTCTGCCATGTTTTTTTTTTTCATTCTGCTGATATTCATAAAGTATTCTTGGAGTAAAAGAATTTGCTCTGTGGTAGATATCTCTGACCACCTTGTGGTCTAGTGGTCAAAGTTCCTGGCTACAGACTCAGAGGTCCCGCGTTCGATTCCCGTTGCTACCAGATTTTCTAAGAAGTAGTGGGTCTGGAATAGGGTCCATTCAGCCTCCTGAGGATAATTGAGGAGCTGTTTCAAGGAAATATCGGCTCAGGTCTAGAAAACCGAGATTAACTGCCATGGGGATCAGTGGCCACACCATAGCTCAAGCGGTTAGTCGCTGGCTTCCCACCGCGACAGCCCGAGTTCGATCCCAGGTCTGGCGAAGTTGGATTTGTGGTGGGCAAAGTGGTGCTGGGTCGGGTTTTCTCTGAGTACTTCGGTTTCCCCTGCCAATCTTCATTCCGCCAAATTCTCCATCATCATAATCACCTGGGGCAGGTACAATCGTTGGCCGCTGTTCCGAGTGGATCCAGTTGGACTCCACCCCCCACTAAGTGAAACGGCTGTGGGGATCCTTTGCGCTGACCACGCGACATACTCTATCAGCTAAAATTGGCACTAACTTCGCCTACAAGCAGCAGTCGCTTGGTCGGTATAGTTCGCTTGCAGCCTACAGGCCACAAAGTTTGTAGATATCTCTAATATTCCATGTTGTCATTTTGAGGTGATTAGTAGTCTGTAATCTTGTATCACTGTTAAGAGATGAGGTTCATATTCTAGGGATATGCATCCAAGTTTGTCGAATTTAAGCTTCTCAGTCAGATGTATGTTGATCAAAGTATGATATGTATAGGTGACCTGTGTTAAAACATCACAGTTATATTACAGAGTTTGAAGACCCTGAATGCTGCATATAACTGTGAATGGCACACTGCAAATAATAAATTTAGGAAACATCTTCACATATTAATGGAGAGAGCAAAGAGTCCAGTGAAGCTGACAACTGGAGGTTTCTCAACCTTGACTCTTGAAAGTTTTACTAAGGTATGTGCAGTTGGGATATTTCAGTCACTGAAGTGACTGACTCTAGACTGGAGTGTTGTACTTTTATTGCATGATAATAACTAAAAGTACAGATGACACCTGAAGGTGGTTGAATTTATTGCTGAATTGAGTGTTGGATTCTCACATTAGTGACTGTGAAAGGTATGTGACATAAGAACACGTGGTTTGGATATAGCCAGTTTTTTGGAGGAATATATGACCATCTTCGAGGTCAAAAAATATGCCAGGAAAGAAGCAGTAGAAGTAGTTATCAAGCTAAGCTGACTTGCCTGCCGCCTTTGCTGGTTTTTTGGTTGGCTTGCTCTTTGACCCTAAACATGGAGACAATATGTTCCTCTGAAATTTCAGGTTCTCTATGAACTACAGTGTATTACAACCTAAAAGACTGTATGTAATCTTCAAGTGAATTGCTGTTTCTTGGGTTTTGTGGCGAGTAATATAAGAAAAAGTGGATTCTCAAGATCAATCAATGATTAATGTAGAGAAGGTTTATTAAATGCAGGACTGTCAATAATACAAATAATGCATAAGTTAATCATATGTCATTAAATTTACATAACTTAACCCGGTCTATGAGTGTGTATGAGAATTTAATATTATCTTGCAAAACTTCTCTAGAGTTAACTTTCATTACCTTAACCACGTGACTATCTGAAGGTTACCATTATGCAAGGTACTGCATATCATGAGAGGAACAAGATTGCTGGAGAAGTAAATGTTAGAAAAGTAATGCACAACAAATTGGACATGATTATGGTGCAATGATAATTTAATGCCCACAGTTCTAACTGTTCTTTCCAGTCTCTTCAATATAATTCTCTTTTTAACTTGCAGGTAGTCCAGTCATCATACCACTACTTCACTCTGCTCAAGGCAGTGCACGATGAACATAGCAACTGATGCTTACAGCTGGAAAAAAAAAAAATTACAAATATTTATAAGTTCTGCAGTTTGAAGCAAAATTACTGTGATGAAAGTCTTATGGAGAGAAATGAATGCGGACTGATGACCCCACATGAGAATATTTATTACAATCTGTGTTAAAAAATTATTATTTGACATATGGCAAAGCACCTATTTAAGGTTTCTTTGTGGAACAAAGAATTTTAAAGTCAAACTGAAAAATGAAATAGTGAAGATTACCATCTTCTAAAATGTTGCGGCAGGTAGCCTTCTAGAATGTTACCAGCGTTTCAGAGAAACTTGCTGCATATATCTTCAGGCTACAAAGATAGAGACAGCACGTACCTCTAGAATAATAACATTCTACAAATTATATGATCTCACATCTCAGGTGACAGTAATTGTCATAGTTTCTGTCATGAGAACCTCAAACCTTAGTGAGGAAAATCTTAAACAAATGAAATTTAACACTAATATAATTGACTTTGGATCATTGAAACTAAATTTTAAGTTAGGAAAATCTTGATGTTTGAAGAAATGAAGTTAAGAACTTTCTCAAATGGCAATAGAACTGAAAATTTAGCCTTTGGCGAATCTTTGTGATCCTGTCTTTTTTCTTTCTTGAACCCCAGCCTTAATTTGGGAATTATAGGAAACTTACGTTGTACTTAATCTGGATATAACACATCTTGGTGCCAGTAAATTGAATTAAGAAAAAAAGTGAACACCTCTTAAGTTTTTCTTTTTCAGACACAAGTGAACCTTAACAGCACACTCATTCAATACATTTTTATCGTGGCATTCCAAAAACAAAAAAATGAAATCAATTCTACAGCTAACGTATTATGCATATATTACAATCTCAGTCCATACTATGCCAGTTGTGGAAAATAGGACAAGCCAAATGTTCAACCCCACCCCCCAACAGTTAGGTAAAGGAAATTACCAAATATTACCACAAATAATTTAAAGTANCCCCCCGCCAAAAGTCAGTTGTCGCTGTGAGGGAAATTAACCTCTGGCGTTCACATACTACCTCTACTAGCCTCTGCCAATGGTTTAACGATGATCCGTGCCCATGGATAATACCACGACAATGATCACGGAGGAAATCACGTCAGTGGGTATGCTGACAGTGACGACGGCGGCGACCTCGGCTTATATGAATGGTGTTAAGACCGATGGCTGTTCTGGAAAGTAATGCACAGTAATCCTCTAAAAATAGTGAGAAAGTGAAGTTCGTATTTGAATCTTCTGAGAGTGGAATTTTTTTGTGTGAAACAAATTGTAATGCATATGAGCAATAGTTAATTAGCGCAACGCACCCTCAAACAAACTGTTCGATTAAGAAGCCGACGAACATGAACGGAGTAGAAAAAAAAGAGAAAAGGTTTTTTGAGGCCTATACGTTGAGCATTAACGTAACCAGTTTCATCCTATATAATTTTACTGTATATGACATTTATATGTGTGTTGCTGTTGTATGAGAAAAAGGCATTTTTTGGCGGTGTTGTTATGGAATATATACTAATAGACGGATTTCTTTTCATGTGTGCCTCCCAAAATACAAATTTGACATAGTTTTGAATGGCATGACGTGGACTGAACCGAATTTTTCGTACAGATGTTGTTGCATAATGTTTTAGAACACATAAGTGTCAATAAACATGGCAGATAAAATGAAAAAAGTTTTAACAGCAAAAGCACTGCAGGCGATTCAAGAATTAGATCAAGAAGGTTGTGTTACCACCTTAGATATAGGTATAAGGTCTGTATTTTTTGCATACAAATTATTTATGTTAGTTCATAAACCTTGTGGAGATAAATGAAATTTAATACATTCAACATTTGATTTCATGAAATAACAAGCCTGCTCAAGAACTCTGTTCGGTTCCTCTTCTGTTACATATTAGTTTTGAATCATCATTAATTGTCTCTTTGATATGTGCAGTTGTGATTTGTAAATGATGAATTGGCAAGGAGGTTAAAAGAAACTACCTAAATGCTTGGTCAAGCTAGCCAGTCTCTGGGCTGAGATTTGAACCCAGGATGTCCCAGATATGAATCAGGATTACTGTAATAATTGTTAATGCATGTACTTCTGAAGCTTTCACAGATGAACTTTAGCTTCATGATCTGGTTTGATATATAAGGTGTTCATGACAGTGAATATTAGATTTATGGCCATGGTCTTCTGGGATGTTTCAGACAAATTTTCTGCCCCCATCTTTTACCCTGAAAATGGAGGCAACAGATTCCTCTGAAATGTTTGTATCTGCTTCCCACACTGCATAACATCACATCCCAGATGACTGTAATTTCAGTGATCAGATATGGTTACAATTCTGTTCAAAATTTGTGTACACTGTGTGTATATGATGGTCACAATTGGATTGTAGATTGGTTCTGGAGGGGTCCAGGTCAGCAATGATAGCAGAGGGATGGCAAATATTGCACCACTTGAAAGAGTTCCAGCAGAGGACAATAGCAGAGTTGCTGAATGTTGCCTTGATAGAGAAATTACTGGGACTTGAAACATCATCTCGTAATAGGGCAGAGGTGCCGACTCTTGTAGCGTGGAATTTGAGTGTCTTGTCCTCGCAAGGTATGTAAGGTTTTGTTCTTGTTGAGGTCAGCTCTTAAATCATACACAGACAACTAATGGAAAAATTTCAGTTTGCATGTTGCTTGTCTTAATTTATTCAAATGTATGGTCTAAATTGTATATTGTGTAAAGAATAAGCAAACTCATTATTCTTGTACAGTCTAGTGTAAGAAAGCCCAAGGGAAAAAAGTGGGAACTTCAGTTATGATGAGAGTCTAATTCTTTTCAGGGCTTTCATCTGAGTTCTGCATTTGGGACAGGGGTGGCATTGAACCAACAAGTGACTGTGCATTTTTCTATGGAAATGGGAACAGTGCTCATTAATTATGTACAGTATTTTTTTGCACATAAGAGAATCATATCAGCAGTTAAGAGGGTAGAGTTTGTTAGTGACAGGATATTGTACGTAATAGTAAGAGGCCACTGGTGTGATATCATCATTCTTAATGTTCATGCCCAAACAGGATAACATTAATGATGTGAAAGGCAGCTTCCGTGAGGAACTAGAATCTATTCAGCCAAAGAGAGTCTGTGTTATTATGATTTCAAAAAGCATAAGCCACGGTGTGATGAAGGATGTTCAAACTGTCATCATCATCAGTAATCTGTCAAGACGACAGGTCCACAGTCTCTTTCAAAACAATTCCTCCAATTAATGCGATCTAGAGCTTTCTCCTTCAAATGACAGTATCCTCTTCTGTCCCCAAGGTCATCCAGCATCTTCTTACGTCTTCTTCCTCGTCTTCTTGTCACTTCTATCCGCCCATCTATCTTTCCTTCGATAGCTTCTTTTAGAAGGCAGTTTCTGCGTAAAACATGACCAATCCAATTAGCCTTCCGTTTTCTTATTTCATGTAGGATATACCTCTGCTCACTGACTCTAATTAACACTTCTTCATTTCTCACATAATCGGTCCAACTGATCTTCTCCATTCTTCTCCAACGTCAGATCAAAGGAAATAAGCCAAGCTGCAGTGGTTACAGGTTCCAAGAAGACCTGTATAGAGGAATAAATTAATTTAAGAGGGGTTACTAACCTAGAAGGGGGGCATGCGGTAGCATAGTTGGTTGAGGGGCAATGCTACATGCCGAAAGGTCGCGGGTTGAAGTCCCAATGAGGTCATTGGATTTTTTTTTCAGTTGACCTAATCCTTCCAGCCGCACTAGGCCCTGGGATTGACTCAGCCTCTAACAGAAATGAGTACCAGGAATCTTCCTTTGGGGTAAAGGGCAGCCGGCGCTAAGGCTGACAACCTTACCGTCATCTTTGAGCCGATTGTCTAGACAGTGTGGGACCCTCAACGTCTCACAACCCTATGGGCCTTCAAGGCCTGGTACAGGGATAGCTTTTTTTTTTTTACCAACCCAACCTAATGGTAACTTAGTGAAGGATGAGAATGGTGATCTGCTTGCAGATTCCCACAACATTTTGAATAGGTGGAGGAACTACTTCTTCCAGTTATTGAATGTACATAGGGTCAGTGATGTTAGGCAGATAGAAATATGTACAGCTGAGCTGTTAATACCTGATCCTTGCCCTTTTGAGGTTGAAATTGCCAGTGAAAAATCGAAAAGTTATAAATTGCCAGGTAGTGATGAAATTCTGGCTTAACTGATTCAAGCAGGAGGTGAAATATTATAATTTGAGATCCATAAGCTCATTACTTCTATTGGGAATAAGGAAGAATTACCTGATTCAGTTAGGAGGAAAGTATTGTAGACTATTCTAATAGAGTTTGGAGTGCCCATGAGACTAGTCACGCTGATTAAAATGGGTTTAAATGAAACATAATAAAATCCATGTAGGTAAATATTTGATAATTTTTCAGTCCAAAAAGTCTAGAACAAGGAGATGCTTTATCACAACTACTTTTCAACTTTGCTTTAGAATATACTATTAGGACGGCCCAGGAAAAGCAGGTGGGACTGAAATTAAATGGGACACATCAGGTGTTGGTCTATGCTGATGATGTGAATCTACAGGAGATAACATAGATGCCTTAAAGGAAAACACAGAAACTCCAACCCAAGTCAAAGTCATGTTACAACTGACGGTCATTTGCCATTCAGTCTTGGTGTTAAGCCCGCACCTGGGGCCCTAGACCAGATTTTTGTTACTATCAAACAGTTGTGAGTTTGACAATGTGGAGTGCCCTCTGTGACAAGAGGAAGGTTCTGTCTTTTACCATGTTCATAGTTAGTAGCACATGTCCTCTTATCTGTATATACAATTTTACATGTCAGCATTCTATATAGTCAGCTGATGAAAGTCCAGTTCCTTGTGGACACCTACTAACTTGAACTGTCATATGCTTGACCGCCACCAAGCTTAAACCTCTTACATTTTCTATGCCAGGCTTTGCCTTCTCCAGTGTCTGAAACCTTTGCATCTTCACGGTTTTGTATGACTTCTGCTTGTTGCCTGCACCCCCAGTTACTTCTCTCTATATAACCTCACCATGGACTCAACAGAAAACACTGCCTCCAGTATTTCCTCTATTGTTGCATGCATATCCATTGCCACAGAAACATGTTTACTCAGCTGTTGCCTCACAGTGAATGCCCGCTTAATAGCACCATCGCATGTTTACTGTCCCGTAACCTGTCAGTGGAAAGCTTTTCTTGTTAAACTGTTCAAGCTTTCAGCCTGTCCATCACAGTACATCTTGCATCTAATCTCTTTTTTATATATTTATAGTTTCTTGTTTTGCTGTGCTAGCCATGGAAGAAGCTGTAGGAAGCCTTATCACCGATTTCTTAAGAGAGAGTGTCCAAGGTGATATCAATGTACTGATCAGTACGTCAAAGCTTCTGTGTGAATATCCGCGCTGCATTCCAGTAGATGATGAACGTACAAGGCTTTGTGAAGTAGTGATAAGAAATATTGCAGAAGTACCTGTGCCCAAGCCCCAGCCTGCACAAGTGTCACAGCTCATTAAACAGGTATGAGAAATATAAGATGAGGGAAGATAGGAGATAAATGCAATGAAGTTTCCTCATGCAGTCAGCCAAGTCAAGCAAAAATAGAGTTCTAGTACTTTGGAAGCTCACTGTCATCGTCATCAGGGAACGTCATTGATTGTCATCAATCCCAGTTGAAGGCAACAGGGATAGTTCCTTAGATGTGGGAAATCCATTCCATCAGGTTGATTCCCTGAGAAGACTTGATTGCAGGTATAAAAATGATTGGCATGTGTAGCTCTACATGCTGTCATGTCACTTTATTGGTGGAATCACCATCTAAATGCATGTTATATGCCCATTTTGACAGTATAGCAGAAGTTTGGATCTAAGGGAGCCTATTTTTTTTATTGCTAGTGGGGTGGGACTAAGTCCCTTATACTGCAGCCACTTCTGGCCTATTGTACTGGCCCCAGATGATTGGTGAGGGTGATTGTGGATCAGTTGGTGGAATGAAGATTGGGAGGGGAAACCGAAGTACTCGGAGAAAACCTGTCCCAGCGCCACTTTGTCCACCACAAATCTCACTTGACCAGACCCGTAAGGGAACCTAAGAGAAACATGGAGAGATTACTAGTAGCCAAGTTTTTGTTGTAGAGTTAAAAAATGAACAAGAAGGGAGCTGAAGTCAGGACTTTGATAGGATCTGAAAGTAGAAATACTACAAGAAAAGTTGGTCAAGTTGAGGATGCAGAAGTACAGGCATGTGCAGCGATTATCAAAATGGAGGTATGAGATAGGTGATCATTTGGAAGACAGAATGAAATACAACAACGAATGAGTAGGGAAAGAATGACTAGAGATAAAAGAGTATGCTTTTTGAGGACAGAGCTGCAGATGGCTGTAGCCACTGATGTGCCTTTAAACCTACTCACACTCACTCTCACTGGAGAGTACAGGTAAAATCGCTTATGCACCATTATCAGTGTTCAGTAAACACATTTGTCTGCTCATCCATATTGAGTGAAAAATTGAAAGTGACCAGTGAAAAAACATTGAATTTGTTTGTTAATATTCAGTCTCATTTTCCTTTTGTTATTTCTGCACTTTTGTTGAACAGTAAATTATATTTTATGTACAGTATTTTCTGTATAATATGTAATATACAGGACAGCGTTCAATATGTCCTGTGTGTCACATAACAGTTAGTAGTTCAGTGTTCAGCAATTGCAGCAGCATGGGAAGTGTTGGTTTGTCTTGTGACTGACAGGTAGAATGTTTGTATGACTGGTGAACTGAGCCAACATTTGTTGTCCGGGTCATTGTTTACAGTGACTAATTTATTGATGAGGAGAACAGTCTGTGTTCTGTAATTTTGCTGTAATGCTTCTGGAAATTGTTGCAGATCATGGATCAGAGGTGAACCTCACTTGTACGATTCTAAATTGTGTGCATCACTTCATGAAACAAAAGTATGTATGTAGCTTTTTTGTTCCAGATGCAGTGCATTGGGGATCTGTTAGTCAGAGTTTGGAAAGACGAAGCAGGAAAGAGCAGTGAAGAACTCGTGTTCAGATCCCTTGGAGCCCTGCATGCATCACTGATTGACCTTCCAACTGAGCCCTGCCCCGCTTTGGCAGCTGTACTGCATTTGGTGGACCCACATCTCATCCCAAAGTGCGTGAGAGCTATTTTACAGGCCAAGCAGGGCCATTCTCGCACACTCCGCACTCTGTGTGACTGGCTTCTGCGGTGGCATCGTGCTGCCTGCCTGAGTCCCTGGGTTCTAGCCCTGATGGATGGCCTGGAGGCTGAGCAGCAGTGGGATGTGTTGAAGGAAGTGACACTGGCAACTGTGGAAGGCTTGTTTCTGGCTGTAATTCTTCCTGCTGTCCGAACTGGTGTCATAGAAGTTGTATGGCGTATGTTGGCATCGTCCAGGCACTCTCCTCAGGTTTTCCACAAGGTAACGTTGTTTGGTGGTGGTCCGATTCTCGTCCTTTTGCATCTTGCATCCCACTGGTCGTTTATCAGATATCTGTGGTCACACTGTAGTAAGATGAAAACTCCTTTTCTTTTTTCTGAGAAATATATTTGTACAATTATGCACATTTTAGAATCAGTGACATATTAATCATTAATGGAATTTATGAAGAACTTAAAAGATTGTAACAATTTTTGATAATATGTTGTGTTACTCTAATTATACAAAGACAGCATAGTTTGGTTACCAGAAGTATGGTCATAATGCAACATTGATGAGAAATGTGTGCTTACAGTGCAGGATAGTTCTTGTGTGACTGATTTAATTGTTGTTTTGTGACTTCACATCCCAGACAGCCGACCATTGTGTCCCACCAGTGAGGTACATCCCGCTGATTGAGGCATTGGGATGAAACCCAGACCTGAAGTCAGTGAGTGGCATACAACTGTAGCATTCAGAGAGCTGTATGTTCACTTGTGATAATTACCACTAAATTTGAAAATTTAAACAATACAAGAATAGTACAATACTAACAACCAAAGGCTTAGGAGACACAAGCAGAACAAATTCCTAAACGCTGTGTCTCTTAAGGATGGTGATCCATTAGAGAATGTTGAACATTAATTGTAATATTGTTGGCACTGTGGCTTTGTGACCTGTGTGTGATAAGTGATAAGTGTGATAAGCTTTCTGAATTTAGCAGTGTCACGCACTGGAAGTTGTTACTACATGTTGCCATATGCTGCAATTGCCATGTTCTGGGTGGCTGTGGCCGAAAGTAAGGCCGGAAGCATCCGTACGCTGCAGTTGATGCTGAAATGGTGCAAGAGTTGTGACACACTGCAGCAATTCATAGAAGCTGAAATTGCACATAATTATAGTTAAATCATGCATTATTCTTGTTTACTGCAGGTACTTAATAATCTCCCTACTGTTATGGTGCGGCTGCTCCAAGAAGGCTCGGAATCAAGCCGTGCCTGTCTCCAGATGGTGGTGAACATGACGTGTGCCATGATGGCTGCCTTTCCAAGGAATGATGACATGTATAATCTGGTGATAGGAGCAATGAAGGTGCCCTTATCTTAGAATCAGTTTGCTTTGATGTGATATTGTCAGATGATTGAGTGTGACTGTAGATGGGGTTTAGATTGGTAATTTGATTTATTGAACACTTACAGATTGTAACTACCAGTAACTATAGTGCTCTTGTGATTCACACTCTGCAATTCACTGCAGCACATGCTTAAGTCTTCTCAGTCTGCTGTCTTCACCAGATTTCTGGTAATGGCTTCCAATGGCAGACGTTCCCCTCAGTCTGGGTTCCTGAAGTGTCCCCGTGCCTCAATTACCAGCTTTTAACAGCGGCAGCTCACAAGGACTGACTCACAACAGTTCTCTGACTCACTCACTCTACTCCACTAACTCTCAGGCAGGTGGCCATCCCACACCAACATCCTGCCGTTCTCACTACTTTCTCAAGACTCTAGACTCTCTTGTAATCACAGCTGCCGTTTGTTGTATAGCCTCAGCACAGACCGCACAGAAAACACCTCTCCCAACAGTTCTTCTGTTGTTGCATCACGAAGCTATTGCATGGACCACGTAAGAACACTGTTTCCTAGTTACTTCATTGTTGTATGTTACGAATCTGTTGCCTAGCAACAGGCGCGTTTCAGAACCGTTCCCTAGGAATGGCTGTCTCTGCTGGCTTCACAGTTCTTGCCTTGATGAAATATGCCAAAATATGTTTTTGTTTTCTTGGGGGTGGAGGACAAAGTGCGTGAAGTGAATGCATGTAGTCGAGGTAATGTCCATCTGTTGCTTAGCAACAGGCGCGTTTCAGAACCGTTCCCTAGGAATGGCTGTCTCTGCTGGCTTCACAGTTCTTGCCTTGATGAAATATGCCAAAATATGTTTTTGTTTTCTTGGGGGTGGAGGACAAAGTGCATGAAGTGAATGCATGTAGTTGAGGTAATGTCCATCTCTGTGTTGACAGGTTTCATCAGTGAAACTGGTAAATGCAGTTTGATGTTGAGAGTTCACGTTGAAGACGAACTTGCACTGAGTCACCTTAGTACAATCCTTACTTTGCATCAATCTCAAACTGCATTTGTCATCTCAAAAAAGGCTCAAGAATTCATATGTATCAGTTATATGTGAAGATATGTTAATATAACTGTGTTCTCTTGGCTTATGTTGGCAGGACTGTTCATCTTTCTTTCCTCCGGGGCAGTTTGTGTCTGATGACATGCCGTCCTGGTGGAATGAGCTAGATTACACCATGAGTTGTAAAGCAAAAGAGCGTTCATCTTTAAGCCGTGTGGGGTTAAACAACTTGGGAAACAGCTGCTACATGAATAGTGTGTTACAGGCTCTGTTCATGACCCACAGGTTAGAAGCAGTGATTTTGTATTGATTGGTGATTTCATTGTTTTAGTAAAAAAAAGCAGTGAAAACAGGCTCCATACTAACTGCATCCCAGAGCAATGCAGTTACAGAACTGATGATATCTTGTAGCACTGTTAGGAGGAGAAAGCATCATGCCCATGTGTGTGTTGGATTGCAGGAGCCAAAACATTGTTAGGTTATTCGAGTCTGATGAGTTGTCAGCTGCATTTTTTTTATTGCTAGTGGAGTGGGACTAAGACCCTTGTACTGCGGCCACTTCTGGCCTATTGTACCAGCCCCAGATGATATAGGTGAGGATGATTGTGGAGCAGTTGGTGGAGTGAAAATTGGCAGGGGAAACCGAAGTACTTGGAGAAAACCTGCCCCAGCGCCACTTTGTCCACCACAAATTCCACTTGACCAGACCCGGGATCGAACCTGGGCCGCCGCGGTGGGAAGCCAGCGACTAACCACATGAGCTGTGGCGGGGCCTTCCTGTCAGCTGCATTAGTTTGACAATGAGACAAAGATCATGCATTGGTTTGAATGTGTTTGCTTGAATACACAAAATGAGAATGAAAGTGATGTGGTACATATGTTACAAAAACTTGCACAGTACCTCAACATCAAGCATGAAGCAAATATGGATACACAGGTCCAGTACGGAATGAACCTAACGAAACAGCTTGGTGGAAACACATCACACTCATTTTTAAATGGAATGGATAAAAAGTTAGTCTTTAAATTTGTAAAATAGAAATGTTGTCACTTTCATACAAGAAAATTATATCTGTGTTGTTGATTGCAGGTTCTGCTATGCAGTTTTGCAGAGTGATGTGCAGTCACAGCCATTACTCTCAGAGCTGCAAGCTCTGTTTGCACTCCTCCTTCACTCCCGGCGTCAGGCCATCTCCCCAACCGCTCTGCTGGCAGTGGCAAGACCACCAGGCTTTCAACCCGGCTTCCAACAGGACAGCTCTGAGTTCCTTACGTGAGATTTTCTTTCTTTGTGTAAAAAATAGTTATGTAAGCATGGGATTCATCATTGTCAGTACGAAATTTCAGGTAACCATAGCAACAGATTGTGGAGAATTAAATGTTGGCTCAGACATGTCATTCAGTAGTATGTGGGCCCCTAAAGGAGTGTGGGTAAAGCAGAGGAAGTTACCAGTATGAAAGTGTATGTAACGAATGAGGAGACTTCCTGTTGAATTCTCAGTGGGTGTTTCACTAGTACGTAAGTTCCCAGATTTTCACAGCGGCAAGAGTTCAGGTTATGGTCTTCTGGATTGTGATACCATGTAGTATTTTACATGGATACAAATGGTTTGGAGGAACATATTGCCTCTGTCTTCAGGGTCAAAATGCGTAGGGTGAGGATGTGGTCAAGACAGGTTTTGCAAGGTAGATGGACACTCAGATATCTATGGGAGGGAAGAGACATAGAGCCTGCTCCCCCTGCTATGGATCTGAGTGTCCACCTTCCTTTCAGCCTGCGCAGAAGTACTTTTGCTGCACCCTCACCACATGTTCCACCTGAATGTTCATATCCATGTACAGTATTGCACGTTGAGAAGATTGAACGCTGCTGTGTGCAAACAAGCAAAAGCACTTGTTCCTCAACTGATATGCAGTAACTTTTCCTGTCAGCATCACAGCATATAGTAGCTAAAACTGTATAACACTCAAACACTCAAACATAACACTCAAATTAATAAATTTAAATAAAAATTACTTAAAAAGAATTTGTGATTGGAATTTCACTATGTGGAAGTCATGGACAGACAATGCGGACTGTGTGTCAGTGTGTTTCAAATGTAGGTATGTGCTGGATGTGCTGCACGAGCAAGAGAAGCTTGTGACTACCGTGTCAGACGTTGCTGTCGTAGGAGGCAGACAGCATGAGGGAACTGAGGGTGGAGTTATGACACGCTGGACTACAGAAGAGGATCTCTCGAATCAGAACATCCTGCAGTGCAAGGCTACCTCTCTGGCTGATTTCACACAGGGTACATAATACAAATTCAAAATGCTTAAACCCATTTCTCCCCAGCTTTGTCTGCTGGTAGCAACATTGAAAGTGCATAACTGGTCTTTTGTCTTCCCGTATGCTATCTAAATATGTAGATTAGAATATGCAGATGTATGGACCGCCTCTCTGGTTTAGTGGTCAGAGTTCCTGCTTACAGATCCAGAGGTCCTGGTCCTGGGTTCGATTCCTGGCGCTGTCAGATTTTCTGAGAAGTAATGGGTCTGGAACGGGGTCCACTCAGCCTCGTGAGAATAATTGAGGAGCTACTAGAGTGGAAAAGCAGCAGCTCCGGTCTAGAAAACAGATTAACGGTCGTCGGGATCCATTGCGCTGACCACGTGACACCCTCTATTCGCAAAGTTGCCACTAACTTCGCTGACAAGCGGCGGTCACTCAGTCAGTAGTTTACTTGCAGACTACAGGCCACGGAGTTTGTGTTGTTTGGCTGTTTTTTGTATGGGTGTGAAAGTTGTTCCCTGACATAAACTGAGCATGTTTCAGAACAGGGTATTGAGAATATTTGCACATAACAGGGAGAGGAGTCTAAAGAAAATTACACATTGAGGAGATTCATAAGTTGTACTCCCTGCCAGATATTATTATGAAGATGACATGAAGGGCATGAAAGAGAAATGCATACAAAGATTTAGTAGGGAAACTTGGAGGAAGAAGAGCACTTAGGTCTTGGTATAAATTGAAGGATATTAAAATTGATCTTAAAGCAGTAGGGTAGGAGAATGTGTATTGGATTCATCTAGCTTAGGATAGGCTTCAGTGGCACACTGTTGTGAACATGGTAATGAATGATTGGATTTTATAAAATTGTGCGAATTTTCGTCAGTATTTGAGCCACAAATTAGCTTGTCGGGGTTTCTGCTTCATGGTTAGAAAGTGCATAACTGACGTCAGAGTATTCCTTGAGACCAAGGTCTGCATGGATGTGACACTGCATGCACTTCCAGAGATAGGAACCAGTGTTTATGAGGAACCTTCTGTCTCCACTTGAGTGTGAATGTGGAAGCAGCAGGTTCCTGTCTACCAAACTATACAGCAGGGCTCAGGAAAGATGTGTTCTGTCGCAGCCACAGGTGATGACGTGCATCAGCTCAGCAATTCTCACTCCAGCTCAACAGACAGCGGGATACAGTCGGTGTGTGGAGACGAGGTGGCTGTTACGGCATCTTCCCTAGTTCCATATGAGAGTTTGGTGCAACAGTGTTTCGGTGGGCGCTTGCTCATCAGCTTTAAGTGCCTTGAATGTCAAGCAGAATCAGTGCATACAGACCATTTCCGAGACATCCAGCTAGCATTCCCTCCTGGCTGCAGCCCTGATCATGAATTGCATATTCAGGTACTTGAACCCTTTATTGTTCCTCACAAAACTTACTGTCAGATGTCCTTCACTAGATATGTATGTTTGGCTGAAGGTGCAGGACGCTGATCCACAGACATCAGTCGGGGTCACAAAGGATAATCTAAAGTTTCTGACTCCTCCATAATGAGAAGTTACAGGAATACTTTTATTAGCTTTACCATGTGTGTGTCTGGAAATCTGTCCACGAATAATGAAAGAGAGCGACTTACAGTGAAGGGTCACCTCCCGTTCTACATCTTGTACGAGGAGGAAGTCCCAGATGGCAAGTTAAGGCATTTCTTGCAGGTTGTGCAACATTTGGATCAACCTCCTATCCAGTGGGTACCAGGGGCTCTTTCCCTGGGGCATGAAGCTGACGACTCTCCTCCAGCTAGTGCTGAGGTCAAGAAATTGTGGATCTATTCATCCACTTCCCCATATGCCTTCATGGCATAATGCTTAAATTTGTTGAGCTCAGGGAAAACTTTACCTTTTTTGCCATAGTTAACCCATCCATTACAGTTGTAGTCCAATAATTGTGACTGCGTGTTATGTTTCATTTTGGGCTTTTTAAATGTAAACATAAATCTGTTCTGCAGGTTGCTGACCTGGCTTCAGAACAAAATTATTTGTGGTGTAGCTGAAATGAAAGCTAGAAATCTAAAGATTGCATTGCATACCATCTCTTGTTTGTCATTGAATTTATTGGTAGTTAACGGCTGATAAATCGCAACTCTGGAATATGTGTCTTGCACACACCTGGGTAATTTGAGCATGGATGTCAGATTTCCATCTGCTACAGCTGCCTAAGTTGATGAGCCACAATTTGAATGTTCTTATGGAACGAGAATATGTAAAATTTAGAATCAGAAATGGCTTGGGAGTTTCTGGTGTAGGATCAACTTCATGACCATTGCTCTTTTTTTGTAGTAATCAGACCAGACAGGTTACATTTGTCTATGTTAGGTAGATTATTGGAAGAAACATGAACTCTTTGTAGGAAAGCCTCTTGTTGTTATGAATCATTTAAGATGAATGTAGTTACCACTTGACTGTCTGAAGTTTTCTATGTTTATCGTGTTAAATGTTAATTAAATCAAAAAGTGTTCCATATAAATGCAATAGAAAAGTTATACATGTACTTCAGGAGCTGTAGTTCTCAATATATGTCAGGATTAGTTTTCTGAGATGTGATGCCATATTATTTTGTAGATAGGTAACCTGCTCATGAACTCATACCCTGAAGATGGAAACAGCAGGTTCCTCCGAAACATTGGTACTTATCTACCCAGCTGCTGTAAACAATGTCACATTTGAGAAGACTGTAATCTTTACATGTATACTTTCAGTGTATCCTGTGATGTTCTTGAAAAACTTGATATTTTAGCATGAAGGAGTTTTTGTGAATGATTCAGGATGTATGCAGTTATGAGTCTGGAACTGTGGAGATGGGCCTTTACCAGAATATAGTGATAGCAAATCACAGAGTTACTCATATGCTGTGAAAATCTTTACTGATGTACGGGTTTCTAGACTATAAAATCGTAATGATCATCACTCATAACTGTATGATTTCTGCGTTCAGGATCTGCTGGATTACTTCGTATTACCAGAACAGTTGAGTGGAGAGAATCAATACCATTGCGACACGTGTGGCGGACTGCAGGATGCTCAGCGAACGATACAGATCCTTCAGTCCCCATCTCATCTTGTACTCACACTCAAGCGATTCCAGTTTAACTCAAAGACAGGACAGCGAGCAAAACTTCTTCACTGGGTTCAGTGCTCAGAAAGAATTGAGCTGTCTCAGCAGTTGTACAGATTATATGCAGCAGTAGTGCACTCCGGATCAAGCATGGACACTGGTCATTACTATACTCTGGCTCGTGACGAAACTCTCACGTGGCGGATCTTTAATGATTCATTGGTGGCACCGTGTAATCCTCCTCCATGGAACCCTCCAGATGCTCCTTACATCCTCTTCTATGCTCGAACTGAAGAAGAGCTGCAGCCCGCCGTTGATATGTCGGCCCTGCCTCCGCTCCAGTCGCACCTAATGGAACGTGTTCACTCTGATGATGTTGAGTGGCTGAAGGGAGAGCAGAGTGAGGAGAAGAGGTGCAGAAAACGGCGTAAGCAGCGTCCTTCACATAGTCCTGCCCGGGACAGTGATAATGGAGGAAACCCTCCAGGTGGTTGTGGAGGGGGCAGCATGGATGTTTCTCATAACAGGTTTGTGTTTTGATTCTAGTGTTGCTGCTAGAGCTCTAACTTTAACTGTGTACATGAAGAAACTGATGAATAAATGATGGTGCTGTAGATTATGGTTGTTATGCTATATGATTGCATTATTTATAAATGAATTTTGTATTATATGTATAAACAATACAGTTTTAAATTTGTATGAGTTGGAATTTGAATGTAATGTTATTCACGTGGCCCTTTATAACACACCTCTCATTTTCGTGGTGCCTTTTCCTTTCTGAAAGAATCTTCCAAATGCTGACTTAATCCCTTCATTGCATTACTGCTGTCTGGGTTCTCAGTCAATCTTGCAGGTTTTAGAATACTTTTCAAAATGTTCTGTAGTTGCCCTTCATGCTGCTGTAGCCAGGATCTCATAATGCATTTCCTTTCCATTACTCCCTCGTGGAGCTGAGCCCTTCTTGAGCGGCCAATTCTGCAGCTACTCGAGAATTTCCCAGCATTTTATGGAACCCGAAGGTTCATCACCGTGTTCACAAGAGCCCTCCACTGGTCCCTATCCTGAGCCAGATCAATCCAATCCATACCATCCTATATCTCCAAGATCCATTTTAATATTGTCCGCCCACCTATACCTTGGTCTTCCCAGTGGTCTCTTTCCTTCCAGCTTTCCCACCAATATCCTATATGCATTCCTCGTGTCCCCCATTTGTGCTACTTACCCTGCCCACCTCATCCCCCTTGATTTGATCATTCTGATTATACTTTGAGAAGAGTACAAGTTATGAAGCTCCTCATTATGCAGTTTTCTTTAACCTCCTGTCACTTCATCTTCATTTCCTTTCCATGGGAAACTCTTCTGGTCTTCTGGAATGTGACACCTGTAATGTGTTGGATAGGTACCAATATATTGGAGATAGCATCATCAGGTTACTACAGCCTGCAATTTTGATCCCAGGGGCGAGGGCAGATACCTCGTTTGCCCGCCCTACCAGCGCCCACAGTTCAGTACACATGAGTGTGAAGAAATTCTACATCTTTCGGTTTTTCTTGAAAGGAAAGTCCAAATGCAAACTGCATTTTTAAGATTCTTGTCACAGGAGGAAATTTGATGGTTCTCTGAAAGATACAGTACTAAATTTACTGTAAATTTGCATGTATGGGGAATGGAGTTTGCCGGTTACGTAAGGAACCCCTAGAGAAATCCAATACAGTTCTTGCATGAGAGTCTTCACAGGTAACACAGTGGAGTGATACATACGCTGTAACAAAATCACAAATTCAACTAACCTCTAGTGTGGCCACGCCATAGCTCAAGCGGTTAGTCGCTGGCTTCCCACCGTGGCGGCCTGGGTTCAATCCCGGGTCTGGTCAAGTGGGATTTGTGGTGGACAAAGTGGTGCTGGGGCAGGTTTTCTCCGAGTACTTAAGTTTCCCCTGCCAATCTTCATTCCACCAATTGGTGCACAATCACCCTCACCTATCATCTGGGGCTGGTACAATAGGCCAGAAGTGGCCACAGTACAAGGGACTTAGTCCCACCCCACTAGCAATAAAAAAAACCTCTACTGTAATCACACCTGTAAGAGGAAGAATGGGTAGTGCTGAACACGTGCACTGCAAATTTGCTTTTGAATAACTTAAAAAACGGTAAATTTTCTTTGAATTCTTTTATTGGTAGGATGAGGATACTGGGTAACTGCTGTAGCTTGATAATGAGGTCTGAATTTCTCATAGCAGTGACTATGAGAATGCTATCATCTGAGACCTGACACTGTGCAGTCTGGTAAAAGGTACTGATATTTCACACTACAGAACCAGTACTTTCTACCAGAGCATATATTATCACATCCCAGAAGACGGTATGTTCTTACAATTATACAGTTTTAAAACTCTGAATTAAGAATTAGCATAGGTAACGAAGAGTGCGGTCTTCTGGCATGTGCCACTCTAGTTTGGTGGACAGGGGCCTACATTTTGAAGGAGCCTGCTTATTACATGCCAGAAAATTAGATAAATGCAAATCTGTACAGATAATTATATTTTATAAACAAGTGGTTAGACATAGAATGCAACTTTAGTTTAAAATCCAAGCAATAATACATTACACCTTACAGCTCAATATATGTAAAAGCCAGTACAGCGTAAGCATCCTTCTGTCCTCATTCACATGTCACCCATCTTAACATTTTCCAGCCTAACCTGCTTCTGAAATAAATCGATGAACTGCCTTCATCTCAGACTCAATACAGTTGATATTTAATTTATAGTGACACCCCTCCCCCCTAATGTTCTCTGCTTAAGGTTTTCCCTCATTTAATGACACCAAGTCTATAACAGCTAAATTTCCTCAAATGAAAATATTCTTCAGTATAGTGTTCAGACCCACTGTTCCCCGTACATTATTTATTATTATTATTTTGGAGGGGGTGGGTTTCCCCATGAACTGCGACCAGTTGTTGATCTACTGTGCGTCCCCCTATAATTATTCTGCTAGGCGCCATGCCCTTCCAGTACTGGTGCTCACTATCAGCCCTGTTCTGCCAGCGAGGTCGGCCCTCTCTGGCAGTGGTCCCCAATACTTCCCCATCTACCGGAGGAATTGGAAACTACTTGGGCGGGAAACTGCCTAATTTTGCTCAGAGGTCTCCTAGAGACATGAGGATCTTTTACGTACCGTAAATCTATGACACGGGACACACGGAGGACTTGTTCCCTGAATTTTTCTGCCCTTAAAAATTCCACAACCTCCGCTGGGTTTGAACCCGCGTACCTTGAGTCATGAGGTGGGAACGTTACCCCTAGACTACGGAGGCCGCTGTTCCCCATACATACAACATAAGCTATTAGAAATTGTGGGTTTTAACTGTTTCATCGTAATCATGTTTAATAAATATCCTGTGAATTAAAATATGGTCTACCATTTGAAACAGGGCAGAAGTACAAATGTAGTTATTTTAACAGCAGTTTTAAACACAACGCTATAGTCCCTGAATACAAGTATACGAGGGTGTACCCAAAAGAAACCGAACTTATTTTTTTTTAAACTTATTTATTCAAATTTTAAGCACAAACCTTCAATCTCCTTCAAAGTACTCTCCATTTACACTAATACACTTGTCTAGTCTTTTATTCCATTTTTCAAAACATTGTCTAAATTCATCTTTTGAGATGCTTGACAGCGCCTCCGTCGTTTTTCCCTTCATCTCAGCAACATCAGCAAAATGTTGAAAAAAAGTTTTGATCATTTCGGGACTCTTCTTTCAAAGCACAGCATGCTTCCACGCGACCTTGTTTTTGTTCAGCAGTCGTGGCACGAATTTCACAGCCACCCTTTTCATTCCCAAATCTTCTGTCAAAATTCGCTGAACTGAGCTCCAAGTCACTCCCGGCAGCTCCACAATTTCTTCAATGGTCCATTGTCGAGCTTCCTTGATGATTTCACGAATTTTTTCAAAATTTTCATGTGTTCAGGCCATTGCAAAAATGACAATCACACAAAACAGCTGTCACTATAAACTCTGCCAAAACTAGTCCTTACCTTCTGAAGCAACGGTAGTCGGCTTATCGACTCAGGAATGTTAGCTCTATGCGCTCATAGCGGCAAAACGCGGTACTACAAAAGCTTTGCCCACAAAAAAATTAGTTTGGTTTCTTTTGGGTACCCCATCGTATTACAGCCACTCTCCCAGTTGTAAAGCACATAAGACTTGGCATTACAGTTGAATGCTGGAACACCAAATTGTACTGCTTAAAACTACCAGACTGGAAAACGATTTAACAGTGTGCAGTACGGGTGACCTGAGGAATTTACCAGTATGATAATACTTTATTCTTCAAACATGGTTTTGTTTGTGAGATGACACAAAAAGAAATTATGTCTAAAGACAATAAAAAGACAAGCAGAAAACTTGCTTGATTTATGCAATAAGGATGCGTCTGCTAGAGAAACATAAGAACAGTTTTTTTTGGGATGCAATACCGTTCGTTTGGACAGAGCCCACTATCTCAGAGGACTATGTCCCCCCTATCTTAAGATCTAAAAGTTTGTGATAATGGTATATTGCTACAGGTATTAGGTTTCTGGACATTATCCATTGTCTTGTCTATTTTCTAAAAACCGTCCTGTTTCTTTTTGAAAAAACGTTTCGGAGACTGGATTCTGTCCCTGTCCTCAGGTAAAACCTATTCAGTTTGTTCCAACAGGCAAGACGATGGATAATGTTCAAGAACATAATACTTGTTGCCCCTGTCTTGCTTCTTACTAAACATTCTTAAACCCTGAAGGTGAAAACAGTATGTAACCACAGAAAGTTGGGCTGTCTCTGCACTGCACGTTGTTACAACCCAGAAAAAGATACTCTATAAACAATTACTGTGTGAGAATCTCAGATCTAGTGGAATCAGAACTGATCATGGATAAAAATGAATTCAAAGTACAGAACATTTACACCATCCAAGTAAATGGAACAGATGCAAAACAAAACTGAAAACAGTGGTCTCTCACCATGAACCATATTCCCATATTTTTACTTATCACCAGGATTTTGTATCCGAGAATACTGATTCATTCTGAAGTTTACAGCACAAAGTTAAAGCCATATACACTTAACATAAAACATCTGTCCAAATTATTAAAGGTACATTCTTTAAAAAAAAAAAAAAAAGGCACGATGGCAGTGTTACTGAACACTTTTCGGATCTGTTCCTTTCCCTCAGAGTGAGATTTCCTGTTTGCTTTTCAATGGCAACTTGCTTTCAGTGTCAAAGTATCCGTTATCATGTGTTATAGAAGCAACAAGATACTAAGACTTCCTTTTTAAACCTCATTTATACGTAATCCATGCAGAGAAAAATAAATGCACATAAGAAAGTTGTCATGTCTTTCATGCCCTTTCAACATGTAGGGCAATGTATATCTCTCGCATGCTTCCCTTATAAGGCTTTACTGCCCTGGGTTCAGGATCAATTCACTAGGACACCAAAGTAGCCACCAGTCAGCAATAACTGCAGTGTACAAATTGGAAAAATTTATGGTAAATGATATGTAAGTTTTACAAGCAAAAATAATCATATATATAATATATACATAAAGTATGTTAGATGTATTTAAATGTTGCTTTATTTTATAACGTGATTATGCATTCTGTCAATGCCTTTATTGTTGCATATGTGTATTAGAGTATTATTATTTATATTTTACACCTTAAACAAATAGACAAAACATAATATAGCAGAGAGTAATGAAATCGCTTGCAACTGGAAGAGCACATATTGATCTCCAACAAAATTTCCCCAAATTATTAAGTTAAGCAAACAGACTGTCAGTAAGCCTCTTAGTCCGAAAAAGATATGCATAAATACTGGCTATGGAAAATGTCATTTCTGAATACTATATACTCCATTCTAGAAATAAATTGTATTAAAATTTTATTCACTAACAACAAATCTCTAACGCAGACTGATCCAAAAGTGTATATTTAATTTAAAATTAAATTTTACCATCACAGAGTCAGTCACAGGATCCAATTTCGTACTTTGAACCACAGAAATTGTTCTTAAAATTTATTTTTTTGTATATAAATACATAATTTTCTGTTTTGTTCATGGAATTCGGGACTCAATGCAGTCAAGGCATTTAGATTTAACACTGGTTACAGCTTCACAATTTTGTATGCAACCACATTTCGGACTTCTAAAATACAAGTTTTTGTTTATCTAGAGAATCATGTCTTATTACAGTGTTTTAATTACTCTGCACATTTAATTAATGACACTGCTGTTTTACAGATTAAGTTTCAAACAGTAACTCTTAAGTCATGAGTTATATGTTAACAGAATTAGAAGAGGTTCAGATGTGTGAAAAAGGATAGACAGAAGGCACATCAGTTGAAGGGAAGAGACTTGTGGGATAACAAAATGAACCTGGCATGTACTGGAAGACATCTTAGAAGATGTGACAATAAATTGGAAGGAAAGATTAGAGCCTTATCATCCACTGACCTGTATAAAACAAATTATGCCAGAAGAAAAAAACTGCAAGGGAAGCATTTGAAAGTAAAATTTAACAGCACAGACCAATACATATTACATGCCAAGATCTTTCCACATAAGAAAGAACTCATGTAGAATGTATCATAAAAACTTGTTTTAGCTACTGCAGTGGCGCTGCAAGCTACATCAGGCAAGAGTAAACTACACAGACTGAAAACAATGCAATGAATGTAGTGTGCAGTATCACCCTGCAGAAGTAAATGCAGACACATACATAATTATTACATATTTGGGAAAGAAGATTGTTGTCTGCTGGGATGTGAAGTTGTGTAGTCTGGTACATTACCAGCATTTCAGACGAACCTGCTGTGTTCTTCTAACATGAAGATGGCATCACATATCCCACAAGACAACAACCTTCATACTCAACACTATCAAAACCTCAAAGTCTCAAGCTTTGTAAATATCATGACTCAGTGACGGACACTTGTGTAACTTTAGCAGTTTGGATGACCAGTGAGAATTAGAAAATGTGGTATAAAAGGCTGTGTTCCACCCCACAAAAAGTAATATTAAGAGCCCTTCAGGAACCATGGAATTCTTGCTGCATAAGGCACTAGTTGACTTGAACACAGACAAACTGCAAAGAAAATTCATATTGTGGCCTTCTGGGTGGCTGACACTGCACAAGTCAGGTAGGTGGGTTCCTACATAACAGAAGACCACAATGTGAATGTTCACTGGTGGGAAAACCTCGAACATGCAAAGAAAATGTCTGCCGAAGAGCCAGAAACTGTCTACCGCCGATAGCGACCCAGGTATGCTTTGCAGTTGGGGCAGTTGTGGTGTACGTCCATGCACTCGTCAATGCAGCACGGAATAAGGCAGCAACCAAGCCAACAGCTACAAAGGAAAGAGAGTGATATGATATATTCTTTTTTTAGTTGGTATTACTGCCCTCTTTGCTAACTGATAATGCCAGCCATTAAAATTGAATATGAAAACAAACTGAACTGCTCCAGCATTAAGAAAGAAAGAAAGAAAGTGCCACTAATCACAATGCCTTAAGAATTTTCATTAAGCAATTTCTAAATGAATAAAAGAAATTACAAGAAGTTTGTGGATTACAGCCCAGTATCTCCATCAGCACCAAGCTTTCTGTACTTGTCATGCAACCAAAGCACAGGAGCCCCTCAACGGGGGACATATCTGTAATTACCAACATCCATCTGGAAAATGACTGCATGACATGGAGAAACTGCTCATGACATGCCCATTTCAGCAGCCTCAGCTTTCTGAATTCTGACTGAAATATTACAGGGGTGGAAAACCACTGCCAAGCAGATTTAAAGATGACTACATAAGAGTGGCTGAAACATTCTTTTTGGCTATGTAAGTTAGTGTGACCACAGGAGATGGGAGAATGCACTTGCAAATTTAACACAGAATATTTCTGAATTTCAGTTAAGCAGACTGTACTCACCCAAGAAGAGCTATCACGACACCAGAGATGTAGGCAATGATTCCTGGTTCCGTTTTGGTGGCAGTGTCAATCTCAGCCTGACAATATGGGCATATCATATGCGTGGGCTGTGGGCCGACTGGTACTACAGTCGTCACAATCGTTGGTCCACCAGACACTGCATCCAAACAGCTCTGTTAGTCTGTGTTAATCGTCAAGTAACACAAGGTACATAGTGGAACACAGTGAATGTTCCTCAGCTTAAAATTTATTTAGGCTGCCTCATATTTCTGTATTCAATCAAGTCTTTTGCAGATTTAACAGTGTCAAGTGATCAAATTCACAAGTTTGATGTCTGTGTCCAAAATTCCACTAGTATGGAGAGATAGAAAGTATATAGCCCGTGGGTTAAAGTGGCTGGAGCATAATTCTGACCACTCTGTTGAGTTAGGAAAGGGCAAAGCTTTGCCCCTGCAATACCATGGAGTTCAATATGGCATAACTACACTAAACAGTACATCTGTTCTATCAAATTGCTGTGATTGAAAGCTTTTTAATATATAATATAATTTTTATTTAATACTGAAAAATAATCACACAAATTAAATTTTCTGTTGGGCCATGTTTTCTTACGTGACTGTCCAGGTGTAAATGGGCTTGATGGTGGCACACCACCCACAGCCTGAGAATAGCTTGGGGGTGCAGCTGGTGGGGGACCATATGCTGGAGGAGCATTATGCTTACTCATGCTGACTATATCTGTAACAGAAATTACAGCTGGTGTATGGTGATGCTAAACCACAACACTCCTTCCTTACTACACCAATTTGCCTTGCACATTTTCTATGTTTCCAAAAATATAACTTTACAAGCTGAATGACGCAATCCTGCTGATTAACAGCACTTGTCCTTATCGTGCTCATTCACACACACATTCATAACAGCAAATTCAATATGAACACTCCAAGTACCAGCTCAAATGTGTACATGAAGCAAAATAACCTCGTTTACATCTGTTCGGTTACGCCTCCTCTCTTATAGACCGTTTCACCCACTCCAAAATAAAAAAAAAACTATAAGTAGACTGAAGGCCTTCCGACGTACAAACTGCCAAGCCCATCACCTAATTTTAGATTCCAGAAAGCTACCATGTAAACAATCCAAATTTTGGGCAAAATAAATTCTCATCTTTTAAATAGATAATAACCAACCTATGTTACTCCTAGATAATACGAAACAACTGTTAACACCCAATGTAAAAGCAGCGGATATTAATAGGAAAAAGTAACACTAATCCTCTTCAGCTAATCACAATCATAACGTTGATAACCAGCACTCCGTGACTATGACGCAATGCACCATTGATTGAACAGTCATGCCAAAACAGCGTCCGAGATTTATTTAGTAAGAATGCTTCCGTAACAATTTAATCATTGTCTTATTATTCATTGTATGAACAGCAATAAGTGATAACAAACACATATAATGACGTAGTGGTTTACTGTAAACAGTATTGGCATACGTCATATGCATTAACAATTTCCAGTTAATTTTACATGTACGTGTTTCTTAACCTGGGAATTAAGCACGACAGTTGGAACTCCTGGAAAGCGTTGCGAAATGAAGACCGATGCAGACGATGCAGGCCGACAGTCACAACCCGACACAACAGTTAACGTAGTAGGCAGTAGTGGTTTAGTGATCGTTTGTACGTATGATTTCACGTAATTTGTGGACATTATTGTGAAATTTGCCCAAAGATTTTGTCATAATCGCACCTTAAATTTCTGCTCACATCATGCGTTTATATTCTGTAAGTGTAAATCTATATTACTTTCGAAATATACGGATTACAGTTTAGTGAAACGAAAGTACTGCTCAACATATGCTCGACCTCCACGTCATGGTTTAGTTGCTTCGTATTTCGTGTCTTCATTTAAGTTTGCAGACTGAATCGGTAGTGGGTAAATTGCAGCCTTTTAGAAAGAGCATTGGTGTATATCTTGTAGCAAATCAGAGTCTTAATATTTTCACGTGTTAGTGACTATTTCGGATTTATAATTGTATGTTATGAAGGCTTTAACTCGTAACTATAAAATAACAGTCACGCCGATTTACACATTCAAATTTTACCTAATTTTACTACCTCAGACTCGAGACTCCCCAACCTGGAGGGCCAGGCCCCTGTATTTATAACCTGCAGGGACAAGGTGACCCAGTTATACTCCCAGGCATTTGGTTCCCTTTTCATCACCACCTACAACTCGCAGGGCTAAGGTGGAGGTATTCGAACCCTTCTCCACACGGGCATACAGTTGGACTCAAAGTCAAAGTCACATTGTGACTGATGGTCAGTCAGTCAATCAGTCTTGGTGTGGAGCCCTATGTGTGGCTTATGACCAGATATTTATTCCTGTTTGATAGTTATTATCTTGTTATTGTGGGTCGCCCTCTCTGACTAGAGGACGGGTCTGTCTTTTGTCAGAGTCATTGCAGTAGTAAGTCATTTGTCATAATGTAAAGGATATTTACATTTTACATGTTAAACATGTTAATAAATGTATATAAAATATACAGGGCCTCTGTCAGTCCAGATAATTTTTGGAGCATACAGTAAACAGTTAGTTACAGTGATTGTTTTACTTTGTGTTGTCTTTCTGCTTTGTTTGTGTTATACTTCTGACCTTTTCATATCCATTGTATTATGGACTTTTGTAATGTGAAATGTATGTATGTATGCAATATTTCTAGTAGCTTCCATTACAACAACAGTCTGTTCACTTTATACTCAGGCTTCGCCTTGTCCAATATTGCGAACATTTTCGTTGTCATGATTTTGTATGACTTCTGCTTGTTGCCTGTTAACTGTTGTTAACTGTTGGACTGTACCTTAGTTCTCATTATATGATCTCAGCCAAGACTACACATAAAACGTCCATTTCCATGGTTTCTTTGTTGTTGCGTGTTTATTCATTGTCACAGAAATGTGTTTGATTTGCCTTGGAAACATATTTACTGGCTATTTCTTAGCAATGGGTGAGTTTTCTTGTTAAAGTTTACCAGCTTTTCAGCTGTCACATCACAATGTTTTTCTTAACACAGGGAGTAGGAAAGGTTCTGCCCTTCGTGCTCTTCTTAATTATCCTGCAGGAGGCAGTGAGCCCACCTGTGACTCAAAAGAAGAAGGGCCATGAAGACAACAAGATTGATGATACAGATGAAGAAGACCCAGTAAGTCCTGAACTTTGTAGCAAGCACACTCCTTATTAACAGTTATTATTAAGTGTTCATTTTCTGGAACAAGGAATGGGATTTGACCAGTGGTATCAGTAAAAAGTAAAGTAAAGGTATCCCTGTAACAGGCCGTGGAGGCCCATAGGGTTGTGAGATGTTGCAGTTCCCACATTTTTTAGACAGTTGGCTCATAGATGGCAGCAAGGTTGTCAGACTTATGCGCTGGCCACCCTTTACCCCCAAGAATATTCCTGGTACTCACTTCTGTTAGCGGCTGAGTCAACCCCAGGGCCATAGGGCGGCTGGAAGGATTAGGTCAATTGAATAAATCCAATGACCTCATCGGGACTTGAACCCGCGACCTTCTGGCTTGTAGAATAGTGCTGTGGGACACGTGGAGTGAAGTCTTGAAAACTTCCATGTATGATTAATGTAATAATAAAATGTACATAATTGTAGAAGAAAATGCTTCTTGGAGAAAGAAAGGATTTGCTTTTGCTGTGGTGGGACTATAGGTTATTTTTCTTTGACCAGTGGGATTCAAGATACAAGAGGCTGAGGAGTGCTGGTATTGAGGATGCTAGAACTTCAGAACCATTTTTCATGTTCCTGCATATCATGTTTTAAATTTTTGTAAATAAGATGTCTGTTAACATCTGTTTTAGGGTGGCCTTCAGATTGAATATAACCGATACCTGAAAGAAATAGTCACAGCATTGGAGAGTGACCCAGAATTCAAATCAAAGCTGGAGAAAGCTGAAGAAAGTGATATTCGGGTGTGTTACAATTGTGACTTACCATTAACTGAAAATTCAGATGGAAGATCATTTGGTCTGACTGCTTGGTAAACACTACATATTGCCTTTTTCAGTCAGGGAAGATTGCTAGTGAGCTGGAATATGTGAATCATCATGTTCGAACCAAGCTTGATGAAATTAAACGTACCGAGTTGGAACGGCTCCGTCACCTTGCTACGAAGGAATATGAGCTGCGCCATGGAATGGACACAGAACACTTGAAGATATCGCCAGAGCACCTTGATCTTTCAAATCCACATACCTTTGAGATTGAAGATTTGCGGAAACTCATTTTAAAGGTTACATGCACAAACTTACTCTTATGTATGTCTACAAGTATTCAGCATTTTTGGTATTTTGCTGTGGCTGTCATCTTATCATTGTGCATGTTCTATCATGATATTGGTTGTCCTAAATGCCTGCAGACCAGGCATGATATATGGGAAATGTGTGAATTTAAAAGAGGTATTAGTTATTGTGACATACTAATTATGTTAATATTTTCTCTGTATTCATACCTTCAAGAGTCAAATTTTGAATACCAGGTGGGAAATTACTCACCAGCAAAAGAATTTTTGTCACCCCTGATTACAAGAAAATCATAATTTTCAACCCATGGCTTTTTCTTTAATGCAGCTGTTATTGTCTCTCTGTAGTTTGTTAAATTATTTCTTTTATCTGCTTCATTTTATAAAGATGTCCTAATTAATGTTAGAACTGGATTTCAGGAAAAAAATATTTACAACTTGTATCAGTTTTTGGTGACTTGGTGACAGGCATCACATATAATGCTTTGTACCATTACAGACAACTGCAGACATAGCTGAGGCTGACAGAAAGCGCCGTGAAGAATTTAAGGAGTATGAAATGCAGAAGGAATTTGAAAAGCAAGAGAAACTGAAGGCATTGGATGAAGAGCATAAAAAGCAGATGGTTAAGGACTTGGAGGAACAAGAACAGAAGCACAAGCAGCACGAGCCAGTAAGTACCGTATCCGTATTGTTTTAAGTGTCTTTAGTATCTCATGATGGGGTTTTCGAAATTTGTGACACTCCAATCCCCTAAAGTAATAGATAGATTTATGTGACTTTCGTCTTTGCCAGCCAGCAAAGAAGTACAGTTTTGTCCGTTTTTCAAGGTCTCTATCAGGCTGTATGGTGTCATCAGGAAACTGAGTAGCTTTTCAGCCACTCAACTCCCACAGTAAGCTGTAAGAAGTGTCTATACAATCAGGAAAAAATTCATGAAATATTTCGCTGACTACATTTTCTGAAAGCATCTATAAGATTATTCTGTCTTACCAGAACTGTGTGTGGATACAACTGTATTTTAAGTAATTCTTGAAAACTTGGTATGTGTATGTGTGTCTCCCCATTAGAGTGTTATGACTAAGGCTGAAAACCCACTGATGTGACTAGTCACGAGCAGCTAGCCGCTCTGTCGCGCGTGTCTGTTAGTTGTACATATTAGGTGTGTGACAGCTCTGCTGTCTGTGTGCCATGTTCCAAAACTTAACCGCGTACGGCTCATAAAAGCAATACAAATAACAGCCGCGAGCGACAACACTCGACAAACCGTGCGCTGCTTGTCGCGTCAGTGGGTTTTCAGCCTAACAGTCTGAGAAGCCATGTCATGTGAGATTTGGGGTTCCCACAGCAGTGAATATTAAGACTACATTGCTCTGGGATACTCCGCTTTGTAGATTGGTAGATGTTAGAGCAGTCAATCGAGTCTCTGTTTGAAAATATGGAAAATGAAGAGTGATGCAGCGTGCCCCAGTAACATCACTTAGAAAGGGAGACAGGAGCAGAGAGAGAAATAAGCTCTGAAGCTAAGCTTTTCATTTATCCGGTGTTGTTACTTGATGTTTGTGCAGGAAAAGGGTGCAGAGACTAGACTGACTGCTAGTACTGTAGTTTGTAGTATTTTGGAGGAACCTGCTGCCGTCAACTTCAGATCAGGAAAGCCACTTAAACTGTGTTCAAGTTAGGACTTCAGGAACAACTAAATAATGAAGTAACTGCTTGTCGCTCACCTGGTCAAGAAACCCACCATTTATGGAGCTAGAAGGCTCAGTATCATCTTCATAAGAGCTATTGTGACCCAGTTGAAGTGAGATAACACTCTTTACATCTCACTTCTCTAAGGTCCATTTTAGTATTATCCTACCATCCTACCAGGTCTCCCAAATGAGCATAGTTTGTATTACTGTGATTTCAGCTACACCATCCAGGCAGCAAACAGCAGCTTGAGGAGGTGTGGGAGAAGCAGGACCATATGGATAATCAGGAGTTCAATCCAAGAACATTTTTTCATTTGCATGGTAAGTATTATACTCATGCTGACTTTAGTGAGCTCCTCTGGTAAGGAAAAGTGAATACATTCTGTCATCAGTAGCTAATTGAATATACTGAAATGCAAGTCAGAAGTAGCCAAGCAAGTTTCCTTAAATTAGACCATAAATGTTGCTTCCTTCCTTATCTTTTCAAGTCTACTTTCATCCGTTTGTTTGTTGCACTGTTCAAGTAGTCAGGAATACTGACCATGTCTTCAATATCCTTAGACCAGTTTCCACGAACTTTGTCAGTTATCAGAGATCTTGAAGGTGCATAACTGAAGCCAGATAATTTTCTGGGATATGTTGCTGTATAGTTTAGTTAACTGCTGTTTTGGATGAATTTGCTGGTTCTGATTTTGCCTTGAAGATGGAGGCAGTAGTTTGCTCCAAAACATGTACCTATGTACACATTTATGTGGTGTCACATCATGGTAGACCATGATCAGGATTCTCACTACTCCAAGAGCTTCAGTTCTGACGCAGCATTTCTTATTTGGTGCATTCAACTGTTATCAGTCTGATTGTCTTTCATTCTTCTTCTCCTGCTCCTTCTTAATTGTCTTTATATTCTTTATTTTGACACATGAGTTTCAGGAATAGGTACAGTGCAACTTTGATTTCACGCCTTTTGAAGGGACCACCAAAAATTTAAAATTGAGGATACTGTAAAATCAGGAGTTGCAAGCACTGTATTTTCAAATCACACTATAGAATTTAAGCAGCTTTTGAGGCACATTCACAAGAATTGCAAAACAAGCACCTGTTGGTGTCTTCCTGTCTGTTTGTCCATCCACCTGTATGAAATCGCTTGGATTCATTTGGACGGAGTTTTGTGACAGTTTGTAATGGAGGAATTGTACTGAAATTTATCAGGTAAATTAAGTTTTGGTTAAGGCCACACCATAGCTGAAGCGGTTAGTCGCTGGCTCCCCACTGTGGTGGCCCCGGTTCGATCCGGGTGTGGTCAAGTCGGATTTATGGTGGACAAAGTGGCGCTGGGGCAGGTTTTCTCCAAGTACTTCGGTTCCCCTGCCAATCTTCATTCCACCAATTGCTCCACAATCACCCTCACCTATCATCTGGGGCTGGTACAATAGGCCAGAAGTGGCCACAGTACAAGGGACTTAGTCCCACCCCACTAGCAATAAAAAATAAACAAAAAACTTTGCTTAAAATTTGACAAAAATAATGGAACACTTTATACCAAGACCTCCTTCCCCTTTTAAGTATCCTGATTCATCAAATATTCCATTGATGGCTTCACTCTGGGGTTGTTGCCGTGGGAGTGAAACTGTGGCCATTCTGCTAATTAATTTCATAGATTATATATCTGAATGACCCTTCAATGTTACATTATATGTAATTTTCCTGTGTTCCTTTGTTGTGACACCAGACTCACTGGTTTGGATCTGTTGTTACAGATTTAGATGGCAATGGTGTGTGGGATGCAGATGAAGTAAAAGCACTGTTTCTTAAGGAGCTAGATAAGATGTACACTCCGGGTGCATCAGAGGATGACATGCGTGAACGCATCGAGGAATTAGAACGTATGAGAGAGCACGTCTTCAAGGAGGCTGATACAAACAAGGATGGACTTATTAGGTAACCTGGAAATGTTTTACACATGGCTGCATGGAAGCTTGGAGTTCAAGTAACAGCCATTTTTGCGCATTTAGAGGGAATCACAACAGAGACATTGCATGTGCGGTCTCATATGCAGTTGACCGTGACTGCATTACCTCAGAAATTAAATCGTTCATTGCTTGGTAGATCATGGTCTGTTAGCGAATACTGTCCAACACTCAAATCTGTCTGCCAAGTAAAGCTGGTTTCAGAAAAATCAAAATTTTGCATTGGGACCGCTACTACACATACTATTACTTTTCTGATGATACCATCCGCAGAATTTAATTAGGGGCACATGCTCCATAAATGTGTGGATTCAGTCAAAATCATTGTACCTGTTTTCAAGGAAAACACATTTTTGTATTTTGGGGCCCTTTCTGTAGGCTCTGGTTAGTATAGCTAGGTTGTTAGTATTCACTGGGCACTGACCTGTAACATATTTCCATAAATACCAAATATAAATAGAATCCATGGAGAAAGAAGGCTGAAGATAGACAAGAATGACTAGGAATAGTGAGAGAGGCAAAGGTTACACTTAAAAGGACCATATAGTCAAAGGAGGTAAAGAACAGAATGCATGCAGATGCTCAGATGCCAGTTGGGCGCACATACATACATTTTTTCTCTCTTGTGTGCTTTAAAATGTGATTTCTGAAAGCAGTGGTTATTAAGATGCAAAAAGAATTGCCCTCTCTCAAAAAATAGAGTTTATGTAACTTTTTGTCTATGCAACTACATTTACCACGAGCAGTGTCGGTGTTTCTAGTGTGTGTGGTTCTGTGAAGGGATTTGACACTCAGAAGGGTTGAAAAACAGTTCTGTCTTGTGATTGAAGCTATGAAGAGTTCCTAGCACAGACCCAGAAACCCGAGTTTGAGAAGGATCCTGGCTGGGAAGGTCTGGACGAGCAGCAGATCTATACCCAAGATGAGTACAGGGCGTTTGAGATGAGACGACAGGAGGAAATACAGAGGTTGATAGCCCAAGGGGTGGTAAGTTACCTGATCTGCTATAATAGCATGCCTTGTTCTGCACTCCACTTGTTACAGTTTCAATGTCACAGTGTTTATGTACACTTGCAAGTTTATGTTATCATTGTCTCATAGTAATTTGTGAATTAGTGCTAGTTGCATCGTGTATGTAGTTGCTGGGATCCTCATTTCTATCACATTACCCGTTTCCAAGGCTCAGTACCAGAAGCCATATTTTCCCAAAGAAAACCGGGTTTTATTGCAAGCCTCCATTGTACCAAAGATTGCTGTCTCTTGGGATTTGATACTGTATAGTTCTGGGGAAATGTTATTGATGTTTTGGGAACCTCCTGCAGGATAGAAACAGAAGTCATGCTGCAAAACAAGGGTACAGATGTAAGGAAAGGAGGAAAGGAACTGAGGCTGTGAGTGGGCCCTTCCAGACCCACTTTATCTCAGTTGCCCTTCTTCTCTGTATCTCTACCATCACTTTCTTGTTTTATCCTGAAGATGGAAGCAGGAGGTTCATCCAAAATGTTGGCAACTTCACACCACACTACACATCGCGTCCCAGAAGACTGTAATCGTCTTTTATCCTGTTTGTATAGCTACAAGATAGTTCAGTGCAGCCTCAAATGGACCTGTTGCACCAGTCCGAAATGTTAGATGGGAACGGAGCATAGGTGGAATGATTAGTGGGAAGGGAAACTGGAGTACTGGGAGAAAAACATCCCCATGCCATTTTACTGGCACAGATCCCACATGGGCTATGTAGGGCAGCTTGTCAGTTAACTTCAAGAATCAAAACTTTCTAATGAAATTGTATGTCTTATTATTAAAGAGAGAACTGAAAATATGCAGCATTTTAGTTCCTGTCCCAGGAAATAACGCTAACATGCCACGGATCTGTGATTTCCAGCATTTCATGTGTGTTTAAGATTTACTGCAGGAGTCCTGTAGTTCTGAAACAACTGCTGCATGTGAATGCATTTGTGCTTCATCTTGCTACACTGTCAGCATCTCACACTATAAAGTGTCAAATGATGAGGTGACTGGTGAATAATAAATTTGAAAGAATTTGGAAGGACCTAATCAAAATGCCATCCTAGCAGTTTCCTGAAGAGACTGAGGAAAACCACAGAAGCCTCAGTCAGGATAGCTAATGTTCCAGCTGAGATTGGAAGTGAGCATCTCTTGAACACAGTTCTAGACTCTTAGCCACTACACCAATATGGTCTTTCAATCATTTTTAAAGTCAACACTAATATTTTTAATTTAACAGATTCAACTTTTCATATGCATAATGTTAAAGAATCTTCAGATAGTGGTCTTGTGGGATGTGACGCCAAACAGTTTGGTAGATAGGTATCGTGTTTCACAGGAACCTGCTTCATGTATCTTCATGGTGAACAAACTTCCACTGTACACAGTTGTCACATGCCAGAAGACAGCAACTTCCTCATGGTCTTTTTATGTTCATTGTGTCCGAGTTGGTTGCCCTTCTGCTTTATATTTGGTAAGTCCCCAGATTCGAACCTTGGCCTGGAGATTGGCTGTCCTGACTGAAGGTTCTTCTTGTTTTCCTCAGTCCTTCCAGTAAATACCAGGATAGCACCCAAAATTGGTCATAACAGCTTCCTTCTATGATGTTCCTAAACCTCTATTCATTAGTCATTCTGTTATTCAGTTACATGTAGTGTGAGCTGTTGATGTCATCATCAAGCAAACAGGATAGTCCAGGAACTGCTTAGGAAGACTGTAATTTGCTACATGCTCTGTGTTCTGCATTTGAAACTAATGCAGTGGTTTCTTGTTGAAAGACACAATAGGAAAGACATTTTCCAAGATTGTGATGCTGATGGTACATTAATGGTGGAGATGAATGTTTGAAAGCAGGAGCTTAGCAACCTAATACATTACTGTGTCATATAGATACCACCCTATCCCAACGGCATGCCCCCACCACTGCACGGCATCCCCCCACCACACACTGGATACCAACAAGGTGCTCAAGGGCAGCAGTACTACCAACAGCAAGTAGGTATTCAGTATGTAACTTATACAAGAAAACTACAGTAGAATTTGTGGCAAACTTAACTTCTCACTCTGTAAGCAGCGAGTGCTGAGTCAGAGTTGAAGCCCCCAAATTAAACACTGAGAATGTAAGTAATGATGTAAACAGTGGAATGTTGACTAGCACTGGAAAACCAAGGGAACTTGGAGAAAAACATGTTCCGCGGGAATGTTATGCAATGTCATCCGGAATTGAACGCGATGATGTGGGATGAGAAACCAGCATGTAACTGCCTGAGATATGATGCAGCCTCTCTAACAAAGTTATACAGAAAAATAAAGCATTTAAAACTAATATTTGTCATTGAGAGAATAGCATGCCAGCTACTTAGTATGAATTTTGAGTGTTTTGTTTCATTCTGAATGCAGTTAATTTGCTTGAAACTTGCATGAAGTTTCTGTGTGGTGCACTGTGCAGAACAGTAAATGATATGTGGGGAAGAACTTGAGAGTGGGTAGTCAGATGTAAATGTGTGCATTATCCTTAGAGAGCTTGAATGTAGGGAAAGAAAATTCCAATCCAGAGTTAAGACAGCAGAAGCTTACAGTGTGCCGCTTACATCCTGTAATCGCTGTTATGGTGTGCACAGAATTATGATAAAGTAATTCAGTGTATAACATTTCACAGCAATCTTACAACCCTTTGAGGTACAAAGTTCATATAAATAATATTTATATTTAAAAATTCAGTGCCTGTCTCACAGAAATCACGTCTCTTTTGCAGAGACGAGCTGAGTGATGTTGTTTATTGAAATAATCGCAGTTTATTGTGAGAATCATGTTAAACATGTAAATACACTGTGTAGGGAAAGCGCAAAGTCTTGAATAATAAGCAGGTGATACATATAGTAGCCACTATACTTTGACGGGTTCCCACACTAAGGCCCACCATTTCAGTGCTTCCAGTGCTCTGTACTTTTTTTTTTTAATTACTGTCATCAATAGATGCTATAGGTTTTCTGGATTGACCTCTTCAGAACACTATTGTATCATAAGTTTCTGTGGTTTCAGTTTAGGTGTCATGTCTTTTCAGATATGTTGAGATGAAACAGATCCTAAGCCACTTGTTTCTAAGATGGTAACTTAGGAAAGAGTTGATTGGTGGCAAAGCAACTGAGCAATAACTTGCAGACAGTATTCAGATAATTGATAATGAATCAGTCATTATTATTATTACTGAGAATGTCATTGATATGGTAGTGGTTATGTTACGAATGTGAGTACTTGAAGAGTTTCCTTGGACTTCATTACTCAAGCATGTGGATTAATTTAGGAAGTATATATTTTTGCATAATGTTCCTCCTAATTGGCAAAGAATCAGAGCCTAGCCTTTGCTTATGCAATCATTATGATACTAATTTATCTTACTCCAAATGACCAGTATCCTATCCACAAAATCCAGACACATGGACCACACCACGGGTGTTCGGAAACTGCAGCATATGAGGAGATGAAATACATCATGCAAAATGTAAACTCTACAGATAATATAGAACTCGGTTTACTATGTGGTAGTGCTTCGTAACATGCCACAGATGTCAGTTACTGCATCCCAGTTAATTGCATTATGTGTGTTTTCAGTTCCCCTCACAGCACCATCCTGGTTCACAACAGGTACCGCAGTATGGTGGCCACATGTCTCATCCTAACCAGGTACCACAGGGTCAGATGTATGCTAACCAGGTACCACAGGGACAGGTGTATGCTAACCAGGTACCACAGGGTCAGATGTATGCTAACCAAGTGGCACAGGGTCAGATGTATGCACCAGGCCAGATGTACCCTGGTCAGGTACCACCTCAAGTTCATCCAGGACAAGTGCAACCCCAGGCTCAACCTGGAGAAGTTCCACCCCAGGCTCAACCCAGACAAGTGCCACCCCAGGCTCAGCCCGGACAAGTTCCACCCCAGGCTCAGCCCGGACAAGTACCACCCCAGGCTCAGCCCGGACAAGTACCACCCCAGGCTCAGCCTGAACAAGTTTCGCCCCAGGCTCAGCCCGGACAAGTGCCACCCCAGGCTCAGCCCGGACAAGTTCTGCCCCAGGCTCAACCAGGACAAGTGCCGCCCCAGGCTCCACCTGGACAGGTGTCACCCGAGGTTCAACGAGAACAAGTAAATCCGGGCCAGAAATCAATACAGCCACCGCAGAGACAAAACAGTAATATTAATCTGCTGCCCCAACATGTGCCCCAGCCAGCTGAACATTTGAGGGATCCAATTGATGTGAATCAGTTGAGGCAGGGTGAAGGTAATGCAGCTAACAATCCACCACCACAGGCGCAAAAAGTTCCGTAATCCAGCGCTTTTGTGCATAGTTGTAGAAATGGCAGTATTGTACTGCATTAGGCAGCATGTATTAGTGTCAGATCAAGTGTAAACACCTCATCCTATGATTGAGTCACAGCAAAAGTGGAGGATAGATCATACAGGGATTAAAAGAACCTTTTCAGGGTCATGAACACAAATATTTGCCCTGTCGCAAGACACTCATAATGAGTCATGTGTCAGTTTCTGCCACATAAACATCTTTTAGTCCCCTATATATGTTGACAAGTGGTCAAAATCCAAAGCTACTGCTGTGTTTTGTCTCTCCCTTGCAACTACTTTGAAGAACGTACCATGAACAGACAACCACCGGAATGACATGTAGATAATCATGGCTGCAGCTTCCATTTCTACGTAAGCACATTATAAATGAACTGCAGAACATCTTATGAGCAGTGAGTGTTAGAGCATTTAGAATCCTTTTCTCCCTCTCCTCTTCCTGTTCTCTCTAATGTTGTGAAATGCCAGACCCGACGGGTACATGAACACAGAACTGTGAAAAGATTACTGTTCTGGACAGTCTGTACTCCAGCAATGGCACTTAAACATTAGGCATTTTGTACAGTGTAAAAAAAAAGAACTCCTTATGTAGAAGTGATGTTTGTCTGTCTGTCCATCTGTGACATAGTATCAGTGCAAAGACTGGTGAACAGATTTTCTTAAAATCTGATATGCTAGACTTTCACAACAAGTTGTCAGGCAATTCCAGTTTTGGGCATATTGATTTCACAACAAAGCCTAGAGTACATATGGTCAGAAATTGATTTTTTCCATGTATCCCCAAAAACCCTTAAATAGATTTTGTTTAAATTTAATATAGGAGGCCAACTAATTTACATTTCATTATTCCCATTTTAAGTAAGATTAATGCCATTGGTAATATTGTATACCATCTTGTCTTTACTTCTGAAACGGAAATGGACAGTGAATGTGACAGAGTGTTCTGTCACATTCTGACATGTGACTTATCTGGTGCTATTACATTAGTTTTGGTGTAACATTCTACCAGAGGTGATATAGCTCATTCAGGTAATGTGAAATCATTCTGTGAAATGAGTGAGGGTCACAATGGGTCTAGAATGGACTGCATAAACATTAGCAAAGATGGTAGCTCTTTCTCTTCAGTGTTAAATATGAACAAGGTGCTTTCTGAAATTTGAAAAGTGTGGTCATCTAGATTGTAATGCTGTGTATTCAGAGAAAGCCCATAACTTCTGTGAGGAATTGAGACATCTTCCCCCTTTAATTCCTTGACTTATGATCCATGACTTGTTAGTGTTCGCGCTCCTAGTTGTTGCATGTTATTTGCTGGGCAGTAACGACGTTACCTCAGAAACTGGATAAGCTTCATTGAAGGTTCATTACCAGGAATGTCCTGTGTGTGAAACACTGCATAGGAATATTCTTTGACATTCTAGTGAGAGTTAACACAAAAGGACAAACTGTGAAACAACTTGTTCCACATTCTGTGTTACAGTTACTTGCATTGTAGTTACGTCGTTGAGTAATAAAGTGATGTTGCAAGAATACGCCTTGAGGTCTTATTTCACGACAGCTTCATAGGAACATAAGCCTCTGCCTTCAGGGTAGAAGCAGCTCAGCTTGCTGCTTGCTTCTTTTGGTTTCTTGCTTGGCTTATTCTTCTACCCTGAAGATGGAGGCAGTATGTCCAAAATGTCAGGCTGCCCCTGAACTACTGAACTGAATGCGCTACTTTTGATAGTCACCGTCATGAGAACCTCAAATGCTTGAAATTTATATTCAGATATAGAATAACTTCCAGTGGCACATTAGACTACTTACAAGGACAACAGGCATCTCTTCAAATTCCATATTACCTGGTAGTAACAAAGATGTGTTCTGTGGATGTGGTACAGATATCTTATGTATCCTTAATAAAATAATTTTGAATAATGGTGGTGGATTCTTAGCTTACTCCAGAAACATTAATATATCTGATATGAGTGTTATGACAGGAAGATGACAGTGATCTAACTTTGAAATTTGGGTCCCCAATCATGACAGTAGTTCTCAGACCATCTACGCTCGTACAGGAGCCGCTGGCTCGAGATGTGGTTGTGATGTTTCATTGTTAACACTGGGTTGTATGCAAATATTACATACGTATATTGTGATGTGAATAAAAGGAACGTCAATAACCAGTACATTGCCTTGTGAATTTGATGCTACAGAGGTTTCCTTGAAACATTGGTACTTTATTACACTCAGTCCTGAACCAAATTTCACTGAATACATTCACTCCTCACCTAAGGTCCATTTTAATATTATATTCCTGTCTGTCTTTGCTTAAAGTTTTACAACAAAAATTCCACACACTCCCTATCAGATTGAAGTTCACACAAATATGTGGTTCAGGCCAAATATGGCCCAAAGGTCCAGTACTGCCAATACGAAAAGTGACAGTGGACCCAGTTTTTTCAGCATGTTTGCCATTGTCTACTGAATTTAATCAAGGCAACTGAAATTTAGCTTCTGTGATCATGTCAATAAAGGAGTAGACTTGTCATATATACTGTTGAAAAATCTATCATCTTTATGTATTAGGCCCATATGTAGGCTGTTGAATCCTGGGGAACAGTGTTCTGCCACCTCAGTACTGGTTACTCCCCACTCTCCTCGCTCCTGGTATAGACTTGTATGGTAAGATCTGTTTCCATCCATTCCATTCCATCTCTTCATGAGATGTCAGCATTCAAATTCCCAACTGTTTTCCACCTACTCTTCCTAATTTGATATCCTGCAACAATTATTACAATTTCTGTCTTGGTGCTTAAATATTCAGTTTTTCATTCTGTTTCTCATCGATATGTGAATATTGATACTGTCATAGGTCTATAAAATTTTGTGTGTTGAGCGTCATGAGCATTTTTTTGCAACACTAGGTCACTAGAAACAAAGACCAGTCACCAGAAGTTCAGGTTGGAGCTAGTACAGGCACCCATGTGGAATATAGCAGTGGGTGAAACAGAAGTGGCAGGGAGACAGTCTACAGACATAACACTGTCCTAACTAATTGGAAGACATTTTGCAGAACAGATTCCACCAACAGGTAAACCAAGGCTGACAAAGAGAACAAATGGAGGGAGACTCTTCTGGTGCCACAATTGTGAGGCTTCCTCTTTATGGGAGGCATGCTAAGACTTGCTGTGTAAAGATCGACTAGTAAGGTAACAGTTTTATTGTCTTTCTGTAATGTAATGGCTTGGAGAAAACTGCATAATGAGGAGCTTCATAACTTGTACTCTTCTCCAAGTATAATTAGAATGATCAAGTGAAGGAGGATGAGGTGGATAGGGCATGTAGCATGAATGCATATAGGATATTGGTGGAAAAGCCAGAAGGAAAGAGACCACTGGGAAGACCAAGATGTAGGTGGGTGAACAAATTAAAAATGTATCTTAAAGAGATAGGATAGGGACCAGTGGAGGGGTCTTGTGAACACGTAATGAACCTTCGGTTTCCATAAAATGCTGGGAACTTCTATAACATAATGTGTATTGAATATTTTATCTAAGTTGCACCGAAATCAAATGGTTACAAAAGTGATGCATAAAGATAAAATTTAACACTGTATAGAAATGTTGTCTGGGACTTGTGACATACAATGACAGCACACCCACAAGATAACAGTTCTTAGTTAGCCTGGAATTTTATTATAACTTTGCATTCGCAGATGGCAAGAGGGTAGCTTTTTGGTATCATTTAGTTGGCATATGGTACAGTAGTTGCTATCTGTGTATTGTGTTTCTGCTCTTTCATTTAAAAGTACCACTAGTCGTTCCCTGGTGCAGATTTAAAAGATTGCCGCACATGCAGAAACACATATAAATGCCAAGACAGAAAATTCTTGCATGGCACAGTTTTGGCTGAGTGTTTAAATGCCTCAACATTGAAGGGTTAAATATCATGACATCATCCACTCCAAGTGAGCCACATCACATTCGAAGTTTCTGCAGTCTGAACTTCCACATACTTTTAAATGTACAAGAGATACCCCGAGGTTCTCACAGCCACAAATTGAAGTTTCAGGTTATTAGGTGTGTCAGTGTGGAATACAGCCGCATGTCTTGGAGATTACTCTGTCCTTACCCTCAGGGAGCGCTGTGACACAACTGGTGTGTCTAGTTCATCTCATTTCCTATCAGCTTGAGACAGAGCAATCTTGTGACACTTACTTACTCATGGAGCTGAGCCCTTCTTGAGGAGCTGCCAATTCTGCAGCTACTCAAGAATTTCCCATCATTTTATGGAACCCGAAAGTTCATCACTGTGTTCACAAGAGCCCTCCACTGGTCCCCATTCTGAGCCAGATCTATCCAATCCATACCATCCCATCCTATCTCTCTAAGATCCATTCTAATATTGTCCACCCACCTACGCCTTGGTGTTCCCTGTGGTCTCTTTCCTTCTGCCATTCCCACCAATATCCTATACACATTCCTCGTCTCCCCCATTCGTGCTACATGACCTGACCAGCTCATCCTCCTTGACTTGATCATTCTAATTATACTTGGAGAAGAGTACAAGTTATGAAGCTCCTCATTATGCAGTTTTCTCCAACCTCCTGTCAAATCTTGTGACACTTCTCGTTAATATTTATGAAAAGCCGTTATCTGAGAATTGCAGTACCCATGGCATCGAATGTAAGATTATGGTCATCTGAGATCTGATAGTGGCAAGTAGCCTCATAGACAGGTAACAGTGTTTGCATTCTTCTATCCCCAAGGTGCAGCCAGCATACTCCTGTGACATCTCTGCACCGTTATATTGGACCAGCACTGAAATTTCACGACACAGTTCCTTTGTTTGAGAGGTTTCAAGAAAATATTTATTTGTTCCCGACAATGAAGCAGATAAATATAACAATACTGATGCTACCACAATACTTTATTGATATTACTCTTGTCTGAAAAGCATTAATGTCTCATTTATTACATACAATATATTTCCATCTATAATGCAATTCAATTTTAATGTATTCATAATTTCTGACAACTTATGTAGCACTTCTGCCCATTCTTCAGCTCTGATATGCGAACAGTTTCTCCAGTGTTCAATTTAGACAGAATCAAAGTCTGCAGCAGTTCCACACTGAAGGTCTCCATGGAATATGGTTCAATCTCCCGTCACAATTTTTTGTTCTTATTTGCCACTTGATTTCCCCTGCCTGTCATCAAAACGAAACAATCAATAAAGACAGATTCGCACAAGTACATATTAAGAAAGTATAGTACAGTGGACTAACAATGTAACACTTGAAACAATGATACTACTGGTAACAGTCGTAAAGAAGTAGCCACAATGAATATTCATAACTAAATGCCAGGCATAGGATGCGCCATAGCTCAAGCGGTTAGTCGCTGGCTTCCCACCGTGGTGGCCCAAGTTCAAACCTGGGTCTCGTCAAGTGGGATTTGTGGTGGACAAAGTGGCACTGGGGCAGGTTTTCTCCGAGTACTTTGGTTTCCCCTGCCAATCTTCATTCCACCAGATTCTCCATCATAATCAAATAGGCCAATCAGTGGGTGCTGTGCCGAGTGGACCCAATTGGACTCCACCCCACACTTTGCAAATTAATTAAAAAAATTCCAGGCATCACTTATTATAATATCCTCTTGCTCATTTGGGACATATTTAACAAAGATTGATCTGTTTCTGTCACCAGATATAAGGGGGGTAGGTAACGGATCCTGTCCAGCTGAACAATGGACAGTGTATGACACAATATTGTAACAAATCAACCCACTGTCACAAGCCTTCAGACCGCGATCACTTATCTTAGTTTTTTTAGAAAGATTAATTGATGAAAGTCTCTGAACCAAGCAGTAGCATGTGTTACTTAAGTTCATTCATCACCTAAACTGTCATTGCCTATTAACCTAAGCCTTTTCTTATGCTTCTGCAGTCCGACCAGGTACAGATTAAACTGTAAGCAAGCTAAAAAAGAAAACTTCGGCACGGACATACCGTATGACCTGCCGTCTGTTGTTCCTGTATGCCAACCACTGTCCTGCTTATGTTGTCAAAGAAAGTAAAGAGTGAAGATACAGCACTCAACAAACTCCGTGAATTTAGTCTGCAAGTAAACTATACTGACTGAGCAACCGCCGCTTGTTGGCAAAGAGTGCCAACTTTTGCGGATAGAGGGTGTTGCGTGGTCACCATAACAAATCCCCATGGCCGTTAATTTTGGTTTTCTAGACCAGATACTCAACAAACTATTTTTAATGTAGCAGTGAATCTGTTTGCTTGTTGTCAAAAGGGATCTTACGTTGGATGTGGATGGGAAAATTCTGATGTTGGGAACCTTCCAACAGAGGATAGGAAACAGCTAGAGGGTTCCTAAGGAATGATGAACTCATACCTCTGATTGCACAGCAGAACTAGGTTCTGAACAGCTGTGAGTGTAGATGCTTCATTCTGGCCTGTGACCAAATGCCTGTCGACCACAACGTGCACAGAGTCAGGCTCACTGGCTGTGAAGCTTGCCCCACGATCACGCACTGCATCTTCAGGTATGACTGCCAGATCTGCAAAGTCTGGCAGTCGAGCAAGTTCAAACACTGATGACTGAAAAGAAAGAGAAGCCAGCGTTACATGGACTTCTGTGAATCTTCCGCCCTCATGTTGAAGGCATTGGGTTCCTCTGGAACACTGGTAAACATGCTCAGATAAACATTTACACATATGAATTGTATTATAGATTCTGTTCAACTCAACCAGTTCTCATGGCATTGCAATATTTCTGTCCCAGTTAAACTGTAAGCATTTCTGAAGTACTAACTTTACATATGTAGATGCTGTATAAATCAGTGTATAAGCTGTAATTTTGACTCACCCCTGTTAATGAGTAAGTCTTGAATCCCCAGCTTGAATGCTCTTCAGCTTGTGCGGACAGCAACCCTGCTACACCAAGGCCTATGGCACATATCAACTCTGAAACAAGGAGACTGATTCGAGGTGCTGCTTTCTTGTTGAAAAATATAAATAAGTTGAGAGAAGCGTATTATAACCTCTCAGTCCTCAACAACAGCAGAAGGCACAAAGGGACATTACTAAAGAATAGGAAGTGGTGAATGTTTTCTTCAGAGCACCTCTTTACATTGCATCTCATCACCGGAATGTTTCGAGTTTACTCCATACCAATGTCACTTTCCCCTACAGATGTTTCACTTAGTGGGGGGTGGAGTCCAACTGGGTCCACTAGGCACGGCGGCCACTGATTGGCCTACTGTACCTGTCCTGGGTGATTATGATGATGGAGAATTTGGTGGAATGAAGATTGGCAGGGGAAACCGAAGTACTCAGAGAAAACCCACCACTTTGTCCACCACAAATGCCACTTGACCAGACCTGGGATCGAACCCGGGCCACCGCAGTGGGAAGCCAGCGACTAACCGCCTGAGCTATGGTGCGGCCTCCTACAGATGTTACTCAAATGCAGAGAAACTGTAAGTGTTGCTTGTTAGAACTTGAAAGAGTGGTAATACGAGTATATAGCAACTGTCGTTTTCCATTTGTTTTGAATACATGAAGTTCAGAATCCAGGTTTTCCAAAAAAAAACTCCATCAGCAGCCAATAAAATCATGGTATAAGGGCATGCCAGTGAATGTGATAGAACCACCTGCCATCTTTAGGGATGTAACGTCACTAGATGGTAACCATCCATGAGACTACATCTCAGAAGATCAGAGTTAATGCCATGATAAACACAAAACAGTATGATTTATCTTACTTTTGTCCTTAATAAACTGTAAAATGATCTGGCCCAGGTCCTTGTTGTTTGCCAGGTCCACTGCAGCTCCAGGAGCATGAGGAATCAGCACACAAGTGTATCTGTTGGCTGAAAGTCCAATGTAAGACATGTAATTCTACTTACATCTGATAGTTTGATAATTACAACTACTGGTATTCGAGAACAACTGTAACAAATTATACATATGATATTCACAATTAAATTAACAGCAGATTAACAACGAGAAGTGTCAACTCGAATTCCAGTCGTGTCAAGCTGCCATTTTAGGTTGTCAGAGCTGATCTTTCATGGGTAAATAATATCAAAACTCCAAGAGAATTTCAAATGTAGGAAAAAATTCCTTCCAACCCTGTCAGGGGGGGTTCAGGTAAATTACCAACAAATATCACATGCTGTCAGATATAGCAAGTTTAAAGGTCAAGATTATCAGTGCTTGACACTTTTAGGGATTGACCAAGTTCTAAATATTTACTGCTACCATTCAGTTAAGAATCTTTTATCTTTCCACATTTCCTTAAACATTTAACTTAATATAGTACATGCTAGCTTAGTAGCCTGTCCATGTTCGTATGTTTGAAACATTTCTGGAAGCCATCATAACATCCTAAAAGTATCAGTGAGTCATTCATCCTCACAAAGAGGTACAAACTGAATACTGTAACACTAAGTACATTTCTTCCATTCTCAGTTTATTCTTCTACCTGAAGATGGAGACAGTACAGGATCATTCAAAAGAGAAATGATCTACATTACATAGGATCACTCCCAGACGACAGTAATCTGCACGAGTTAAATTTAATTCTAAAGGTTTACATAATGCTAGTTTATAAGCAAACCCTATGTCTGGTCAGCTGATATGAAACTCACGATCAATTATTTCCAAACTCAGGGGAACAGCAAAGGATTTTGTGCGGAAATCATTCAGCCATCGTCGACTCTGATCATCTTGGTTAATGAACTCTGGAGTTTTTCCCTTAAAATTACAAAAGAAAATTGGTAATAAGAACATTGCAGACACACAAACATGTTTGATGGCAGTGAAATTTACACACAGCCCTTAAAATAATGCATAGCAATAAACCAACAAATGTATAACTTTTCTGCAGGATATTAACATGAGGCTGCATCCTAAATGTAACATTAGGAACAAGATTTGTATGACTGGAAGTCTCCAAAAAAGAAATTGGACTTCATGAATTCTGTCCAGAACTTACTCCAGGTGTAGCCAGCTGAACAGTGAATGCTGAATGAGTCAAAGTAAAACACTGGATGAAAGACTGTGCTGACACACCTGAAATTAGTAATTATGCACAGATCACATTTACTTGTGTAGCTGGCCCACGTCCTCCAAACATCACGTGATACTACTCATACTTCAAACATCGGTAATGCCAAATCCGCACATTCAGTAACCTAAAAGGCCATGTCTGGTAGGAGTACCTTCTTTACGGCTAGGCAAGACGATAAGGCAACTATGCCGCCCAGTGGTCGAATTAACAGCCATATTAATTATATGAAGGGAGAGTGGGTGTCTTAACTTTAATATATAATTGTTATTGTATAATATTAAAACTGGAAATCAACCTCCCAACCAACACACACAACATTAACCTTCGTACAACTGTGTGAGTTGAAAAACAACAGCTGCAAATTGATTAGAAGGTCGTGACGGTCGTGACCGTCGTGACGCCATGTGGTTTGGTAGACACCAACGTTTCGGTGGAATTTCATACCTCCTTCGGATTTCAACAATCAGAGGGATGAGAGGCACTGCTCAGAAGGTTTCTACAGGTTTCTACGACATATCTGCATATGTCCGTACCGCTATGAAGGTCCAAAACGTTTCACCTCCCATATCATGTCGATTGTAGATTCCTCTAATGTATAAAAAACTTGGCACGTTATTGGCACTGTAGATTAACAAAATTTGTTGCAATACATAGGAAGGAGGCTAAAATAAATTTAGGCTTCGTAAAAAAAAATACGTAAAATCACTGTGTAGGAGGTAGCAGATGCTAAATAAAGAATCGGATAGTCACTGTGGTCACTGTTTAGTTGATGAACAGTGCGTGGGTGTGAGGTTGTGCAGATGTTCGTAGAAGAGTGCGTTACAAAATGATTTACAAGATCTTGTTCAGCGTATTACTGGTGTTAATCTCGGGCTTCGGATTCATATTTGCATTTGTAACTGTAGGCAGTTTGATATCTTTTCTTTCATATATCCCATCGCCGAAAGTGGATGTTTCGCAAATTCCTGGTAATTTTACGTTGGCAGATATAACCTATTGTGTGGAATGATTCTGATGTAGGGTACAGTTGGGAATGACGTCGATGATTGACCTGATGATTTGGGTCCCCTCGAAACCAAACAAACTGGGTGTGATCACGTGTTCAGGATTAGAAACCATAGGAACATGCTTGTAGGGGGATCTATATAGTAATTGACACTTCAGAGATTATTTTTTGTGAAATTCAAATTATATTACTCTATTTTCAGATATTACTAAATCAAACAGTGGTAACATCCAAACTTTTTTTTTTCTGATATTACATTTACTGGAGATGGCTGCACACTTTTTAGGGAGCTAATATTTTGTATGCTTTCATGTGGCATCCTCCATTATCATGTACCTTGTTAGTGATAAACATTTCCAAGCATGTCAGTTAACTTCCCAGATTTCTTTTTTGCTGTTCCAGATAATTGCTTATATTAATATATAATCAACTGAGTGAGAATTTGTTGGTTTACTAAACTCAAATTTTGAATATTCTGATAGTTGTAAGGCCAGATATTGAATACTGAAGTGTCAGTAATATAATTGTGGATGGCTTGAAAGCAGAATTATTGAGGAGGAGGCTAACCAGTCCTCCCAAACCTTAATTTACATCTGATTTAGAACTGAGCTCATGATGTTGATTTTTCTCTTCTTTTAACTATATCACTTCCTCAAGTTGGTTGTTTATTTCCTTGTTTCAGAGACCACAACATTATGGGCCTTGACTGTGAATACATCACTATTGTGCCTTTTCATGTTTCAACATTCTGCTATGACGAAACCACTTTTCAAGAGGGCACTAGGTTCTCTGGGGTTACAAGTTGCTGAGAGAAGCATTTATGTGATCGCAACTTCATTTATTCTGCATGTAAGTTTATTCTTTAAGGTCCTTAACCCTTTGAAGCAATAAGTTTGTATAATGAGTATTTAAAAATTCACATTCTATGCCAGAAAACACACTGCATCTCTGTTACAAGGACTGGTCAGTTAATGCTGCTAAGGGAAAAGTCATTGATTAGTATTAGAATTGTACAAAACACATAAATAGACTGTGTAGGTTAGATGCAGTGTTTTTTAATGTTCAAGCAGGTGGTACATATAATAAACACTGTATTTAAGTAGTTAATAATAATTCTCGTAGCAGTAAACGCGAAAGTATTACGTGAGGTTTAAGGTTCTCATGATAGTGACTATTACTACATTGCCGGATGTGACAGTATGTAGTGAGGTATGTGTGTAAGGTGTGGGCCATAAAATCCAGCCCTTGCACTGCGATCTTCAGTGATTTATTGTGCTTCCCCTTTGGATTAACCCTTTATTAATCCCACACTTTGAATGAAATATAGAACTTTATTTATGGGAGCGTCATAAAAGTCCCTTGGTTCCATGAAGAACTGACCCAGGTGATGAAATCTTAAGTAAGCTGTAGCCTCACAATCACATAGTCATGTAGTCAGGTAGATCCGTACCAATGTTTTGAAGGTACCGACTGTTTCAGTCTTCAGGTGGAAGAGTGAAGGATGGAGGGTGTAAGTTCCTCCGAAATAACGGTAATGGTATACCAGACGACACATTGTCACATCTCAGAAGACATTAATCTTTACAGAAGTGTTAATTTGCTGTTTGTAGGCTCTAATTCAGTTCTGGCAGCCTATTCCATGGATAAGTCTGTGGCACATAGACACAAGTGGCACAGCACTGTGGACTGTGTTTACTGCGGTGCACTGTGGTGCTTGGTGTATTATTTATATCGGCGCCATCATGATGGACCTTGGAGAAATGCTTGGCATTAAACAAGTAAGAAGTCTCAAGTCAGAATCTGCATGTAGTTTTGAAACTGTAACTTAAAGTGATCCTGGGGAATCGAAATTGGCTCTGGCCTTATTGGCTGTGAAGTTTTATTATTTTTTTTATTATTATTATTGCTAGTTGGGTGGGACTAAGTCCCTTGTACTGCAGCCACTTCTGGCCTATTGTACCAGCCCCAGATGATAGGTAAGGGTGATTGTGGAGCAATTGGTGGAATGAAGATTGGTAGGGGAAACCGAAGTATTTGGAGAAAACCTGCCCCAGCACCACTTTGTGCACCACAAATCCCACTTGACCAGACCCAGGATCACAATGGACTTAATCAGGAACCAAGGCCAGAGGAGATCTGTGCTTTAGCGGTGAAACGACTGCATAGCTTTCTCAAATTTCCCTGGTGTTTTGTTGAATGTACATCGTAAAATGTTTTGATAACACAGAAGAGGCACAATAGAAATGAATAACAGAATTGCATTCAAGTAGAGGTGATCACATCAACGACTATGAAGTGTATCGTCATGTGGGATGTGATGTGATGTATACTTTAGGAGAAGTTCAGTCCACCAGGATACACAGGATCGCATCCCAGATCAGAGTTTAACAGGAATACGTTTGAAATCTTTCAGGTTTATTATAATTTACGTGGATTGCCTGATCCCATAACTTTCAAATCCAGAGAATTGCAGAGACTGTACCTTCATATGCGTCATCCAAGTTTCACTGGATTCTGTATCTTGCTTTGGATTTATCCGTTCATGAGGTAAGTCTCTTTAGTTTAATTCTTGTTCAGTCATTGACCTTTCATGCTCTGTGTCTCACTTAAAATGAAAGTATTCCATATGAATGTATTACCATGGTTCCTCAAACATTTTGATTTGTATGGATCGTGTGACAATAAAAATAGTAACCAGTGCCTTTGTGACATAACTTGAATGCTCAGGACTACTGAGACCACTACTGGATATGATCCTGAGCCAGTTCTCTGAACCCACTGTAGCCCTGCAGGTCCATGATCCATGTTAATTTTATCCCATCTTCTTCTTAATCTTTCTGATGGACATTTTCCAACAGTCAGCACCACCAAGATTCTGTATGCATTCCTTGTTTCTCCCAGCTTGCCTAGATGTTCTGTCCATCAGAAAACTGTAGAGTTCACTCTCCTAATGTCCTAAATTGCTCGCTTTATTCATTCTCTGTTCCGAACATTTTTCAGAGTACTTTGTTTTTAGACCCTTATGTTACGTCACATCCATACAGAACAAGTGGCAACATCATAAGAGGTTGAACAGTTCCGGCCAGTGTGACTAGTAAGGATTTTTCTTATTTCAATCCATCGCTTACATGGTTCAGTCTTTACAGGCCATCCTCAGAGGGACATCAGTACAATCAGAAGCCACTATTACAATATGTTTTTGAATGTTAAAATATATATATATAATGTTGATAAAGTACAATGGGCATAAAATCTAATGTTTTAACAACTACAGTGGCTGTCTTAATATGTAAAAATATTTACAGTTAGTTTGTTAAAATTTTGTTGGAAATCGTAAACAAAGTTGGTTCGTGTCCTTTCTTTTTATTTCTTCGCTTGAAAGAGGCCTAACGTGTACCACCTTGTAGTTCTGTTTTTTTGAGAAGCAGATTCTGCAAATATAGTATTATGGGTATATTGTAATATTTTAGCAAACCCTATTCTGTTGTTTTCGTCCTGCCTTTAGTGTCGTCTTGTTGAAGTTCGTGGCGCGCTGTTATGTTATACTGTTCTAGGGTGTGCTGACCCGTGTATTTATACTCCTTGTGTCTATGACGCTTGTGTGTTGATGTATTACCATGTCGAACACGTTATGCTGGTTATCACTTTCCCTTGAATGTTTTTGTTCTTCTGTCAATGTATTGAGTTTATTAAAGCGATACATATGGAAGTTTTCTTTCATATTCATGATGCTCCCTTTTTTGGCATTTTCAACCATTTCCATGATTACTGTCATAGGTCCATATTGGCGCATTCCTCTGAGGATGGTCTCTAAAGACCAAAACATGTAAGGGATGAAGGATTGAAATAAGAAAATCTTTACTAGTCACACTGGATGGAACTTCTTAACATCTTATGATATTGTTAGTGTGATGGACCAGAATGAAACAAACCAGTAGTAGCAAGAGCTCGTTTTGTATATCCTGATCTCCAACATTCTGGAAAAGTAAATGGCATTTTAACAGTTTTCAAATTGAATAACAAGTGTTCCCATAATTTATTATTCTCCCAATGTCATCACGAATCTCGTTTATATTTGTTGATGAGTCATATGACATGCAAGCATTGCTGCCAACTTCTGCTCTTCTTCGTAACACATGATATCATAATTTTCATTGGGCGCAGATCCTGTTGTGCTTATTATATAAAATTCTTTATTAGGATCCGTCATAACACAACAATGAATTGGTCTAGGTCAATATCACTTTAGCTACATGTTTCGGCTTTTAAAGTCATCATGAGGCAAATACATGGTTACTACACTCACACACTATTGAACTGCATTTCAGTGACAGTAGAGCTGGATACTTGACAATTGTTACACTATAATAATACAACAAATATAACAAAAGTTATACAATAAAATATGGTTAAAAACTGTTCATGTAATGCTTCATACTATGAAGATCACAACAACTGACTTCATAGTATGAAACATTACATGAATTTAGAAAAAATGATGTTTTGCAATTTCTATTTCAGCCTAGACCGAGTATTGCTAGCTGGTCTGTGGACTCTCTATATGATGGTAGCATGGAATGTTGACCAATTTGACTACCAGTACCAGTGCCATCAGCTGAGGAGAAAGCATTCCAAACTGACCTATTACTAGTCCTTTAGGTGTTCATCTGTGACAAAGAAGAATTATTTCTTCCTTATAACAAGTTTTATATATAAAAATATGCAGGGCTCAACAATGTCTGCTCATCTGTGACAATGGAAAAATGTTTGAATTTATTCACTCTCTGTTTTGATTTCTCTGCAGATGTCCAGCAGTAAATTAGAACTGTAAATGGTATCCTGTATGCACATTATACAGTATAAGGTGTAGCATTTGTCATGCCCTGTATGAGCAATTGGAGCAGCATGGGTAGGGGAGTTTGTGTTGCAGAGAAATATCAGGAGTGCAGAATTCTTGTCTGACTGACAAACTGAGCCAACATTTGTTGACCTCTGGATATATGTGTGAGTGTGTGTGCGCATGCATGTGAATGCTTAACCCTGAAGACTTATTAAATTATGTTTTCTCCTAGGTTACTGAAAGGTTTTGTGTGTACTTTGACATTTCAGTCACTCTTGATCGAAGGTAATGAAGCCTAATATGTTGTTCAGGAGCTTCCAGATGACACCACACATAACTTGTCTGCACACAGCGCTCTCTAAGCTGCAGCTATTTTAATGGCAGCCACATTGAATGATTTTTGTAAACTCATACTGCTAGGCGTAAATATTTTATATAATTTATTCTGTGTTAACTGTGTAGCGCTTCACTACAACTGAATAAACATAGCAGAAGTAGACATCCTTTTTAATGTGCAGAATAAAAATATAAGCGTGGGAAAGGAATTCAGGACACAGTCTTATTTTAAATAGGTCTGTGAACAATTATAAATTTTCATAAAGTCTGAGTTGGCAAAATTAAAGTAATGAATCTCAGGTGATATGGTGACGGGCTACGAGCTGGATTGCTTAGGAATTGAGGTTCAATTCATGACAGGAACAGGAGGTTTTGATAAGATCAGTACCAGTTCTGGGGTCCACCCAGCCTCCTATCTAATGGGTATCGGGTGATCTTTCCCCGGTGGTAAAGTGGCTGGGAGTGGAGCTGACCACTCACCTTCACCTAATCCCTAAGTCAAGTATGGTGAAGTTACGCATCCACTCCCGCAGTATGTCTTCATGACATAATGCTTAATTAGTTAAGCACCAGCACGTTTTTACCTTTTTAAATAATTCAACCATTAAATGGACTTGCAAGTTAGATATTTTCCATCTTGTTTTTCCTTAAAAGAAAACTTTCATAAGCGGGCTCTGCGTCTATCATCAGCTAATAGGATGCAACCTATTATGTTGGGTCCATTAGACATGTTAGTCTCTGTCTCCAGACTGTGTAATTGATCCATTCTACTAAGTTTCATACTTTATATTATCGGTAAGAAACTGAGGCAGAATGAGACAATGGAAAATGTCAACTTGTCAGTTTAAAAACACATGTTTAAAATCAGGATCTCTTAGATGTAGTGCATGATTGTAAGAACTAAAAGTTTGCTGACCCTGTAATTGATTGAAGCTTTCATGCTGACAGCATATAATGAAGTCTATTCAGGCGATCATCCATATCAGGCTGGAGTTGGGGTTCAGCACTTCAGAGACGTTCATTGCATCATCTCAGATGATGGACACAGAGAGAGTCTCTGAAACACTGGACACTAACCACACGTTCACATGGTTGATCACCTGAGAAGATTTCATTGAACCCTTTAACTGCAACATTTTTTAGTGCTAGGCTGGCCCCATTACTGTTTTTTTCTACTTTTCATGGTTTTGTATAGTCAGAATATGATTCCATAGGCTTCTTCATTCCCTCCATAGATGGTATTGCATGGCATTTTTATCTCCTTACAACCAATCAACTCTTAAGGCCGCACCATAACTCAAGCAGTTAGTCACTGGCTTCCCTCCATGGCAGCCTGGGTTCAATCCCGGGTCTGGTCAAGTGGGATTTGTGGTGGACAAAGTGGTACTGGGGTAGGTTTCCCCTACCAATCTTCATTCCACCAATTGCTCCACAGTTACCCTCACCTATCATCTGGGGCTGGTACAATAGGCCAGAAGTGGCCGCAGTACAAGGGACTTAGTCCCACCCCACTAGCAATAAAAAAAATCAACCCTAAAATGAGTTAATAAGGAAGACCATAAGTTGATTAAGTTGATGCTACTGTAAATAGTGTGTAGTAATAAAGGGACTAAAAAATCTCAAAGGTTTCTGACAATGGTGTATAATACTCAGAATTACTGGGTTTTTGCACTTTGTCCGTTGTCCAATATTCGAGAAACTATAAAACGCAACATTTTGGAAACTGGATCTCTTTCAGTGATTGAGGTTAGCTCTTTCTAAGAGACCCAACAGAGTAGGTGTCTTCCCCCCCACCTGAACATGGAAACAGAATGAGTTTCTGAAACATCGTGTTTTCTAGTTTCTAGAATATGGGACAATGGACAAAGGCTGAAAACCCAGTAATTTGAAGGGACTAAATGCTCGTGAAAAAATGTGGGTCAGTTATAAATTGTTCTGAGCCTGCAACAATTGAAATAATCTCAAAGCTCCTATTAATGTTACAGTTCCAATATGGCATTTATAAAGAAAAATGTACAAAAATAATACTGTGCGCTAATTTGAATATGTGTTGTATATCCTTTTCTTGCTGTTATATGCACATATTAGTTTTTTATTCCATAATGACTTTCAAAGTTAACTATTAAACCACAGGTATGGACCATAAAATATGATGTTTTATTTACTCCAGTTAGAGGCTGTAGATAATAATGTTACTGTATTTGAAATATTTTAGCAGACATATAGCAGTTCATCTTGCTTGTTTACATGCAGAAATATGACAGAATCAAAAGGGTGAGAAAGGCCCATCTGCTGCAAATAGCCAGTATTTTCTGCATGGTCAGTCATGTATAGAAATGTCTCGTGTTCATAAACTTCCTTCAGCAAATTGATAACAATTCTGATTTGTATTTGTGAGGTGTCAGGTTTGGATCTCAGCTTAGACATCAACTTATCCTGGCTGGGATTTTTCATGCTTTTCTTCAGCCTCTCTATGAAAATCTTAGGTTAGTACCTTGAATTAGGCCAAGGCTCCTTCCAGACACATCTTTTGAAATTCAGAATTTACCAACTGTCCCACAATGTGACAGAATTTTAAATAAATCCATAAACTTCTCTGCAGAACTGTAACATGTTCAATTATATTATGCATCATCGTTACCATAATATAGGCTGTGCCAAGTTAAGCGTGCTGTGAAGTTAGATCTTTATCAGAGTATCACTGCTGCTGGATTCACAGCCATCATAACATTTGTGATGCTGTGTTGTCACATAACAGTAACATTAACCTTTAACGACCGAAAGTCCGGTATACCGGACGGTACCTGTGACCTCGAAGATGCCGAAAGTCCAGTATACTGGACGCAAGACACGTGCTCACTTTAGAAGTGCTGCCGGTTAGACGTTGAGTTTGAAACCAAAACAAACACATGCAAGTTCAAGTCAGAGGTCCAATTGTTGGCTCTGAACAATAAAACCCTTCATCATGGCACTGGGTTCGATTTCGTTTACATGTAGGTAAGACTGTTTGTGACTTGGTCAGCCAAACAGAGTGGAAGCTTCTTCACAGAACAGCTGACCCAACATTCCTCTGTGCGGGCAGATCACTGCTTCTGTAGCTCTCAAGGAAGTGTGACGTGTTTAGTGAGTGTCTGAATTATCAGCTTGTGAGTCAGTGGCGGACTGTTTCTCTGGGGAAGCCAAGATTTTTCATTGAGTCATCTGGAACTGAACATTGACAACACTGTCCGGCCAGCCAGATAGGAACAATAACTTCCTGTTTGTTCGCTAAGCGAGAGACTGAACCAGATTGTCTACCAGCGTATGAGAAGTGAGGTCTGTGTGACCTTCACATCGCGCTGAAGCAAACTCTGCCTCTCCGCGCTCCCGCACGCAGTATCTATAGTAGCGTAAACTTACACGACGCAACGAGTTGAAACTCGTGTACAGTCTGACCAAACATTTTGGTGTATAGTGTCAATGTATTTTGGATATAACGACGTCTCAAATTTGAAGAAAAAATTATGGGTAAGACTTTTGGAATTTCATTACAAATATAAAAGAGATTATATTTTGAATTTCATGACATAACAATCACAGTTAATTTTTATTTGTAAAAATTGCCTTAGGTATATTGTAGGAAATTTCATTCTCTTTCAGGCGGTTTTTAGTTCGTAATTCTAAGCTGCATAGAACGGAAAATATGTAGTTTTTTCTGAAAGTCTATAATATTAAAAGGGCAACGTCAAATTAACTCCGGCAGCAGCGCAGTCGTGGGGGGTTTAAATGCCGACTCTTAAAGGTTAAGTATGGTTCCTGACCTTGACAGTTAGTTTACCACAGATATAATCATTCCTATTACTCCAGGAGCCAGGATAGGGTAGTTGATATAGTGACTGGCTATTGGCTGGGCAACCGAGGAGTCGGAATTCAAGTCCCAGTAAGGTCAAGAATTTTCTCTTCTTCATGTCGTCCAGACTGGCTCTGAGACACACCCAACCAACCCAATGGCAACCAGGGGTTCGTTCCCTGGGGGTAAAGCGGTCGGGGCGTGAAGCTGACCACTCACCTCCAACTAGTGCCAAGATCAAGAAAATGTGGATCTATACATCCCCATACGCCTTCATGGCATAATGCTTCATTAGTTAAGCACAAGGAAAACTTTACCTTTTTTTTTATTACTAGTGGGGTGGGACTAAGTCCCTTGTACTGCAGCCACTTCTGGCATATTGTACCAGCCCCAGATGATAGGTGAGGGTGATTGTGGAGCAATTGGTGGAATGAAGATTGGCAGGGGAAACTGATGTACTCGGAGAAAACCTGCCCCAGCACCACTTTGTCCACCACAAATCCCACTTGACCAGACCCAGGATCGAACCTGGGCCGCCACAGTGGGAAGCCAGCAACTAACCGCTTGAGCTATGGCGTGGCCGAACTTTACCTTTACTATTACTCTAAATCAGCAAGGTGTGAGATGTTAAGATGATATGTGGGCAAGTGGATTAGATTTGGAAACTTGTATTTTAGTTACATGGTGCTGATCTGTGCTGATCAGGTGACAGCCTGTGGACACGGCAGAATGTGGTGTTGATATCTCCCATACTACAAGAGGTGCGCATGTGGAACTGAAATAGGCGCCTTCAAATATGTATCATGGTTATGAAAATGTTAACTCTTAAACACTGACTGGGTTCACAGAGTGGTAAGTCTAGACCCATATCTGCGAGGTGCTGTGTTTAGATCTCTGGCAGCACACCAGCCAGCGTAAGTTTTTTCTTGGTTTTCCTCAGTCTCCAGGCAAATGCTGGGATACCACCTCGATTGGGCCACATCGTTTCTAATTCATAATTGATATATCATTCCTGCTACTCAACTCTATATGCACATAGGCTTACTAATGGCAGTGTTGTAATATAGCTCACAGAAGAAAAAAAAAGCACTGAAGCACAGCATATTTTATGGACAGGTGTGCTTTCAGTTGCAGGGTGCAATGGAGTAATTGTTAGAAATGAAAGGAAAGTTGAAGATGGTCGTAACTTAACTGAAACATGTCAGGGTATTTAATATAAATATATAATTGAGTCACACTGGACAGAATTGTCATTACTCATCCTACAACAAATATATCACATGACTGCAAATAATGACATCCTTATTTCTCAAGTGACAGTTCATTTCCTTCCTGCAACACTTGACAACTGGTCTCGTATCCTTCTCATTCCATCCAGTAAAGTATCGAGCGTTGGACGTGACAGCTCAGCTGTAATGGTGGACACAGATGGCTGTTCATTGACAGTGGTTTCATTTTCCTGTATCTGCACAAACAAAAATAGAAGACTGAGGATCTCAAAATAAGGTTGGGAACAGGTAATGGTGGGCCAAACCATGTCTGGAAGAAGACGACTTGATATTCTTTTTAGGAATTAAGGAATTCAGCTCTTGAAGAGCTTCACAGCATGGGTGTTGGTTCACTGTAGTTTCTGCCATAATTTCCATAGACTTGTGCACATGCATTAGTAAAACTATCATAAATTTTACATGTAATATGTATGTAACACAGTTGCAGCTCAAACTTGCCTTAAGCTGAAGCAGACATGAAGTGGTGCTATTTCCTGGGTCTGTTGCTGGGGCCTTAGAGCAGACTTGACATGAGAAGTCCAATAGACGAGGTGGGCCAACCAGAACCTTAGAGTCCATCCTATACAAACAGAAAAAAATAAAATATCTACTGATATTAAGCTGATCACAGTGACTGTGTGGTCTAAGGAACGAAATGTCTTTGCTCACTCAAATACTGGAATTGTGAGTTCAAATCCCACTTGAGGCATGGATGTCTGTATAGGTAGCGGCCGTGTGATGCGCCGATCGAACAGCCTATCTCAATAAGGTAGAACAGGAAGGATAATTATTTTTAAAGTAAGAATAATGTAAAAAACGTCACAAGGTTGTAAATGGAAGTTGGATCATATCTAGACGTACCCTCAATTCTTGTATTTATGTATACATATATAGAATCTGCAAATACATCTAACCTTTCACTGCTTTATTACAAAATAAAGTTATGTTTTGTGGGTACAGTTAACCTATCCACTTTCTGTTCTTGCATAATGATTATAATTTATAGAAAAGGGTGGAATATTTCATCCAATATCGATTTTGAACTGCAGGAATCAGTGATGGATTGCCTACTTCTCTACTACTCGCCAGAAATTTACAGATATTTGAACTAGCACGGTCATCTCTTATTTATTGACAGGACCTGAAAAATGGATTTGAAAAAAAAAATCACCTTTTACTAAACGTACAGTTATATGTCACATTTCAGGCACAGGCATTATTAACTCATGGCAATACCTTAAGGATGATGCCGTTACTTGTGATATACTGTGCACACTTAGTCAACAGCAGACCTATAAACAAATGGAAAGTGAGACAATTTGACCAAAGAACTGAACCCTATGAGGGTCTCGTGTGCTAAACAAATACAGAGACAAGAGTCTGCCTTTTACATTCTTATTAGACTCCCATTATTCTCTTTAACATGGTGAGCTCGACCAGTTGGTATACTTAACCTAAAATAAAATAAAAAATCACCGTGTTATTATCGCCTATATATCGTATTAGGTTCAGAAAACAATTTCTCAGATGTACTTACTTTCAAATTATTTAAAACGACCAATTCTGTGGCAAGGGAAAATTATAAATTATTAATTACATGCGGATCTTTCCGTGTTACTTCGGACTTGTTCGGACGCCTTCGCCCGCGCGGGGGGAGGAGTGTGTGTGCGTGCGTGTGTGCGTGCGCGTGTGTATGTGTGGTGCTTTTTTTTTTGTTTTTTTTTTTGTTTGCTGCATTAGTTGGAACAGAAGACTAAAATGTGAGTAGATCATAGCGATCATAGCCATAATAGCGCACATAGCAGTGCTAAGAAAAGTGTGAGAGTGAAATGCTACGGGCTGACAAGCCAAGCAATGAACTGCCTGCAACATAGTAACATTTTTTGTCAGAGTGCCAGAGAATTTCATATTATTGTGAGGCAGCATGGAATTTCTTCATGCGTTGGAGTCGTAAGCCCAGGAAATAGTGTAAATATATACTGCACCTTGTTATTAACAGTACAATATTACAACATGAAATAGTGAATTATATTTATCTGTATATGTTCATGATCTTGACACCTGAGCTCCCTGCTATGCCCTGACAACTGACAATTGTGACTTTTTAACAGTCTGTGTTATTCTCAATACTACAACTTGATTTAGACCACAGCTTCTTCTACTGTATAGGTTTTCTTGATCCATGTGAAGAAAAGCAAAATGATTTAGAAATTCTATAGGCAAAGGGCAACAGAAATCAAGTGAAATGTTTTGATTTAATGATGGCAACTGTTGAAAAACGCCATGTCTGAAATTAATATAAAGATAAGTTACAAACATATACAGGGTTTGTCCGAAAAGTAATGTCAGTGAGTCGATTAAAAAACATTTATTGATTAGATCGGTGCAACACATTAAAAGGCTTCAAAATAGGCTCCTTCTGCGTCGATACATCGCTTCCAGCGAGATTTCCAGGCATCGAAGGCGTCATGGTAGGCCTCCTCCGGAATGTCCTTTAGAGCCTTGGTGCAAGCCTCTTTGACTTCGTCAACTGTCCCAAAATGATGTCCTTTCATAGGAGTTTTCAAGCGCGGAAACAAAAAGAAGTCTGGGGGAGCCACGTCAGGACTGTAGGGCGGCTGGGGAACCGTTGGCACCTTTGAATCGGTCAGGAAGTGGGTCACGAGGAAGGCGGTGTGGGCTGGCGCATTGTCACTTTGGGCACCAGCTTTGCGCACACTTTTCGCATCTGCAAATTGTTCGTCACAATCTCGTGAACGGTACTTTTTGGAATGTTTAATGTCTGTGCCATTAAACGAACACTCAAACGACGGTCTGAGTTCAAAAGTTCTCTCACACGCGTCACATTTTCGTCGGTGGTGCTTGTTGATGGCCGTCCAGCGCGGGCTTCATCGCCGACCTCTTCACGGCCTTCTAAAAAGACCTTGTGCCACCGGTAGACCTGACGTTCCGACAGACAATCATCACCGAAGGCCGTCTTTATCATGGGAAAAGTTTCCACTGCAGACTTGCCAAGTTTCACACAAAACTTGATGGCAATCCTTTGTTCCAAGGAACGCTGCATTGCGGCTTGCACGGGAGACAAAAACGAGTTTCACGGAAAAGCCTTTCGTCACTCTCACGAAGTTCGGAGACGACTAAGCCACCGCGCGTTCATAAGGTGACTTCTCCCTCCACCGATCCCAACCGGTCTAAGCGCGCTGCGACGTATAGTCACTTCACAATGAAATCACTGACATTACTTTTCGGACAAACCCTGTATACTCTACTGAGGACACAGAAAGAGTCCCTGTAGATGAAGTTTAGAGAGCTCAGTGTTTCCTACTCTCTGCCTATGTTGTATAATGTTCAGCTCCAGCCCCCTGGCCTATGGCAACCATCACAATGCTCTTGTCACAAGAAGGCTGGAGGGGAATATATGGCAATGTGACTTCTTTCCCTGGCCTCAGTTTAATAATTCTGTTGGTATTAACACTTAACAAGGCCAGATCCTTCAGAACTCTAAAAGGCATCTCACATTTACAACTGGAATTCTTTGTGCTTGTTTAATGTACTGTGCCTGATATGTTGCTGTATCTGAATTAGTGGATATGTTTAAAAAAATTAGAATGAAGTTCGTCCTTCTTTGTGGGCATTCTTTTTTTCCAACAGCTTCACCATCTTTGTGGATAAGAAACAGTCAGAGTCAGTGCCATTCAATATCACGTGTGAGAGGTTCCACATAAGTGCAGCCTGTGTGATTCAAATTCAATTCAGACTGCAGCCAGTAAGATTCTTCCTGAGAATAGTCAAGTTGTTGTATTGTCACGCTACGTAGGGTGCTGGGTGGGTACCAACATTTGGGAGGAACATACTGCCTTTATCTTCAAGGTAGATAATGGAGTAGATAATATTATTGTACCAGACTATACTGTCATAAGCTAGAAGACCACAATATGAAAATATCACCATGATAACATCAAATCTTAACTTAAAAATATTAATAGCAACAAATAATTGCATTTAATGTCACATAGCACATCCACCATTTGCAGTACAATATATAATAGTAACTAACTAAACTGACTATATAACTTCATGGAGCTGAGCTCTTCTTGAGAAGCTTCCAGTTTTGCAGCTATTCAAGAATTTCCCAGCATTTTATGAAACTTGAAGGTTCATTACCATGTTCACAACAGCCCTCCACTGATCCCTATCCTTAGCCAGATCAATGCAGTCCATACTACCCCATCCTATGTCTCTAACATCAATTTTAATACTATCCACCTACATCTTGGTCTTCCTAGTGGTCTCTTTCCGGCTGGCTTTCCCACTAATATCCTATATGCATTCGTCTTCATCCGTAATCATGCTACATTCCCTGCCCATCTCATCCTCCTTGACTTGATCGTTCTATTATACTTAGCAAAGAGAACAAGTTATGAAGCTCCTCATGATGTATTTTTTCTCCAGCCTCTTATATCCTACATTTAGGGCAATGAAAACGTTTTATAACTCGACTGAAGAGTACCATCTTCTGCAATGTGACCCCATGTAGTCTGGTCAATGTGTACTGCTGTTGAGAGGAACATTTTGCCCCCATTTTCAACTCAAGGGTCCTTAGGCAACCTCGTTCTCGCATGTCTATGGTGTAGTGAATTTTTATAGTAAATTATCCATAAATTTGGATATTTTGTGACCAGAAAAAAAATATTTTATTTCAATTATATTTTGGTGGATGTATCATGGAATTGATAACATTTATACAAATCGTTTTTCTCACTGAAGATTCGTGTAGCAACCATCTTCAGCCTACCCTGATGATGGAGGCAGCAAGTTAAACCGAAATATTGGGTACTGTCTTCCAGAATAAGGGTGACATCCCGGAAAGTATTGTGCGTCCAAATCCTGATAACTTCAAATCTCGCGCCTCTTTCATTCTATACTTCATGTGCTGCCCGTAGGAAGACTCTGTGATCAGTCGTATAGCATCTTTGGTATCAAACAACGCAATGTGATTGGTCACATATTTCCACACCCTCCCATGAAATGCCCAGTAAATTTTGTGCACGTGCTGTCATTTTTCGGTCATTTTCACATGATCTCGTCAAGATCAGGGGGATGCAACTCAATGCTATTGGCGGGCAACATAACCGCCGTGACGTCATGAAGCATCACTGCTGCCACGGTGCACGGAGGCAGATCTTTTGAAATAAAAAATGCCTGTCGCCAGTTCCGATGGCTCGGTCGGTAAGAAAGTATGCTATTATACCACCAGCACTTTTTATTCCTCCCTCCCAAAAAATCACTGGTTCACACATATAGCTAGAATTAATAATCGATGTAACTGAAATGCTCATATTTTACAGGCACTGGTGGGAAACTTTCTCCAGATAAATAATGTTGCAACCTGATATCTTGTACTGCAGAGGTTCTTACTCTGTTGTGTGTTTTCTGTTTTCGAACTGAGTTTAATATCACTTCGCTCAAAACCATGTGGAGGGAATGAGTTAAATGATATTAAACTCAGTT